GAAGACGTGATTCAGCTTGTAGGTGGGGTTTGCTGCCTTCTTTTTCTTTTTTTTTTTTGCAGAAGGGTTCCTTCCAAGCGCTGCTCATGAGGTAGAGACAGGCACCCACAAGAGATTCTCATTTCAGTGTGGGGACCTGGAGGGGTAGGGGCGGTGCCGTGGGGTCCTGCCATACAGAAATTGTCCGGTGAGGCCGCGCCTGTTCCTGCCCTGGGAGTCGATTTCAGGTCAGATCACGCTGGGCTGTACCCTCACTGCTAAGTTATCCACTGGCCCTAGGTTTTCTCTTTTCCCTCTTGGTTAGTAGGTATATTAATAATTTGTGTGTGTGTGTGTGTGTGTGTGTGTGTGTGCACACGCACTTGTGTGGTTCAGAATCGAACCCAGTACTTTCGCATATATGAGGCGTGTATTCTAACACTCTCATCTCTAAAGGTAAAGGTAAAGGCCCTCCCGTTGATCGTCGATTTGCTCGAGCGGGCCCAGTAACGTCTCCATTGGAGACTTTGTTGTTACTGTGTCTGGCATATCGAATACTCTCGGTAGCTTGCCGGGCTCTCCGAGAGGGGCGGAGGAATCGAACTCGGGTCGGCCATGTTGGCCGCTTGTAAGGCGAACGCCCTACCCGCTGTGCTATCGCTCCAGCCCCCTCTCATCTCATCTCTAGCCCCTAAATATTTTTTTTTTTGCTATCATTGTAGGTGGAATTGTCTTACGTTTCCTTTTCAGGGTTTTCATTGAAAGTTTTTATAAAAGTAATTTTTTGTGTGGGGGGGGCTGGATAGATAGTACAGAGGGGAGGGCACCTGCCTAGCACGTGCCCAACTTGGGTTTGATCCGTGACACCCCACATGGTCCTCTCAGCCCTCCGGGAGTGGTCACTGAGTGTGGATTCAGGATCAAACCCTGTGCACTGCCAGGTGTGGCCCGGAAACCAAAATAAGCCAAAAAAAAGTTTTTGTTAATTGATTTTATATTCTGTAGCTCTGCAAAATTTTATTCTCGCTTATTTAGTCTTAAGGGTTTTTGACACATGTGACATTTCTTCTGTAAGCAGTTTTTTGTTGAATGCCTTTTATTTGTTTTTGCCTAATTGCTGTGACTAAAAGTTTGAATATTATATTGAGTAGAAGTGGTGCATGCTGGCATCCTTGTCTTGTTTATGATCTTGGGGGACAGACTTTCAGTCTTTCCCGTTCAGTCTGATGTTATGTGTGGGTTTTCCTGTGTGGCCTACATCATGTTGAAGAGATGCCTCCTTTTCCTACTTGAAGTGTTTACATACTGATTTGTAAATATGGAAGATTCTTTGTTTCTTTCTTGAATCTGACCCCATACTCTCATCCCAAGACTTCAGCTTTTTACATGGTGCATCAAATACTTGGCTGATTAAAGCGCTCACGATTTCAGCTTCAGAGCTTATGAGCGCCGTAGTGATCCGTCTGAAGGGATTCCTGGTATCAGCCATGGAGTACCCTGGGTGCTCTGGGGTAACCAGTGCCTTCAGAGCTGGAGAAGTGAGTGGCAGGGCCCTGAGGGACAGTAGCACTCTAGTTACTGTTAAAAAGAAGCTTGAAACAATAGCTCCTCTTATGTTTCCTAGGACTTAGCCATCGACATAAAATAGCAAATTGGCAATGTTGTATTTGTGAGATCTGTTGGGACCAATGGGAAAGAGAAGGGGCATTGTTCAGTACAGTGTGAGGAGGAGTGTGGGCTGGAGAGAGCAGAGCAGGAAGGTGTCCAGCATGCAGTCACCTGGATTCAATCCCTGACATTCCTGAGCACTGCCAGGAGTGAATCCTGAGTGCAGAGTATAACCCCCAGGGGAGGGGAGAGGGGGCAGGAGAGAGAGGAGGGGAGGGGAGGGGAAGGGAGGGAAGAAGAAGGGAGGGGAGGGCACCAGGTGGGATTTACATCGACTGCACTGGGATCAAGGAGCAAAGACCCATTTTTAACAGTGCATGGAGGGCATCAGATAGCAGATAGGATGGCCCCGAATAACTTGCTCCCCACGAACACAGAATCTACAGTAGCAAAATAAAAGGGGTCATTTCCTCGGGAGGTGGAGGGGACGGATAGTTGAGTAGCTTGGACATCAGACAAACCAGAAGGAAGTCGCATCAGTGGGTGAGAGGGGCTGAGACACTGTTCCCCATAAGCCTCGAAACCCAAGGGAACAGGATCTGAGCCCTGTAGCCAGCCTCCCAGCCAATACCTGGCCCTGAAAGGACCCTCCAACATCTAGATGGGAAACCAGCCCTTCAGCCAAGGAGTGGCTTTTATTTTAAAAATTAAATTTTTTTTTCATTTTATTTATTTGGTTACAGATAGACCTATACATATATAAATATATATATTATATATATACACACACATACATATATATGTATACATATATGTAAAACTCTGAGTCAGAGTTATTCACGGTTGGGTTTCAGTCATACAATATTCCAGCACCCGCCCCTTCACTAGTGCACATTTCCTGTCCCAAGTGTCCCCAGTTTCCCTGTCCCCACAGCCTGCCTCTGTGGCAGACCCTTCTCTCTCCCCCTCTCGTTTTCCTTGTAGGCACTGTGGTTTGCAGCTCTGTTACTGAGTGCTTACCGTGCACGTCCCTTTTCCTTTCAGTGCTCGGTTTGTCCAGAGGGATCATTTCCACTGTCACCGTCATATGGCCTGAAAGCATTGTCTGGCTACACAGACTGGTGCCCACCTGCTAACCTGAAGGCCTTTCTCGAACTGCCCAGGGGGCCGTGGGTCCTCCCTCCCCCCCCCCCCCCCCCCCCCCGCCCGTGTGCCTTGTGTGTTTCTCATTGTGTCTCAGGCAGCTGTGCCGGGAGTGGCGGGGACCCCCCTCTTTCCCGGGTCCCAGATGCCCTCGGGGCGGCTGTCTGCAGCGCAGCTCTGTCTTCCCTGAGTGGGGGTGCAGTGGGATGTTGGAGGGGCAGTTGTAGCCTGTTGTGTAGTCGGGACAGGGTCGGGGAAGGGCGAGCTTGTATCAGTAGAAGAGAAAACAAAGATTCATATGGAACCAAAGCTGCAGCCGAGGCAGGCTGAAGAGAAGATGGGTCTGGTGCCATGACTGCACATCATCTGACAACGCTGTCTGTGTGCTGTTGACATAAAGATATACTGAGAGTAATGGAACTAATAAAAGGCCCAGAGATCTGCTCTGTATGGTTGATTCACCCAAAAGAGCCAAGAATAGTCAACGAGGAAAGGACAGTCTCTAGTAAGCGTTACTGGAGAAGCTGGACACACAGGCATGAGAGACAAAAAAAATTAACTTAGAAATAGATGAAAGCCCTAACTGTAATACCTGGAACCTTAAACTTCCAAGAAGGAAACCCCGTCGGCTTCTTTGCCATCAGCCTTGGCAGTGTTTTGAGACCTTACTCCAGAGGAAAGGCACTTGAGTACAAGAACAGATGCTTGTGGCATCCAGAAAACAGAATAAAAACCGCAGTGAGGTAGCACCTTGGGCCTTTGAAAGGCACTTCCCCTGGAAAAGGACCAGCAGGTGTGCCCCCACCCCCACCCCCCGCCTGTGCTGTTGTTCGAGTGGGTTGTTTAGCGCAGTGAAGACAGCTGCAGTGCTCAGGAGCCCGCGGGCCTGTGCTGTGGAGGGCAGGTCGTAATATTTTCATTTCACAGCAGGTTTGTGTTCTCAAGACTCAGTGCTGTTGTCAAAGCAGAGCCAGGAATGGAAAAGCAAATGTTTCACCCGAACTTTATTTGCTGTACCAGGTGGCCGGCTTTGGCTCAGGGCCAAGTCCCAGATTATATGATCAAAAGATTATTTTTGGGTTTAAGGCCCCACCCGGTGGTGCTAAGGGCTTTCTCCTGGTTCTGTGTCGCAAGATCATTCTTGGCAGGCCTCAGGGGACCATATGTGATGCCTGGACTGGAACCTGTATCCAGTGAAGTATTTAAAAGAAAAATACGTAGCTTTAAAGGAGAAGCTATTGAAAACAGAGCCTGCAACTCAGGATTCCTTGGTGCTGCCCAGGACGGTACTGATACGTGCCTTCGTGATCTGCTGCTTTTCCCTAAGTGATAATCGTGATAGTGATGAGTTCGGGCTAGAGCCCAGCAAGCACTCCGGCGCCAGGGAAGCGACCTCTCAGACACATGTACAAGTGTGAAAGTTACACAGGATTGTAAACTGGTAGGGTATCCGTGAAATTCCCACTGGATTATTGCTCAAACTCCAGTTTCTTTAGGGAGCCGTTGACTTTCCTTCCCCAAGCAGTGGGGTTATGGGCCAGGCTGACTCCTGCGGGGCCACGCCTGGCATTGGCAAAGGGCCACGTGTGCCTCACATGAACCTCGGCTCCCTCTCGTGTCAGGCACGCACCCTAGCACTGGGACTGTATCTAGTCCAGAATGAAGCATCTGTACCAGAGTAACTAGCCTATGCTAATTGCTAGACTATTTTCCTGTTAATACTAAAGTCAGTAGCAGTAAGATGCCATAATTGGTTGTCACTAGATGTCAGACAGACCAAGAACTTCACACGTTTTTCTTCCTGCAGCTCTTTCCAAGAAATTCTGTGTTTTCAATCTCTGTTATCCTATCAAGTCCCCCAGGCACCTGAGCACAAAGCCAGGAGTAAGTCCTGAGCACCGCTGGATGTGGCCCCAAGCCCCAAAATAAGAAATAAGTTTTGTTTTTTTTAAAAAAAATGGCTACACCTAGCGTTGCAGTAAGTGTTGGCCCAGGGTGTTGGGATAAACCCAGTTCCCTTGCACGTGCCAGGCGTGTGCTCCTGCCACTTGAACCATGTGGATGGCCCCAAAGTAGGTTGAATTCGGATGGTGGGCTGGGATGTCTTTATTTTGCAGCTGAGATTTGGTGAACTTTTCCGAGGTCATATCGGTCAGAAGGCTGAGATTTGAACCTAGTCATTCAGCCTTAGAGTGCAGTTATTTTTCGTAACTTGTGGCACCTGTGAAGGTCATCCTGTTTTAAATGCTGCCAAAACAATTTGGTTTTAGATTGTCTTCGCAGTTTCACTGACTTGGAAGAACTTGATGAAACAGAGTTATACATGTGCCACAAATGCAAAAAGAAACAAAAGTCTACGAAAAAGTTTTGGATTCAGAAACTACCCAAGGTAAGTGTGGTTTCAAGGTACAGTTTAATTCTGAAGGGAAAATGTTCGATCGATAACAATTTTTTTTGGATACAGTTTTAGTGTCTGTGACCTGCTCTGCATTTGTCTCTTGGTTTTTAGTAAAAGCTAAGTAACCCCTTTGAGAAAGCATAACTGTCCTGTCCATATACTCAATATGTGGGGGGCGGGGACCCCCCCAATAGCACGCATGCTGACAACAGCTAGAGTTCTTCCACGGTCAGCCTGGAGAGAGCGTCAACAGTCCAAGGTTACGACCTTGTTCTCATGAGAGCCCCTTCCCCTTCATGCGGCGGTCTCAGTGCCAGGCGGTTATCCTGCTTCCGACTAAAAAACCATAGGCTGGAGGTTCCCAGCACCCTGCTGGGCTTCATTGAGAGGCGAGAGCAGCTCGTGGACTCAGGGAACTTTCTTACTCCCAGGGTCAATGTTACTCAATCTTCCCACACCTTGGGGCTAGCACCCGCCCTGCACACAGGTCCACGGACCAGCACTTCCAGTCAAGGCAGTGGACAGTGACTTTCAGCCTTTCCATACCTGTGAAGCAGTGCTGCTGCTCTCTGGCCTCTGGTCAGCGCACGGCACTGATCCCTGATCTGTTACAAAGGCTACTAAGGACCGAGGCCCCTACAGCGGAGCCAGTGTTGGAGTGTGGGGTCTGCCATGTTTGAAAGTGTTCTGTTGCTTCATCCTGGATGCTTCCAATCATGTCTTCCTTTTTTTTTTTGGTTTTAAATTAGGAGTACTGCTTATTATTCAGTCACTGATTAGGCTGACTGAAGCAGCATGAACTCCACATTTTTAAAAAAATGTAAATTTAATTTTCATAAAGTTGTTCACAATAATTGTTTACATTCAACATTTCAACACCAGTTCCACCACCATTACACCTTCCTACCACCATTATTTCGAATTTTGACACTATCACCCAAGCCTGCCCCATAGGCAGATGCTAAATAACTTATTTTGTATTGCTTGTTACGAATTTTAATTTTTTTTAAATATCTGGGTTCTGGAGGCATCTTTGCAGTGAGCTGCTCTTTTTGAGATTCATTTGTGAGTCTCTGAATCATGGCTATTAATGCCCTTAAATGGTAGCCTGAGGCAGTTAGTGGGCGTGACTGTCAGGAAACTGGAAGGGCAGAAGATGGGGGGAGGGTGTCCATCCCCAACTCCGTGAAGCCTGGAGTCTTCAGTCACAAGTCCTGCATTCCTGGGTTTTTCAGAGGATTCATTCTCATGCATGGGGTGCTTGCGACGGGCCTGTGAAGGTCAGCCATGAGCATGGCGGCGATTGGGGCCTGGAGGTTTGCAACTGCCAGGGTTCACTTGTGGCAGGCAGAGGGACACACCCGGGCCCCCCCCCCCCCCCCCAGGTGCCCTGATGAAATCAGCCTGGTGAGGGGTGGGGAGACATCTCTGCAGTGTGCTGCTCTCTTTCGAAATTCATGTGTGAGTCTCTGAATCATGGCCACTAATGCACTCAAATGTCCCGCTTTTGCTCTCTTTTGAGATTTATTTATGGGTCTCTGCAATAAGGCCGATAAGGGAGCTTGTATAGCTGAGCAGGAGGTAGTGTGTGGGCATGACTCCCACAACTTAACTTTTGGCTTTTCAATTTCTTGGGAAACTTGGTCCCAAGTTGTTGGGGTCCGGCCAGAGGCACAGTAGCAATTTTGGGTAATCAGGAAACCTAAAGGCATCATCAGGTGCAGGTTGACCTGCTGGGCGGCACCATACCCGTCTTTTTTTTTTTTTTTTAATGGGAACTTCATTGCTTAAATGTGAGTGATTTAGTCACAGGCTACTGACAGTTATTCAGTGTCCAGCTCCTCTCAGTTCCTCACAGGACACAGATAACACTAAAAGTCCCAGCCTCTTAGTCACTTGCTTGCAGCTCCTGGTGACCAACCAGCCTCTCCCTTAGTGCAGTCTGGAAGTCTCATCAGGAACATCAGAAAGGCCCTTGCAAAGGATCACAGCTCTTAGAGAATTATGGTCAGGAACCCTGTCCCAGACCCAGGAATGTGGTGCTCATTACAGATTACAAAATCACAGTGACATTTCCGGAAGAAAGCAAGGAGCAGAACAATGTGCAGAGTACCCATTATCGCGAGGTAACTAGTACTAAATAACTCATTGAAAAGCAAATCAGATGTTTATTTAGTCTTTGTACTTCTCTCCATCCAGGTGCTCTGCTTACATTTGAAAAGATTTCATTGGACAGCATATTTAAGAAACAAAGTCGATACATATGTAGAATTTCCACTCAGAGGCCTAGACATGAAATGCTACTTACTAGAGGTGAGATGTTTCTTTAGTAAACCTAATTCTCCAGGAGAGGGTGGGGTTACTGAAGGAAGAACCATGGTGCTGCAGACCATCCTAACCCAGTCCCGGACGCTTCTCCCTTGTTCTGCAGCCTGAGAACAGTGGTCCAGAGAGCTGCCTGTACGACCTCGCCGCTGTGGTGGTGCACCATGGGTCAGGGTGAGTTTGGGGGTTGCACAGTCGGGAACAGCTCAGGGAATAATTACAAATTATTATTTGCACGTTTGATAATTCCCCTGACTTCCTGGATAGTGAGTTCAGGGACGTTGAAATAAGCCAAGTAGAACTGCCCTTCAGTCTTGGTATGAAAGAATTTCCTTGAGATGATGTGAAGCGTGAAGAAACAAGATCCTGAGTAATTTACCCCAAAGCTATTTATTTCCTTTGGCAATTGATATTTAAATGGAACATTATTTGTGTAATAACTTAACCTGTTAGCTGCTTTTAAGATTAGTTCTTAATTTTGCAGAATGACTTCCCCCCCCCCCCCGAAAATTTGTTATTAGGGATATTTATTTCATTTGATTTCCGGCCTGAGAATGGTTCTTTTGCCTCTGAAGCTGAACTACTGTATGTACTCGGTCAAATGACTCTCCACACTAAACACCTTTTTCCTCAGAGCATTGTAGACATTGGCTTTGCTGCTTATAGAGTTAGATGCAGGACCACCTCAGGTCTGATTTTTTTGTTTGTTTGTTTGTTTGTTTGTTTTTTGGACCACACCCAGTGATGCTTGGGGGTTACTCCTGGCTCTGCACTCAATCCTCTGCTGGGGATTGAACTTGGGTCGGCTGTGTGCAAGGCAAGCGCCTGACCTGCTGGACTGTCTCACCAGCCCGTTGTGAAGGCAAAAGCTTACATCTAATTTGTTTATTAGAATTTAAAAAATTATTGGTGGGACCGGAGCCATAGTACAGTGGGTAGGGTGTTTGCCTTGCACGCGGCCAACCCGGGTTCGATCCCCGGCATCCCATATGGTCCCCCAAGCACTGCCATGAGTAATTTCTGAGTGCATGAGCCAGGAGTAACTCCTGAGCATTGCTGGGTGTGACCCCCCCCCCCCCCCAAAAAAAGCAAAAAAATAAAAAATTATTGATAAATGGCAAGGACTTTCCTCTCTTAGATGCAGCCTTTTCTCGGGAGAAAGGGCTGAGGAATCTTCGTGTTATGGCAGGAGGCAGATGGGGGTTCATATTGACGGGAAAGGGGAGGCGAAAGTGCTTCTCTGGAAGCTTTTTACTTTCCTTTGTGAGGAAGGGGGGGTTGGGAACCACCCCAGTCCTGCCCGGTCCTTGGGATGATGCCTGGTGTGGGGTTCAGGGGCTCGAGGGTCGAGCCAGGATGGCTGTGAACAGAGGGGGAGCCTGAACCGCCCTCACCTCTTTCTGGCTTCACAGACTACTTCGTCACGCTCAGGTTTTTTCTGCCTTTATGGGAAACTTGATTTTCATCTTTCTTGACCTAGAGCTCTACTTGTAGGTTGAGAGTTCCTTTGTTGGTTTCCCAGTCCAGCATTGTGTGAACACTTCCTTATATGTTCTGTCAGTTTTTGGTCAGTTTGTGGCACTTTCCCGTATTTTCCAGTGCCAGTTTTTTCCTTGTCATTTTTCCTTGTCGGTAGGGTACAGGGGAAGGTAAAAGTGTGAGCTCCTCTAACCGTCTCAACCGCATGTCTCTTTGGTTGTAGTAATTTCTAAAGTTATTCTGTGTCTAACAAATCACAAGACCGCACAGATCTTTTTATGATTCTCTAGTCTCTTTCTCTGATCTTTTCCTTTTCCTTGCAGAGTTGGCTCTGGACATTACACGGCATACGCCACTCACGAAGGCCGCTGGTTCCACTTCAACGACAGTACTGTGATGCTGACCGACGAGGACACCGTTGTGAAGGCAAAAGCTTACATCCTTTTTTATGTGGAGCGCCAGGCCAAAGCCGGATCAGATAAACTCTAATACCTCTTCTCAATCATTATTCATCAACTATACCGGACAAACATTTCCAATTTTCCATAAATACTTGATCCAAGAGTTAATTTCATTATGCACTTTTCAATTTCCTATTTTGGGTTTAGTTTCGTCAGTGGTAGTGACTTATTGAACTTGGGCACCAACTAATTTTTGTTTTTAGTTCTACCAGAAAACCTCAGCAGATATTTTGATTTGCTGCTTTAGTTGTAATAATTGTTTTATATGTTAGTTCCAAGGACTTAGTTCTATTTGACATTTTTTATATTAATGCGTTCAGTTCTCACTGGGAGGCACATTCATGTCAAAGCTTTTGTTAGTCACATGCTGAAAGCAAGATCTGTTCGGAGTCGTGAGGAGCAAGCTCCCTGCCTGCCACCTTTCCCCAGATGGAGTGGAGATTAGGTTGGTCCTGAATCGAAGCTCATGGGTGCACGGATCTGGGGGTCCACAGGCTTCAGTGATGCTTAGTAGCAGTCCTTTTATCAGAGATGAATGAGGCATCATGAGGTAGACCAGGCAGTTCCACCCAGACATTGCCACTCTTAGCATCTTTCAAGCCTGCTGTTTATCAGCCTTACCTAAATAAATTTGTTGGTTCAGTTGTAACTGTACTGCAGATTGAAAAATTGCTGATTTTTGTTTTGTTTTTTTTCCTGTTTATTGGGAATTTGTATTTGTGCGTGTTTTTTACATGAAGAAGATAGTATAGAAAAGTCCAGGTAATACCAAATGCATCGTGCTTAAAATTTCCAACTCAGCTCCATGGTATGTGTTACCCAAATAGAGGAAAGCACGGGATTTCTTCCTTTCAGTTAGCATCTCATCGCCACTAGTTGTAGCACTGACGGTCACTGCATGTCTGCTATGCGTCAGGAAAGGGCTTGCTGCTCAGGAGGCCTGGCTGCTCAGTGGGCCTAGCCTGATCGCAGATAAGTTGCAAATACTCTCCTGTTGTATACGTAGAGCTTCTATTCTTGAGTTTGTCTTCACTTGATTCTATTTAGCCTTATTTTATTTTAGTTTAATTCTATTCTGGAGTAATCTTCATTTTAAAATTATAAAAAATGTGGAAAAACACTATTGAGATTTAACTTGTGTTGAAATTTGGAACCAGAATCCTATCTGAAAGTATTTATGATTTTTGCCATTATTCCAAATCAGTCAGTTGGCTTTGGGGTGGTGTTGTTATTACTTGAAAGTTACTTCTAAGCAGAAAGAGCTCCAAAATAAGCCAGTAGGGGTGGGACCACACAGTTCGTATGTTATTCTTTTGTCCCAATAATTTTCTTCCCTTCTCAGTTTTCTACAAGTTGTTAGAAGAGGCAGAATGTATTTTATGTTAAGCCAGCCAACAAGATTTTTGGTAAACTTGCTTTTTTCTATTAAAGGGGAAAAATGGTCAATATTCTAAAGTGTATGACTATAAAGTCTGATGGCTCTCTTCCTTGACGTCTAAATGAAGTTGCAGGAGCAAATGTGGCTCCATTTCCACTTAGAATTAGCTGGCTAAAAAAATCTTCATTTCTTAGAGCAGAACACATCTGCTATATACTTTAATATGATGAGGCCCAAACTGCAATTATGTATAAACGTGTACTATCCCAATACAGTGGCCACTAGCCAAATGTGGTTATTTCCATTTCAGTTAACTTCATTTAAAAACTCAGTTCTTCAGTTACACTGAGCACATCCAAGGCTGGGCAGTAGCTGGCTTAACTGTGGCTGTGGGGTTCCTGTCGGGGTGTAGATTTCTTCCGGATAGCGCAGGTCTCAAATTTTGCCCTAGAGAGAAACTTTGCCATCAGGTTTAGATCTGACGAGAATCTCGACCAGTTTCCCAAAGTGAGCAGCACTGCCCTTACGGAGGAAGGGAGCATGGTACCACGTTGGGCTGGTTGTGGGACTGGGGTGTACTTTTGTTTGGTCACTTAAGGTGCATTTCTGGAGAGTGAGGTGCCAAGTGAATTTTAGGGGAAGGCACACCAAATGTGCTTGGGAAACTCTGGTCTAAAGGGAATTATGTATTTTAAAATGTTTATAATGCTAAATTAAAGTAGATCAGGCATATGGAATGGTGATGGTTTTTATCTAAAAAACATTAGTTTCACATCATTTGATTTAGTATGTAGCACAGCTAATTGACCTGACACATGCCTCTCCTGTGACCTTGCTGAGTCCCTCAGTGAGGACGAGCCCAGGCTCTTTTCCTTAGCTGGTCCACGGCCACTAGTGTCTAACAGTTGCTCCAAGAGTATCGGCTTCTGAGTGGGCAGCTGATGTGACTTCATTACCCCAGGCAGGGCTGGTGAGGAAAGGCCCTTTCATACCAAATGGAACTCAGTACAAAGTGTATCAGTTTATTAGAGAAAATGGTCTTTAGACAGGCAGCACTTGATATGAGATGAACACTTTTTTTTTGGTAGTACTTAATTATTGCTCAGTTTTATGTAAGCATCCAAATTATATCATGAAGTCCCTTTGGAAAAGCCCTTGCACCCATTGTTTGAACTGTGTGCTCGCGCACCAATGATGTAAATGTGCCTGTTTGTATTTGAAATTTTTAACTGTGTAGCTTCATTATACTTATTTTAAAAGCTGGTTCTTTTGTGTTTCTCTGGGCTTTCCCTCATATCATGACGTTTCTGGTATGTATGTGAGTGAAAAAGCTAAGATTTAGCCTTGCCACGAGTGACTTGGAGTCCTCGGAACGAGAAAAATTTCTCTTAAGTCCTCCCACTGACTGGTGAGAGAAGGTCTGTGGCAACACAAGATCTTGCACCATGGTGGATACACCTTTGCATTCCTGGTACTCTTGACAAACAGAACAGAATTAAGGCAGCCCGGTAGCCTGATCCTGGTTAGGTGTTAGCTGTCACCTGCGCAGCCCTGCTCAACAGCTGTTTGCAAAGCCAAGCCTCTCCGTCAGTGGGCCGGTGTAAATGAGTCCATGCAGAAATGTTTGACCCTCTCCAGCCGCCGTCTTCCTGGGCGCGCATGTGTCCTCCACTGCAACAATAGTTTCTTAAGCCCTGGGGAAGCTCAGGAGCACAGTGTGTTCTACAGTTGAGCATGGGTTGTGGTCATGATTGGAGACACAGGAAGGCCCCCGCAGAGGGGGTGGCTGAGTGGCTGTGGCCCGCTACTCCGTGCTGATCGTGCTGCAATGTCAGATCTGACCCATTACACAGGTTACCACGCATCTTTCCGGCATCAACCAGCTGAACGGAACTCTGTCTGTTAAAACTCTGGTCTCGCTTTCCTTTTGACTATTATTTCTCAGCACCTTCCAGGGGTGCCAAGTGACTGATGGACATCCCTCAAACCTGGGGTCCTGTCATTCAGTAAGTAACAAGTTCCTCCCGCATTCTCCTGGCCTGGGTCTGTCCTGTACAGGGCCTGGGGTAGAGGGACTTGTGGCAGCAGATGTCCCTGGAACGCTCCCCAGCCCCCAGCATTCTCTCTTCTTTCAGTGGTGGATCTCGGGTTTGCTTGCCACCTTCGGAGCTAGTTTGCACCGCAAGGAACATTCTGGGAGCTCGGATCCAAGAATACTGATTTTTCCTTTAAGTCAAACAGGTCAGGACCATGTCAAGTATTGTTTCATGCTCCGCTCCCAAGCAGAAAACGAGACCCAGGCTGTGGCTGCACCCTGAACAGGACGGAACATCTGTTCCCATCAGTATAAAACTGAAGACAGCGTCATCCGCCTTGAGTGACTGAGCACCTGCAGGTCTTGCCGAACCCTCCGTCTGGGCGACTGTTGGTCTATGCAGCTGCAGCCCGGAGCCCCCTGCACTCGGGCTGGGAGGGAAGCATGTGTGAGAGCCCTGGCAGAGAGACCCCTCTATTGCATGCACACCACATGGGTCCTCCCAGCATTTGGGGACACTTCGTGCAGCTCACCTGGAGGTGCAAGCAAGGGGCCAGGCTCTAATTTTGCCCAGCTGGGATCATGCCGTTCCAGAAGGGCTCTCATGGTCACTGGATCATGGCCAGCACTGACGCCGCTGCTGGCCACCTCTCCAGTGAGGAGCACATTCGGGAGTGCGCCAGAGCTGCTTCCAGCACACTGCTCGGAGGCGGCTTCTGGAATGCTGGGGACTCTGGTGCCAAGGATGGAACCGGGCCTCCCGCTTGCAGAGCACACAGTTCAGCCTCTTGAGCTCTCCAGACCCTGCTCTGCCATCCAAGACACTCACGGTTCTACCTAGTTCTAGCATCAGATCTCAGGAAAGGACCAACTTGGAAGGAAATGGGGAGAGAAAGGAGAGAAAAGGAGATTCTGTTAGACCCATCTGCAGTGCTTCAGTGTATTTCGGGCAGAGAAGAGCAGCTGGAGTCCAGAGGCTTTTGGCTATCCCTTGTGATACTGTTTTTGGCCATGTCCTGCAGTGCTCAAGGGCTGCTCCTAGCTTGGTGCTTGAGGCTTAGTGTCAGGGACCAAATCCAGGGCGGCTCCTTTCAAAGTGCATTCTCCAGCCCTCTGATACGCCTCTGCCCTTTCAGCTGGAATCAGGCACGAGTAGCTTGAAACAGCACCAGCTACCCTTTTCCTTGAGATACCTCTTTCGTTAAGCTGTTTCTTGGGTTATGTCATTTTTAAGAAAAGTCAGTAGTGGGGCTGGAGAGATAGCACAGCGGGTAGGGCGTTTGCCTTGCACGCGGCCGACCCAGGTTCGATTCCCAGCATCCCATATGGTCCCCTGAGCACCGCCAGGAGTAACTCCTGAGTGCAGAGCCAGGAGTAACCCCTGTGCATCGCCAGGTGTGACCCAAAAAGCCAAAAAAAAAAAAAAAAGAAAAGTCAGTAGTTTTTGGCAATAGTCAGGAGACAGAGCCACGGGCTTCTCAAAGAAAGGAGATGGGCTGCTTGCATGGTAGCTGCTGTTGCTGCTCTGATTGGAAGGGCGAAGCTGCTCCATGCCTGACCGAGTCTTAGTTCCAAGAGGAAGTCCAGCAGTTTATTTTGTGTTAGTCTCATAACTGGAAAATACTCCATGCTTTCATGTGTCAGACAGGAAAAGGACTGAACGTGACCAAGGGTAGTGCTCAGTGCTTCACCCCCCCTCCCCCACACACACACCCCTCCTCGGACTGCATGGGTGTACAGCACAGCCTCAGCTGTGGGCATCCAACAAGCCAGGCCACCTGTACATGTGCAGGCCGTGGGTGTTTCTCAGCCAGACCTAGTGGCTGGATGGAGCTGGGCCTGTACACAGTTTTAGGAGTCACAAGCTGAGAATATTCAGTGTAGAAGCGAGAACTAAACACCTGATGGTGGGTAGGTGTTTAGTTCTGGTTGAACTGAATCCAAGAGGGGGTGTGGCAACTTCACCTTGCTTTGGGCAGCTGAGCCCGCACGTGCTGACGTCGCCGTCTGGGGAGGGCAGCGCAGAGTATGCGGGGCCGGCAGGAGGAACGGGGAGAAAACCGGACCTGCGAGCTTCAAACCACACGCTAGAAAGATAAGCCACTTGCGATAAGTCTGTCATGAAACGAGTGAGGGTAAAAATAGAGGCAGGAGGCCAAGGTCCCTCTGTGAGTGAAGAGCAGTAGGATGTTTCAGCCCAGCCTGGAAACCATCACGACTGACCAAGAATAACAGCACAAAGAGGGCAGCGTTCTCGAGAGGCCTCATCACGTGGTGAGCCTCAACCTTTCTGGACGGCCGGCTGCTTCCTACGGGGAGAAAACAAACAGGATTTGATATACTAGGACTCTCCCAGAGGGTCTAAGGGACCTGGCCAGTCACTCTGAATGAGGATGGTGTTGGGGAAATGCGCTCTGCTGAGCACCATTGTCTGCTAAAAGGGAAAAAAAAATCCACTTTAAGGACTTAAAACTTTAACTTAAATTAGGCTGCTGCTTCACCAGGATTTAAAATCCCTCTGGACGGAAGCTGGACCACAGAGAGGTGCCCTGGGCCTGGGTCCTGGCTCCCCACTCCTTGGAGCTCCAGCTTGATGTTAGTCAGAAGAAACTCCGTTCCTCAGCCATATATGTCCAGCAGCCCAGGCTGGGAAGCAGCGGGAGTCAGGCCAGCGCTCTGGGCTGTGGCTCTGTTTGGGAGGCCATTGCTATGGGCACCACGCACCTCGCCCAGCTCAGCCCAGCGCCTGTTGCACCCCTGCTTCCTGGACAAGGACAGCAGGGGGAATCTGGCCAAGACCTGCCCCCAGCTCTGGCCCCACGTGCACTCAGTTCACTAGCAGAGCTCCAGGGCAGTTTCCTTCCGAGCCCCGAGCTGCGCAGCCTCTGCTGGCGTTCAGGACTCGTGCACGTGTGCAGCATTAAGGACTGGCTCAAACACTCTGTAGAGAGGCATCAGGCCTGGTCAGCAACTTCCTCCTCCTGGTGGGCGACAGGTAGGCTGCCTGCCTCATTCCACGGGAGGTGGTAGAGGTGGGGAAGAGCCCCCCAAGCCTCACCTGAAGTCCCAAGCAGAGCCTCCAAGCCTGTCCACCAGGAAGAAGGGACCTGGTGTAGCAGGCTCCAGGGCTGCGGCTGTAGGAAGCTGAGCTTCAGCCGTCACTGTCCTCTGGGCAGCGGGCCTCACTGATGGCCCTTACCTGACAGGTGTGTCCAGCTCCTTCCCGTCCTCCTAGGCAGGGGGGGAACACCTGCCTCCCTTCACCCCCGCTGCGGTCTGCCTCAAGCTGAAGGGACGCTTGCTTCTTTGTGGGGAGGCAAATGCATAGGTGTCTGGTGCCCAGTGCTGGGACCCGTCACTGGCTCTGCCCTGGCCTGGGGTGCTGGGGACCACAGAGATAGTCCCCAGGGAGCCCCAGTGCCAGGGCAGGGCCAGGCTGCTGGAGCCGGACTCCCCTAATTCCTGCCCATGGCCCCTGCTGGGTTAAGTGGAGCATAATTTTCCAAATAAAGCCGCCCGGAGGCCATATGACCTGCCTGTCTTCAGACTCAGACTACAGCAGATACAGGATTCTGGTCATCACTGACTGTCACGTCTTTGGCATAGCAGGCCCTCCGAATCCCTGCATCCATCTGCCTACCCCACCCTGGGCTTACCGCTGGGCTCAGAGCTGCCCCTTGTCACAGGCCCTAATGACACCCTGGTTCCAAACCGGGCTAAGCCAGCGTGCACAGGAGTGAGCCGTCTAAAGCTGGCCGGCGAGTGGCAGCAGAGTGAGAAGCAGCAGCTGGACTTGGGGTTGTGGCCTCTTGGTTAGGCCGAGGGGTCAGCGTGGAGGGGGTGTGCGTGGCGCAGAAAGGCGCATCCTATAGCCTGAGAACAGGCTGTGATCGCTGAAGCCCGGTGCAGCCTGGTGCAGCAGGGGCCCCCGCTGTCCGTAAGGGCAGGGAGGCGCTGGCCGGGCCTGCTGGAAGCTCACTGACCACTGGGGCGCGGCCCAGTTGTGCTGTGCTGCAAATGGGCAAGTCACTGGCCACTGCAGGCAGCACGGATGGAGGCCAGAGCCTCATCGTCACACTGTCCCGTGGGTGGGAAACCGTCACAGGATGAGGCCTGGGCTCCTGGGAGAGGGTCGCGGGCTCAGTGTGCGGTGGCGGCGCCCCCTCCTCGGCATGCTGTGGCCGCCCTGGGGTAGCCGGGCCCAGGCTCCGAGTCAGGCCCACGGGGGCGCCGTCACGCCGCAGAGGCGACCCCCAGGCAGGCGGGGCTCCGGGGCGGCCCGAGGGGGCGTGGGCAGAGCGGCAGGTGGGCAGCCCCGAGCGGGGAGTCCGGGCTCGCGGCTCTGCCAGGGCCGCCCCTCTCCCCCCCACCCCCGCCCGCGCCCCGTCCCGCAGGTGTCCGGGCCTGGTGGCCATCCCGCTGTCGGGCCGCCTGCCGCGCCTGCGCGCCCCCGCCCCGCCGCGCGCCCCCGCCCGCCCGCGCATGCGCACTCGCGCCGCCGCGTTCCCGACCTGCCGGCCCCCGCGGCGGCCGTGAGCCCGGAACAGCCCCTGCGCCGCGTCCCGGGTGGCCCGGCGGGTCCCGCGGGGCCGCTGTCCCGGGCTGCGCCGGCGCGTCCGGAGGGCGTGGGGGTCCGCCCGTCCCCCGGAGTCCAGGACGGGCCCGAGGAGCCCCGAAAAAGTGGGGGTGACCGCGGGCGCACGCGGGGCTCCGCTTTCAGGGTCCGCCCCGGGCGGCCCTCGCGGCCTCCCCGCCCCCTCCCCACCGCCCGTTCGCCTCCGTCCCGCCCCGCCCCTTCCTGCCCCTCCCACAACCCCCTCCCCGCCCCGGCCAGCCCAGCGCCCCCGCTGCCGGGGGAGCCCCAGACGGGATGGGGTGAAGAGGAGCCTCCAGGGCAGCAGCGGGTGAGGGGCTCCGGGGGTCCTCTGCAGGTGTCACCCAGACTGGCTCGTGTGAGACCGAGGGGGAGGCGCGGGCAGCACCAGGCAGTGTCCAGCCAGCAGGGGCAGGTCTGAGAAAGACGGGGCGGGGGGGCGCCCGCGGGGTGCCCGGAGATGGTCTGGTGACCCCAGTGCGGGGCGCATTCCCCTTTACCATGGTCCAGAGCCGCGGTTCCTGCAGGGGGTGTCCAGGTGCCCAGCAGCGCTGCGACCCGGGAGTGGCCCTGGTGCCTGTTCCTGCCATTTCCGCAGCGCTGAGCTAAAGCCCAGCCCGGGCAGCAGGGGGGACCCCGGACACTCAACCCCTGCCCCAGCCTCGCCACACGCACCCGGGACTCTGCCCTCACCGTCTCCCACGAACCCCAGTTCTGACCCTGGGCTGGTGGGTTAGCTGGGAGCCTCTGCCCCAGGGCGGACTGCCCCTCGAACCCCAGCACCCGTTCTGTCCTCCTCAGGGCACCGTCAGGCCCCAGCAGACACTTCTTCCGAAGCGCTGCCTTGGCCGAGGGACAGCCAGTGCTGGACACTGAGCAAGCCAAGGCCCACGCAGGATTCTCTGGGCCGGAGCTGGGCTTGCTTCTGGCCCTGTTTCAACAGGGTCTTTACCTTCCTGCACAGCTGCTCCTTGGGCTCATGACCTGCCCCTGGCACTGGCTGGCTCCCCGGCTCCCTATTCCTCCACAGCAATCCTCCCCCCCAGCTCCATACACGCCCTGCCACGGCAGGGACCGCCAGGGCATGCCCCTCACCCAGAGTGACCCCAGCCCCGCCCTGTCTGATGCCACCCTCCAAGGCCCACTCCTGATGCTGTGACCACCTGTCCTGCTGGGCCCTGGGGCCTGCATCACATTTCAGCCGGTTGCAGAACCCACGGAAACAGGGCTTTCCCGCCTAGGACTGTAGTGCCCTGGGCCCTGCTCTGTCAGCTCCATGCAGAGCCGCTGTCTGGCGAGGGCAGACCTGTGACAGGCCGGGAAGCTTGGAGCGTGTGAGGCCGGCCCGGAGCCATGGGAAGCCCCACTGGAGGCGAGGAAAGCGCTTCATGTGAGGGTTCCTGAATCAGCTTTATTTCTCTGCGTAAGGAACCCTGCACAGGCAATTCAAATTAAACCAAAATAAATATATGAATATTCATGTAAAACTGTCCTTCTAATGAACAATTATACACAATGTACAATTCCATGTTCACTGAGTGGGTTTACAAAAATGTACCATTCCCAACTTAAAATGCACCAAAATGGCTCCATGCAAACTTATCAAAAGTGACCGAAAGTATGGGAGGGTAAACCTGACTGAGCACTTTGTTTTTTGTACAATCACAGAAAAATAAAAACATCTAATTTCTTTGTTACATTTAGAGGAACTAGGTGTGGCCACTGTTTGTAATACCGGTTTATGTCCTAAGCATCTACGTAGTCACCATGAACGTGTCCGACATCGCCGGGCGTCCGTCGGAGGGTCAGTAGTCAGTGTCGGAGCCCTCGGCGTTGTCCACGTTCCTCGAGAGCATGTAGTTGTCCATGTCGATGGAACGGCAGTTATTGATGGCGTAGCGCAGGCGCTCGGCCAGGAGCAGCTGGCTGGAGTAGGGGGGCAGTCGCAGCTGGAAGAAGCAGGTCTGGGAGGTGGGCAGGCTGTCGTAGGGCTGCGGAGAGAGCAGGGCGTCACGGCAGAAACGGGCTGGCGGGGGCTGCAGCGCCTGCCTTGCCCGGCCTCAGCGGGCTGCTTCCTCTCCTGCCGCTTCCCAGCTCAGCCCCCGGTGAGATGAGCACAGACCCACCTGCCCGGGCCCCTCCCCGAAAGGGAAGAGACGCCATGTGGGCGACGCCAGGAACTCCCCTGGGCCCGAGTGTGAGCCCTCGGGCTGGACGCAGGCCCTGGACCCAGAAGGGCACCCTGGTGACCCAGCAGGGCTGCAGGGTTGGGGAAGGCGGAGCGCACCCTCGGGCCACACCTGCGCATTTGCCGGGGGCAGCAGGGCTGGGGGTCCTGGCACTTAGAGATGGCCCAGAACTGTGGCAGGCCTGCGAGGATACACGCGGGAGCAGACAAAGCCCGCACAAGGCACCTCACGGGGCTCTGGACAGACAGTGGCAGGGGTTCTGCTAGAAGGCAGCTGCCACCCATTCTCTCCTCCTCACTGCACTGCTCCAGATTCCTGACACTGAGTCTCTGGTGGGCACGGTGGGCATGATGGGCAGGGCGGGCAGGCTCCACAAGGGTGCAAAATACAGAGCCTCGGAGCTCAGTGCTGGGCCCAAGGTGCGGGACAAGCACACGGATACAGCTGGACCAAGTCTTAGGTGCTCTCGGGAGCAGTTTTCAAGGATGGGCACTGGCTGGACACTGGGAGAGGCTGTCCAGAACCATGAAGCAGGGAAACAGCCTAGGCAGGAACAGGGTCTGTCTGGGGACACGCCAGCTGGGGTGGGCAGTGGGTATTTGTCCCCTGGATGCCTTGAGCGACCATGTGTGATGGACTGAGGGCAGCACCTCGCACCCGGGCCCTACCTGGGCCCAGAGCCACTTCCTGAGCACTCGCCTCCGTTAACATTAGCCTGGGCCTGTGTTAGCCCAGGTGAAGCAGAGACAAGAGTGGGTGCTCAGCCACAGAGCTCTCTCGGGCCGAGTGTTGTGCTCTCATGAACAAGAGGAGGCAGCACACAGTGTGCAAGTGCACTCACGGAGGGACACGGGGACACAGCACTGTGACTGGGTGATGCCCATACCCACTGGCTCTCTTCTGAAGGGAACTCATGTTTCCGGATAAGTTTTCTCTAGATCTTTGTGTTTAAAATCTGGAAATTTGGGCCGGAGTAATAGTACATCAGGCAGGGCACTTGCTTGGCATGCAGCAAGCCCAGGTTTGATCCCGAACATCCCCTATGATCCTGAGTACACCCCAGGAAAAAGCCCTGAACACAGAGCCAGGAGGAGGCCCTGCACCCTGCCAGGGGTGCCCCCAACAAAACAGACAAATCTGGCAACTTCAGCATCCAGCAAGGGCTGGCAGGTGACTTGGGAGCGGGGTACGGTTGCCACAGGGCAAGGCAGGGTCACTCACCCGGTCCACCTTCATGATCTGGAACCTCTGCGAAATGTCCGCAGTGTTGGCCGGCAGGCGGGATCTCCCGGACACGAACCTCATGAAGAGCACGCGCTCCTCGTTGGAGAACTCCTCCAGCGTCTGCCAGAACCACTGGACCAGCTGGTGCTGCTCGTCCACCTCCCGGTAGCGCACCACCTTCTTCAGCACCTCCACGGAGATCTCGGGCATCCCGCACACCATCTGCTCCAGCTGCTTGGCCGTCAGCAGGGACAGCAGCGGCACGGGCACGATCCAGGACATGCCTTCTCGGACCGCGGCCACCTGCGCAGGGCAGACGGGGTCACTGGGGCCCGCACACGGACACACACATGGACACTCACACAGTACGCACACGGGCATGCACACGGACACGCACATGGGCACGCACATGGACACGCACACGGAAAATCTCTGGATTCTCCAGCTCCCCTGCGAGCCAGCACGGGAGCCCTAGGGGTCCGTCAGTGCAGACACCCTGTCTCTGAGCTGCTGCATTCAGAAGCCTCTCCCAGGGGTCTTCAGTCTTCTCACAGCGGGGCAACCCCTGGAGGAAATGTCCCACTCCCACTTCCTCATCATTTACAAACACATCCATTTTGTAAACATCATCTCTGCTCATTGTGAAACAATCGGGGAAAAGAAGCAAGCGAGGATGGAAGTCCTGCGGGGCAGCTGGACGACAGAACCCCTCAGGGGCTCTCCTGACTGACTCGGGGCTCTGGGCACTCTGACACAGGTGACGACGGGAAGATGCATGTGGCGGCCACCGCTCGGGTCCTGCTGCCTCAGCACAGGCCAATGACAGGGCAGGACAGAAACCAGCAGGGTCATTTAGGAAAACACCCCAATGTCCAACTCGGAGTGGGTCGCGAAGTGGGGGTGGGCAGACAGACAGGAAGACTCTGCAGCGCCAAGGACGAGCAAGATCGTGCGACTCAGCGTAGGAGGTCTCACGCTGAGCGGTCGGCCAGAGGAAAGGAACAGACAACAACCTCTCACATGCGAGGGAGCGACAAAGCACCAAAGGCAACACAAGGGGAGACCTGACCCACATGACTCAGCTGACGGGGTGGGGTGCCGAGAGGGAGTATGTTGGGGGTCCACTGGGGATGGTGTGGTGGCAGAATTATATGCATGGGAGACCATCACTAACTGAATTAAAGACCACAGAATCTCAATCCAGAATAAATGTTAAAAAGAAAGAAAATTGTCCCTACATGTACATTTAGAGCTTGTTTGGAGGTTCTAGCAGGGGAACGCAGCTACTCGTATACCCTCGACCGAAGACCGGTCCGGCTCTATTCGGGGAAGGCCGTCCTCTTCGACCGAGCACGTAGCTTCAGGAGGGACGCACATGGAGCGGTGAGGGAGGAAGGGGACACCCGCCTAGCCAGCCAGATCAGCCGAATCAACCCTGGTGATCAATGGGGTGACAGATGTCGCAGCCAGATCACCCTCACATCATGGGCTGGAGCAATAGCACAGCGGTAGGGTGTTTGCCTTGCACGCAGCCAACATGGCCGACCCGAGTTCGATTCCTCCGCCCCTCTCGGAGAGCCTGGCAAGCTACCGAGAGTATCTCGCCTGCATGGCAGAGCCTGGCAAACTCCCCGTGACGTATTCGATATGCCAAACACAGTAACAACAAAGTCTCCAATGGAGACATTACTGGGCCCGCTCGAGCAAATCAACGAACAAGGGGAGGGCCTTTACCTTTACCTTTACCTTTATGTACATTTAGAAATGTACATTGCTAAACCACAGATTATCTGCATTGCAGATTCCACTTGCAGGGCTGGCACTGCTCAGGGTTCACTTCAGAAACAGCTCATCTTTGACGGAAACCCAAACCAACCCGAGGGCCTGCGAGGACTATGCTGGGGGTGTGGCCGGCATGAACCTGGGCTGGCAGGGGGGTCATGTCCAGGGACGGCCAAAGGAAGGCCGGAGCCACAGTCTGCAACAAGCTGGTGTACACAGACGGGCAGGAACCCATGCTGTCTGGGGCGACTGCGGCTGCAGGTGGGCTGTCTGCCTTGGGATGAGACAACTGGGGTCACTAAGGGAAGGATGGAGGGTTCCTGGGGGTGGGGCGGGGCGGGGCAGGGCAGTGGTGCCTGGTGAGCCTGCTGGGGGTCTGGCTCTGCTGAGGCGCCTACTGCATCTCCCTGGGTCGAGGCTTCGGCCGAACGGCGACTTTCCCTACAGACCACCAGAGCACACACACTGCAGTCCACTGCTGATGAGGGTTAGGCATACTCTGACTGGGACACACGCTGTTATGGCTGTGGAGTGTGCGCTGCCGCCAGGGCTCATGCTCTGGTCACAATTCCTCACTGGACGAGACACAAAGTCTGAGAAGTGACCAGGAATGAAGGTGCCGAATCATATGCTGCCAATTACCAAAGGGCCTCTGAGCGGAGAGTAAGCTTGAAACCATCGCAGGGGCCTACAAACAGGCTGGAGCATGTGAGACAAACTCGAGTCTGAACAGACTGATCCTACAGTCACTCACACCCTCGTCGCTGAGCAGTGTGTGTGTGTGGGGGGGGGGGGGGCAGCGGAGGAGAAGCAGGAGCAAAGAGCAAAGGCATCCACCGGTGCTCACAGTGAAGTCTCCTCCCTCCTCGGGCGGCACCAAGAAAGCACAGAGAGCACCCGAGAGGCTCCGCAGTGAGAGGCGGCCCTGCAGCTCGTCTGTGGAGGAGACCCCTCAATGGGCTTGAGGGACTGGGGAGGGCGGAAGCGACACGAGCAGCCTAAGGCACTGGTTCTCATGGGCCCGACCAGCTGCTGGAGGAGGGACAGCAGCAGGGACAATGGCAGAGGGGAGACAGCCGTGCTGAGTGGTCCGAGCTGAGACCGTGGCCTCAGGCTTTCCCGGGACCCATCCATCACTGGCCCCAGGCCTTGAGTAAGGCAAACAGATAAGGCCCGAGGAGGCTCTCGGAATGCCTGAAGTACGGATGTGGACTCATCACTTGTCCCCCGCGGGAACAGCCGCCCGTGCCCACATGTGCCCCCCCGGTACACCCCCTCACCTGCCGGTCCATCTCATGGAGCCGATACTCAATGGCTCGCTCCACGTACTCTTTCCTGTTGGAAAATGTGAGCGGGATGCTATTTCCACCAGCGATTATGGGAACCATTTTGCCGTCAGCGCTCTGGCCAACAAAAGAATCAAGAGGAATCATCTAGCAAAAGAAGGAGAGTTTTCATTAAGTGGTGGAAATGGCGACAGAAAGCAAATTACACATATGTACAGCACACGGGTAAGATCCTGACTTCCTGTTAACTGCTGTGGGGTGACACTCAGCAGTGCCGAGGGCCAGGGACGCGATGTCCACGTGGCTGTGGGATGGACGCTGAGTCTCTCCGGCACACAGTGCTGCCACGCTCAGCCACCCCAGGCGTCCTCTGAGCTCTGGCTGCCCGGCGGGGAGACCAGATTCCCAGCCAGAGAGTAGAGGCGGGGGCCTGGGCCACCATGGCCTGCTGGGGACACAGCCTGGGCCGGCCAAGGCGGGCACGGGAGCGCCGCAGTTTCCCGCCGGGAAGCCTGGCCAGCCGCCGCAGGTCACAACTTGCCTCATGGAAATTCTCCTCGGTGATGCCGCTGTCTTCAATGTGAAGAATGCTGCCGAGTGTCTGCACATAGAGCAGGTCCACCTCCTCTAGGTCCTCCAGGGCCAGCGGGACGCAGCACAGCTGCTTCCACACCAGCGGGGCCAGGTGCAGGTCCAGGGGCTTCTTGGTCCGAATGGCCACCCCCATGAGTATCCCCAGGAACTTAAACTGCATTAAGTGTTCATCGAGGCAGGCAGAGGGGTTGAAGAGGAACCTGCAGAGTGAAAGGCAATACTTCAAGCAAAACCGCACTCCTCTCTGTCGGAGATTTACAAGCCAGCAGCTCCGGCTGGGTCCAGGTGCCCAGCCCGGCTGTGGCTAGCTGCAGGTGGCCGAGGACCTCAGGGGAGTGCAATGGAGTGCCAGTGTTTCAGCCATTCGAACCAGTCTCCAGGAACGGCAGCCCCGCCCGGGCTGGGCCAGGGCGCGGATGGCGCAGGCCAACCCTGCTGGCCTCAGAGCACTATGAAGGAGCATAGGAACGCTCTGTGATTCCTTAGGGTACCTGACCCAGGATGTCTCGTTCCCTAAAGGAAATTCTCCAATCAAGTTGATGACACAAGATCAAAATTTCAAAAAAATGTAAATATGAAAAAAAAAGGGGCTAGCGTGATAGCACAGTGGGTAGGGCATTTGCCTTGCACACAGCCGACCTGCCTGACCCGAGTTCAATTCCTCCGCCTTCGATTTCTCTGCCCTGCCCCTCTCGGAGAGTCCTGCAAGCTACCAAGAGAATCTCGTCCACGCGGTAAAGCCTGGCAAGCTCGATATGCCAAACACAGTAACAACAAGTCTCACAAAGTTACTGTAGGGCCCGCTCGAGCAAATCGATGAACAACGGGAGGACAGTGACAGTGACAGTGATGGAAAAAAGCGTAATTGCAGATGCAAGATGCTATGACTTGACTTTCTCTGACAGAGAAAATTACTGAGGGGACGTGGGGCACTAAGGAGCACAAAGGATGTCAGCTTCATGGTTAGGCATGAGTCTCCCAGACTCTCAGTTACAACGGACTTGGTCCCAGTATAGATACGGAACAGATAAGGGGCTGGACCCGTAGGACAGTGGGTGGGTAGCCAGAGGACGCTGCCTGCATGCGACTGGCCTGAGTCTGATCCCTGGCCCCCGGACCACCACCATGAGCGATCCCTGAGCGCCACCAGGAGTGGCCCCAAAACAAAAACAAAAACAAAAGCAAAAAAAAAGAAAGAAGTGTTCTGGTTTCTTTATCTGATGAAGGGAATATTAACAGTTCTGATTCCTCAGGGTCACAGCAAGGATCCCAAGGGATAATTCGTGTCAAGCTCTGAGGAAACCTCAATAAATCTGCCGTCACCGCCTCTGCCACCGCCAACCGATGGCCTTACCTGTCCCTATTGTAGCCCACTTCCGCAGTGGCATTAGGAGACGGTATAAGAAGGTCGACAATGCCAGTTTCAAGTTCCTGTAGGAAAAGGAAAATTTTTTTTGAGAAATGATAATTCATATAGAGAAGAAAAAGATCGGATTGAAAATATTCTGAGGAATTTATGGTTCCAATATAAAATTAAATGAGGAGTTCCCTCACTCGCAAAATATTTTACAGAACAAAAATGGAGATGAAAGAGCCAGCCCAAGGCCAGAAGCTGGAGCGTGCATGAGCACAGTGTGGAGGTCAGGGAGATGCAGTGGGAGGGCGCCTCTGGCTCCTTCAGTCCTGGGAATTCCCAGGAGAACCCTGTGGTGCGGCGGAGCAGGCAGGGTCAGGCTGGCCTGACACGGATGCCCTGCACAGCTTCAGCTGGGAGCTGAGGCTTGCTCTGACTTCCCGGGGTCTCGTGACAGCACCAGGGTAAGTGGCAGCCCGTGGGCAGCCTGTTCGCCTGTTACTGAAGCGCAGATCACCGTGTCCTCGGCCAGATTACAGAGCGGCAGATGGGGAGGCGGGGGATGCTAGCCGCTGGACACAGCTCAGTACAGAATCTTCACGGCACCACACGAGCCCTGCCTAGGCCACCTGCTGACAGAGCGACTGGCTGACAAGGCCCATGGAGAAGGCGCGCAAACGGGGAGTGGCCCCCACCCTCGGAGGGGACGCTGCACACACAGACCTGGCACATCTCTGTGATCGTGTCATCGAACACGCCGCCAGCGTCGTCAGCGCCTTCTCCCACCAGCTTCACCTTCCAGGCCCGGGAAGGCAGGCGGAGGTCGGACGCATTCAGTTTAACAACTTGCCTCGCGATCTGGACAAAGATGGGCTTACATTTACGGCCCCTTTGAGAGAAAGGAAAGACAGTGAAACCTGATTCGAGTTCCTTTTCCCTTTCCAGAATTCCCAGAGGTCCTGCGAAGGTATCATCTATCAGTGAATGAAGAGGCCAATTCTGACAGGCCCACGTAATGGTGCTGACGTAAGGACAGCTCAGCGGCCCAGGGTGATCATGCTGACGTAAGGCCTGTTCCTTTCCTCTTCACAGAGGAAACCATGAGGGGGACAAGACTCCCAGAGATTAGTCAGTGACAACATTGGCAACGGCAGCCAAAGAGATAGTCGAGCGGGCAGACACCTGCCTTGCATGCGGCCAAGCCAGGCTTACTCCTCAGTCCCATTTGATCCTAAAACCGCGAGGAGTGACTCCTGAGCACCAAGGCAGGAGTACCCTCTGAGCACCATGGGCATAGCTCAAGAACAAACACCAGCGAGTCAGGGCTACACACACACGTGTCAGCTGACCTGGTCGATATCCTCTTCACAGTGATCTGAGGCCCGTAGTTTTTCCCCTGGACCATGGTCTTCCCAATGGAGCGTACCATGGGGAGGGTGTAGACTCTCGGGGCTAGCAAAGGCCGCAGCTGCCCCTGGACAATGCCCCACGTTCCGGCGTTATAGTGAGAGGTGCTGTTCTGTAACAGAGAGAAGTTCGTGGAGGTGGTTTTGTCTAGGCACGCAAAGGAACACCACATCGTACTTTCAAAATGTACTTTTTTTTTTTCTGAAATGCACTTTGCAAAACTTAAAACCTTGGTATTAGTAACTGTTATTTCCCCCCTTTTTATTATTTTTAATTTTTTGAAAAATACAGAAAAGGAAACACATGGATACAGACATGAAAATGTCCCGGATCTCGGTGCACCTTGCCGCGTCTCTAAGTGTGCAGGCATTCTTTCCTGGCACTACCGAGATGACACCAAAACCTGCTGGTGTTTCTCACTCGTCTTCACCAGAGTGCTTTCCCCTCATGAATGCCCTGAAGACACTTGGTGCCCTGCCACGGCATCCTGCTTCCCGGCAGATTCTGACAGTGGTTTGTCAGGCCCATGAGTGGCTGCTCCTGGTTATCCACAGGGCCCACCCCATGGCTGACTCACTCTCCACAGGCAGGACCATCCTGCTTCCCGCTAATACCACTGACAGATGGGTAGGCAGGTCAGCCAGTCTCCCTCCGGAGAACCCCAAATGCTCATTCGTGAGTAAAGGAAGAAGTTTCCTAAGTCTAGGGCTCATTAAAACAACTTTGCAACGACACCCGCTTTCTGTGCTTGAATTTCAGAATTCCTTGTGAAATGCACGCTCACCCACTCCTGCCTTTTTAGGCTTTAAACGACCCAAACAGTCTCTGGTCCACACAGGACTCAGCGACAGGCCGTCCTAGTGCAGAGGCGGGACACTAGCCCAGAGCGGCAGTGACAAGGGGAAAGAACTGCTGGCTTTTGTTTCATTCGGGGCCACAGCCAGTGGTGCTTTGGGCTACTCGTGGCTCTGCGCTCAGGGATCACTCCTGGCGGGCCCGGGGGAACACATGGGGTGCTGGGCTTCGATCCCGGGCTGCCAAGTGCGAGGCGAGCGCCCTCCCGCGTCTCTCGTGCACGGCAGGCTCTTACCTGGCTGTTGGGGCTGAGGTTGAGCAGCCGCCAGGACGAGTACATGAGGTCGGAGAAGTGGTAGAGCAGGCGCAGGCGGGTCCGGGCCGTGCGGATGCTCAGCTCCCGCAGCGCCCCGTACTGCGGGGGCACAGCGTCGGGCAGGCCCAGCTGCAGGGGCACCGAGACGCCTGCATGAGAGGAGCAACCCGTCAGGGACCCTGCCGGCCACGGCGCACACAAGGGCCCCGGCTGAGAGTCCCTGAAACCTCAAGCCGGCGCCTGGGACAGACACTTGGCACACGCGTATCGAACCTCCACTGACTGACTCATTGTTACTGCTCTCATGTAGCTATTCCAAACTGTACACGTTTTGTGACTCGGCGTGGAAACGTCCCTCCTTTATCTTCCATCTAATTATGAGACCTAAGCAGTCCCTTTATAAAAAACAAAAACAAAATCTTAAATTATTTTGTTTTTCCTCTGGCGGGGGGGAGGGGAGCTCTTTCTTACTCTGTGCCCAGGAGCGACCCCTGGAGGTATCTGGTGAACCGCAAGGGGTGGCGGGAATCAAACAGGAGATGCCCCTGCCTTGGCTCTGCTCTCTCTGGCCTCCACCTTCTCTTCCTTAAAAGGGGTCCAACTCGGGGGTGCTGGGGGAGGAGGGCCTACAGGATGCCCGGGGCAGCTCAGATAGATCAGGAATGTTGGGGGTCGAATGTGGAGCCACATGCTGGTCAGACGCCCCCCAAGCCCCCAGTTCCTCCTATCAGACCAAAACGACATCACCGTCATAACAGCACAGGGTTGGGCTGGGCTACGTGGGCACTTCTGGGAAAAGCACGCTCAACAGAGTGACGCCATGAGGTATGGTCACTAGATATCTGACCAGAAAGGCCAGGGACAGTGAGAGGGCCGAGGGAGGACTCTGGGGAAGGAATGACAGTGCCATGGTACAAAGGAACACAAACATGGTGGCCAACTGATTCCGTTTCCTGAAAACACGTGCACGGAAGGCTTTACCTGTTCTTAGAGGGGCTTTACCACTATCAACACCGAAAGAAAGGCTGCCTTCCCTTGAGCTCTGTGAGCCCGGCACTCTCCCGGAGCTGCACGGGAGCTGGTGTGGCAGGCCTCTTGCTGCTGGGACCCCAAGCACCAGCTTCAGTCTGGCCTCACTGCGGGCGTGTCCAGGTCTGAGCCTTCGCCCCGCACCCTCTGGACAGGAAGTGCGATTCTCTGGAAGCAGGACAGACTTGGGGCGGCTGGTACTGTGGGCAGCACGGATCATTCTGGGTTTGGGTTTGCTGTTTTTCTGTGGGGGAGTCCTTGGGGTGTTCTCATGCCCGGCTCACAGCCTGGAGATCCCACTCAGAGACTCAGCCAACAGTGCCTGAAGACTTGGTGCAACTTGGGGGCCACCCCTGGCAGTCTTGGGGAAGGGCGGGGAACAGGCTGGCCACATGCACAATCTGAGCCTTAACGTTACCCCAGCCGGAGTCTGGGTACTGCAACCATTTCCTGCTTGTCTGGAACCTGCTAGAGCCCTACTTCGCTCTTTCAGTGTATCTACAAGAAACAAAAAGCAACTCCGAGGGTCCAGGGACACTACAGTGGACAGGATGTTATGCTGCACGTTGCTCACCTGGGTTCGATTCCCGGCTCCCTATGCAGTCCTGAACCCCGCCAGGCGTGATCCCTGAGCACAGAGCCGGGAGTGAGTCCTGAGCATTGCTGGGTGTGGCCCATAAACCAAACCAACCCAACCCAAATAACCCTCCAGGGTGCCTTTTCCAAGAACCAGTGACCAGTAAAGACCAAAAAAGGGAGAGAATGGGGAGCTTTCAGAAGGTTTCCTTAGAATACCAGAGAGTAAGTGAAAAAAGGGCTTAAACACCTGGCAGAGGTCAGCCCCAACAGGAAGAAAGGTGTAAGGATGATAAGTGGCACACGGAGGCGATGGGTGATTTGTGAGGGCAGAGACAGACCCAATCAGAGTAGACACAGTCAGGTACACATTACACAAACACGCGTTTTCTTTAAAATATTTTTGTAGGTGCATAAAAATTTCACCATAAATTAAAAACAAACAACAAGGCAGCAGGGCCCAGTGCCTGAGCTGCAGTGGCATGAAGGGTCACGGACGCACAGACATCACGGCACAGACTACCGTGGGCCATGATGGCATGTGGGTGGAGGGGTGGGGGCAGGGATTTGACATCTGAGCATTTCATCTTTATTGTCAGCCTCAGATACTAGCAAGCTCGAGAGAGGGCTGGAGAGGCAGCTGAGAGGTGGCACTCAGGTCTGCATGAAGCTGAGTCCCAGCATCACTGTGGGGGATTTTGCTGGCCCCAGCACTGCTGGAAGTGGGTCCTACCAAAGGGATGAAAAGGAAAAAGGAACCTCAGAAAGGTCAGAAGTTTCCGATACTCCTCCGCTTTGGCCGCTGCCTTCAAAATAGTCACTTTTGGTGGAAGTCACACCCAGCAGAGCTTGGGGCATCCTCCCAGCTCTGCGGCCCTGGTGATGCCGGTAGAACCACCCCGAGTGACGGGCTGAACCGGGTTGGCTGTGTGCCAGGCAAGCGCCTGAGCCACTGTCCTACTGCTCTGGCCCCCCAAATAGTAACCTTTTGCTTGGCAAGTGTTTCCTCTTTTGGGAGGTGCAGACGGGTGTTGACGGAGAGCCAAGCTGCACAGAGCCTCTGCCTGATGCAGAGGGGGATCCTGCTGCCTGATGCCAGGCACGGTGGGACCCCGGGGGCAGCCAGCACAGCTGGGGCTGCGGGAGAACCACCCACTGGGGGCTATGGGAGACCCCCTAGAGTTGACCCCCGGGAGCACGGCTCCTGCCACCCACCTGGGGCTCTGGGCGGCACGGGCGGGGCAGTCCACGCAGCACTGTGGCAGCGGCCAGCTGAGATCTGGCGGATGTTCTTCCCCTGGAGTACTGTAACCAGGGTTGGCTCTCGAACATGGTTGGTGTGACCCAGGCCAAGCTGCAAACCAATCACAAATGAACAGACTTGATCAGAAACAGCAGAGATGAAATCTGTCTTAGATGACAAGACGTCCAAGCAAAAATCCCAATTGAGACAGACTCTAACTCTCTCTTAGGGCCCTCACACCGCAGACGCGGCCCATACCTTTCTGCAACAGTCATTCCAATCTACGGAATGAGTCTCAGAAGCTGAGTCAGGCTGTGGACTCCCCCTCCGGCATGGAGATTCACAGTGGAATTCTCACAGTCTGCCTCAGTTACAGAGCTAGCGCAGAAGGCGGGGTGCATCTCTGCATGTGGGGGTCCAACTCTGACCCCGGGACTACACAGCTCCCGGAATACCCGGGTAAAGGGCCGGCACTGCCGGGAATGGCCCCGACTCTCCTGACCGACTCTCCTGATACCAAAGTACCAGGGGGCTGAGAGGGTCAGAGGGAGAACCGACCCCAGCACCAGGTGGTCCTGAGCACGGCCAGGCACAGCCCCGCTGCCCCAATCCTGCAGGGCTGAGCAGAGACGCCGGCTGGGCTGCCCGGGCATCCCGGGACCCAGGCTCCTGAGCAGCACATGGAGCCGCTCCAAGGCCCCCACACACAACGGCCTGCAAGCCACCAACGTACACTGACGCCTGGGCTTGGACACGGCCAGCCCGTGTGCAAGGAGTCTCACCCCCAGACTCCTGTCCGAGGATCAGAGAGGGGGGCTTGACATCTGAGAGGCCCCAACAGCGAGAGACAAGGCGGTGCCAAGGGCCGACAGTCTCCTCAGCACCAGCTCTATGCTGGAGAATGTGACGTTCCTGTGTGTTAGCAGTTTCCTCATTGCAGCAAGCTGAGGCAGAGCCAGAGAGCACTGAGGGCTGAACAAGGCTTCAAGAGCACCGAGGGCCAAGCACGGGCTGGGAACACTAAGCCAAGCAAGACTCTGGGAGCACGGAGAGCTGAGCACGGGTTTTGAGAGCAATGAGGGCCAAGTAGTGCTGAGTACTGAGGGCGGAGCACAGACTCTGAGAGCATTGAGGACCAAGTGCCAGTCCCCAAAACACGGAGGGCCGAGCATGGGCTGAGGGCACTGAGGGCTGAGCAGTGCTGAGTACTGAGAGCCAAGTACCAGCTCTGAGAGCACTGATGACTGAGTACTGGCTCCAAGACCACTGAGTGCCTAGTACCAGCTCCGAGTTCACTGGTGACTGAGTACTGACTCCAAGTCCACTGAGGGCCAAGCACAGCTCTGAGAGCACTGAGGGCGAGCACGGGCTCTGAGTACTAAGCACAGGCCCTGAAGGCAGAGGCTCAGGTTCCACCCCGCTGACCCCAGGGGCAGCCACTGACCTCAGGCTGGACAGAGTCCCCGGAGCACCACCGGGCCACTCAAAAGACAAGAGCCTGGCTGAAATGTCACACAAGCATTACCAAAGCCTACATATACTAACATCACGGCCACCATGCAGAGTCTCACTCCAAGCGCCCACCATGAGACTCAGCCCGCCCACCTCACCCGAGCCCTGCCTCACTGGGAACCGTCCATCAGCTGTGCATTAAACTCTGGTATACAGAGTGTACCTGGCGGGGGGCTGGAGTGATAGCACTGCAGGGAGGGCATTTACCTTACACTTGGCCAACTCAGGTTCGGTCCCTGGCCCCCCATAAAGCCCCCCAAGCACTGTCAGGAGAAATTCCTGAGTGCAGCGTCAGGAGTAACCCCTGAGCATTGCCGGGTGTGACCCCAAAAGCAAAAATAACAACAACAACAACAACAAAACCCTGAAACAACAGCAAAAAAACCACCAAGCAAACCCCTACGTAACTGGCCATCTTCAAGAGAGGCAGAACCGTTAGTCCCAAGGCAAAGAGATGGGTTCAGGGCCTTGGGCGGAAAATGTGAGTCTAGCTATCCCGCTTCCCAACGAGGACTGCTGACTCCCATTTACCGCAGCATGAGGGTCAGAACTCACCTGCCCTTCGGAGTTGCTGCCCCAGGCGTACACGTCTCCGCTGGATGCCAGGGCAAGGGTATGCTCGGCGCCAACCGCCACGTCCTCAATGACCACTCCGGACAGCACCGGGATCTGCTGGGGGCGGTTGTGGTTGCGCGCTCGTCCCTCCGGCAAGCCTATCAAGCGGTCTGGAAGAGTGAGGCAGAGGCGGGTGGGTGACATGCGGCCGCGCAGTGTCCTGACAGCACCTTCACACCTGTGGGCCACGGCAATGGCGCCAGTTCACTGTGGGATGTGGTTCCTCTCAACCTCAGTCTCCTTATTCACAAAGGTAATGAAACTGAGCCAAACTATAGTTTATTTCAGGTCAGGAGGCACCTCTGTCACCCTCAGAGTTGAGAGAACTGGCCCAGTTACAAGCTCTTGAGATGTGGGAACAAACATCACCGCACCTAGATGGTCTTCACCTATCCACGCAGCCCCTGCTGAGGCCCGCTGGCTGGCCTGTCCTCTGAAGCTGTGTGTGGCTACCCCAAGCCCTGCAGCAAAACCCCCGGGTACCAGTGACCCAGTGACCAAGGCAGCTTCCTGCTGCCTCTCCCGCTCCTCTCAGGGACCCGCCCCTCTGCCCTGCAGTCTGCACTCTCCCAGGGCCTAGCAGAAGCCTGCCTTTCTGCATCTCCACAACCAACCCCTTGGAGTCGCGGGTTCAAATCCCGACGACTCCAGACATGCCTCGAGTCTGCGCCTCCAACCCAGCACAGCTGCAGCCAAGCTCCTACTGTGTCTGCCTAGGCCGGCAAGAGGTGCCTTCCAGGCTGGAAACCACAGACACTCCCGGCAGAGTTGGTCGCTTCCTCTCCGTCACATCAGTATCACGTGTCAAGAAGACACCTACACTGCCATGGGCACGGCCTCCCGAATGCTCTGCATTCCCAAGACTGAGCCTTTACGGTTCTGCAGGGCCACAGACCAGGCCACGGGTGGACAGGAGAGGCGGCTGCAGGCAGCTCCAGGGGAGGCTGATGGGCTTCCCCTTCCCCACTCTCTCCGGCAAAGACATGGTGGAGAAGCCAACACACAGCTAAGTGGTGAGGTCCTACTGCCGACACACCACCCCGAACAGAAGTAAGGACTCTTGGAGGGAGCACTTTCTACAGAGCCTGAAGGTGGAGTTCTGTGCACACAGAACAAGTGACAGCCCCGGAAACACGTACCTTGCCCAAAGGTGTACACGTGACCGTCTCTGGTCAGCGCCACAGAAAACTGAGTCCCGCACGCGACTTTCTTAATTCCAATTCCACAAAGGACATCGATTTTCTACAAAATAAAAGTACAAGGCACATGCTTGGAAAAGGGGGAAAGAAAATCCTTGAATTTGCTGATTAGCGAGTAGAATGCAGGAGCTGCTCTGAGGGAAATGGCAACAGAGCCTCACCTGTCCTGGCAAACCCACATCCCTGAATGGGGTTCCTGCACTGCCTGGTTTCCTGCCCGAGCGGGGGAGGGGTGCAAGGCAGGAGCACGTGGGGTCTCACATGAGAAGGAAAAAGGAGCCTGAAGGAGACCATCGGACGGTGAGCAAAGCTGTGGGTCACCCCACCCAGAGGCTCTCTGCCTGAAGAGGCACAGTAACTGCTCGGCACAGCCCCAGAGAGAACGTCCTGGCATCTGGCATGCCTAGCTGAGTCCTCACCAACGTCTTGGGTTATCAAGACAGCACCTGACAGCAAACCCAAAATGCATGGAGTTCAGTAAGCTGTACTGCTCGTTAAACCCATCAAGGAGACTCACGGGAGACAACCACACTGGGGGGTCTGCAGAGCAAGAACTGTCTAAGAGCTTCTCATTTACTCTTATACATCTGGTTTCCATTCCTACCATTTTTTTTAAAAGAAGCATATTTTTATAATTCAGTGGTAAAAATAAGATAAAGGGCAGCTGGACACAGAGGGATACAAAAAATGACCCATGTTCCCCTGTTAGATATCTGATCATTTCCCCCCTTAGGCACCCTGTACAGGTATCTGTGCCCGTTCTCCATTAGACATCCCGTACAGATATCTGTGGTCATTTCTCTGTGTCTCCCACTAGATGTCCTGGACAGATATCTGTGATCATTTCTCCATCTGGGAGGTTCAGGGTATGAGAACAGAGGCTGCCCTCATGGCATTTTTACACTCAGGTTAGCTACTAAGTTAAGATCTACAATGTCAAACAAGAGCAAGTAACAGGAGCTTCTCTGTAGGGGAGGCAGGGCCCACCCTTGTGGGTGCTGGGCATCAGGGAATACCTGAGGGCCGTGCCCTGACAGCTGCCCCCCCCTTCCCTCCCCAAAGCCTTTCAACTTCATTACAATTGACAAAAATGCAAAAGAGAAACTTTGTTCTCCACTGAAAAGAGTGACACACTGAAAACTTTTCTGACTCTGAAGATTCAGGACAGCACCGGGCTGCAGAGCGAGCCTGGGGACGGGCACCGGCTCTGCCTATGTGTTCAGCGTGGAACCCCAGCACTGACTGGCATGAGGAGCAGCAGCCCTGGGCACCACAGGGCGAGACCCAAGGCAAGTGGCCGCAAAGAGCACTGACCTGAGGTGAAGACTTGGCGGTCGAGTTCCCCAGGCCCAGCTTCCCGTAGTCGCCGTCTCCGAAGGCCCACACAATGGAGCCGTCGGCCGACACCGCCAGCGTGTGGTTCAAGCCACAGGCCACCTGCACAGAGCAGACACTCAGTGCGGCACAGCACACTCTAAACACAGACACTTAGCGCGGCACGCTCGAACCCACAGACACTCAGCACAGCACAGCACTCTAACATGCTCTCTGAGCAGGAAAATCCTGGCCCTGTCCCCACAGACTTTTTGTTGGCCTCATGGCCTTCAACACGTTAACAAAAATGTTCCCCAAAGAAATAATTTTTAAAAAGTGTCAAAAAACAAAAACAAGAACTTTCTAAGAGTGTGCAAAGGACCGCGGGGTGTGTGGTGTGGAGGGGTAGCAGGGATGGAAACCATCCCTCGCCCAGCAACAGTCTCGGGGCTGGACAGAGAAGCCAGCACGATCCCGCGCTCTCTCCCTCCGACAGTCCTGCATGCAGGGCGGCTGCTGACTCATGACAGCCTGTGCCAAACCCTGTCAGCACTTCCACACCCTCAACCTTCATCAGCTTGCTGGACATCCTGTTGTTCATCTATGCCTCGAGCAGGCCCCAGTAACCCCAGTAACATCTCCTTTGTCCTAGCCCTGAGATTTTAAAAAGTGCCACATTCGAGGCTCTTTCAGGGTCAGGAGAATGAGGCCCATCATTGTTACTGGTTTTTGGCATACTGAATACACCATGGGGAGTTTGCCAGACTCTGCCGTGTGGGCAGGACACTTCTGGTAATCTGCCAGCTCTCCAGAGCAACAACTAGCTAATAAAATGTCGGACAAAAACATTTAAATGGATTTTAACAGTGAAATTTCACACTGGGAAAAAAAATCATGAAAAATAAACTCAACGTGATGCGAAGTATGACTGACTGGTGACTGTCTTCCTGAAAGCAATCGGTGACACACAGGGGACATGCCGGCATGAACTGGACAGTGGCCAAGTGAGCACAAGCCGGACAGTGCCACAACACTCCTTGCCTGTCCGATCTGATGCCCCTCCAGCGCGGTCACTCTCTCCGGGAGCTTCTTGTTTGAGGTGTTCCCAAGGCCCAGGCGGCCGTAGTCCCCGTTCCCAAAGGTGAAGAGCTTGCCGTCCGAGGTCACCACTGCAGAGTGCTTGAACCCGCAGGACATCTAGGGGACATCAGAGAGAGAGACGCTTTCAGAGAAGGGGGCGCTCTGAAAGGAAAGTGCAGGAACAAACCTCGCACTGACCGGAAGTGCTCTCCCTCTGCCCGAGGCTCTGAACCCCCTTCTGGCCCCAGGGCGAGGAAACACAGCTGCTCTGAAGAGTGGCCTGCAGCTCAGCACAGCCAACCCACCCTTTCCCAGTGCCCCTCCCTGCCCAGTCCCCCTGGCGCCCTCCTGCGACCTCTTTGGAAAACCTTGGGGGCCCCCAAGCGTCACATGGTGCCCAGCCTAGAAATGTTGGGTTTCGGCTAGGGAAGGAAATGAGGCAGGACATTCTTGGGAAACGCAGGTGCTGTGACTACATTATTAGATCACTGAGAATTTCGTAAGTGCATATACGTCCAGCCTTTCTGATGATAGTCTGTTTAAAAGCAAAGTTTCTTCTACCATCAGGGTATCAAGAGGTGGGGCTGAGAGAACACGATGGTTCTGGCTCTGCCTTGAGCCCAGCCTGGAACCCGGCTGGCCTAAGGCCGGCCCCAAAGCCCCACCAGCTGTGATCCCAGGTACAGAGCCAGTCGAAAGTCCTGAGCACGCCAGGTGTGGGGCAAAGCAGAAACACAGAGAATTATACGGCAGGAACTACAGGCCACAGTAGTTTTGGCAAGGACCTGGAGCAATCTGCCCCAGGGAGACAGAAATCGCTGCCCAGCACGCAGGCGCATCAGCGCCCATCACCGCGTGGCTTCAGGAGACGCTGACCTGCACCACCTCCTCCCCCTGCAGGGCCTCAATCTGCCGGGGCCGCCGCTGCCGGTCGCTGTTGCCGTGGCCCAGCTTCCCGTAGTCACCATCGCCCCAGCTGAAGACCTCCCCGCTCTCGGTCAGGGCCATGGAGTGCCCGTCAGAGCCGCAGGAAGTCACCAGCTGCGTCACCACAAACCCTGGAACAGAGCAGAAACCCGAGTCACTGAGCGCTCACTTGGGGGCAGAAACACGCAGAGCACAAACACGCTCAGTCATCACGGGCCAGCTGGCAGGCCCTGGACGCTGAGGACACTCTGTGCTGATGGGGGGACGGAGAGAGCCACACAGTCTGAGACCTCCTGAAAATGGTGGACATCTCTGTTTCATTCTCACACACCGGTTTAGCAGGCTGTTAAAACCCAGGAAACTGAGTCACAAGAGGTTGGAGGGGCCTTGGCCAGGCCCCAGAAGGACCACCAAAGGGCCAGTAAGAGTCTTCCTGACCCACATATTCAGACCTGAGAGCTCAGAGTAGCCGTTGCTGAGCTGACTGCTCCATACTGGGGTCCTGGGCTCAGTGCTCCCTGTCCTGTGGGTCCTAGGCTCAGTGCTCCCTGTCCTGTGGGTTCCTGGCTCAGTGCTCCCCATCCCATGGGTCCCAGGCTCAGTGCTCCCTGTACTGTGAGTCCCGGGCTCAGTGATCCCCCATACTGTGAATCTGGGCTCGGTACTCCCTGTACTGTGAATCTGAGCTCAGTACTCCCTAGTACTGTGGGTCTCGGGCTCAGTGTTCCCTGTCCCGTGGGTTCCGGGCTCAGTATTCCCTGTCCTGTGGGTGCTTGGCTCAATGCTCCCTGTTCCGTGGGTCCCAGGCTCAGTGCTCTCTGTCCTGTGAGTCCTGGGCTCAATGCTCCCTGTCCTGTGAGTCCCGGGCTCAATGCTCCCTATACTGAGAATCCCGGGCTCAATGCTCCCCCGTACTGTGTGTCCCAGGCTCAGTGCTCCCTCATACTGTGAATCTGGGCTCACTGCTCCCTAGTACTGTGGGTCCCGGGCTCAGTGCTCCCTGTTCCGTGGGTCCCGGGCTCAATGTTCCCTGTCCTGTGAGCTCAGTGCTCCCTGTCCTGTGAGTCCTGGGCTCAGTGCTCCCCCATACTGTGGGTCCCAGGCTCAATGCTCCCCCGAACTGTGAATCTGGGCTCACTGCTCCCTAGTACTGTGGGTTCTGGGCTCAGTGCTCTCTGTCCTGTGGGTCCCAGGCTCAGTGTTCCCCCGTACTGTGAGACCTGGGCTCAGTGCCTTCTGTACTGTGGGTCCCGGGCTCAGTGCTCCCTGTCCTGTTGGTCTCGGGCTAGCGCTCCCTGTCCTGAGTCCTGGGCTCAGTGCTCCCTGTCCTGTGAGTCCCAGGCTCAGTGCCATCTATACTGTGGGTCCTGGGCTCAATGCTCCTTGTCCTGTGAGTCCAGAGCTCAGTGCTCCCTGTCCCATGAGTTCCAGGCTCAGTGCTCCTTGTCCTGTGAGTCCTGGGCTCTGTGCACCCTGTCCTGTGAATCCTGGGCTCAGTGCTCCTTGTCCTGTGAGTCCCGGGCTCAGTGCTCACTATCCTATGAGTTCCGGGCTCAGTGCTCCCTGTCCTGTGAGTCCTGGGCTCAGTGCTCCCTGTCCTGTGAGTCCCAGGCTCAGTGCTCCCTGTACTGTGAGTCTGCGTTGGAGTGTCAGGGCAGCAGATAACTTCAGGAATCGCTATGCAGTCCAGCCGATGGACTCTAACACAATATGCTTCAGAGTCTCGGCTGGCTCCACAGTTCCACAGGAATTGTTCTTTTCCTTTTGTTCTTTTTCTTTGGATTGTGTTGGGCCCCGCCCAGAGCCTCTGTGGTAGGGACCCTCATGCGGGCCTCAGCCCCCTCTCTCCATCTCTGATTGGATCCAGTGAGATACATACATGACACCATTAATACCGTTTACCATGGGCTAATTAATGACCATTTCTCAATTTTAAAGAATTTGTTAATATTCTTCTATGGCTTCTCAAAGTTGTTTATAGCATCTACCACTGATATAAAAAATCAACTGAAAAATAAAACATTATTTTGTTTTATAAAAATGTTATTTTATTTTGCTTAAAATATGGAAATGAAGACTATAAATGCCTAAGCATCTAAACATAGGTGCAAAATATTTTTACTAGCAAATATTTCTTTCTGACCACCTTTAACTGAGGACACTTTTACCTTGTAAGGCTGAAATAACTGTAAGCACATGAAGATCATCTGAATTTCCTTGTCCCAATCTGCCGTAACTTCCTTCCCCACAAGCCAGCACGGTGCCATTAGCCTGGATGACAAAGGTACAATTCTGGCCACATATGACCTAATGAAAAAGCACAAAGACAATCTCCTTTACAATACAGGTTTAGCATGTAAGAATTCAGAATTATTATGGATCTCTAAGATGAATTAATTCCTTTATTCTTTCACTAATGGGGAAGGACAGATAAAATGAGATTACTATAAGCCCTTGATTTTTGTGAAGCAACAGCCAAGAGCGCTCGCTGAGGGTCACCTGAAGGCTTTATATTGAGAACCATAATATCCACAGAGACTCCCATCAGCTCCGCAGCATCTAATACCATCACACCAAAGAGACCGAGTGAGAGGAAAGGTGCTGTGGGATGTCAGGGTGGCTAAAGCAGCGAGGAACAGAACACTGGAGGTTACCCAGCAAGGCAGGGCAAGGGCAGCTCGCTCTACAGCACATGCCTTCACGTGAGGGGCTCTGACTCTGATCCCTGAACTGCTGCTGCCCCCCACCCCCCAACACACCCACACACACAACACACCTGCCGAAACAATACAAAATAAAAGAGTATAGTACAGTAGTACGGTATTGTTGGACTCAGCGAAAAAATTACTAGGCAGGCAAGAAAGGGCAGTGGGTAGGGTGCTGGCCTTGCACACGGCCAACTGGGTTTGGGTCCCCGCATCCCTTGTGGTCCTCCGAGCCTCGCCCGGAGCAGTTCCTGGGTGTAGAGCCAGGAGTAATCCCTGATCATCACTGGATGTGCCCCCCCGCCCCCCCCCCCCGCCCCACCACCACAGCACACAAAGAATAATTTGGAGATACAGTATCACTAGAGGAGGAAAAAGCACCAGTGAAATCAGGTGAATGAGACCTGGTCTTAACCATCACCTGGCCTGGAACTCAGGGGACCACGTAGAGTTGGGGGCTGTGACCCGGAGTGTCATGGACAAAGCAGGCATCCAGGCCTAGGAAAATACTTTCACTGCATGGGGACAGGGTGTGTGTGTGTGTGTGTGTGTGTGTGTGTGTGTTCGGGTGTGTGTGTGTGTTCAGGTGTGTGTGTGTGTGTTCAGGAGTGACCCTTGGTAGGACTCAGGGGACCATATGTGATGCCCAGGATTTGAACCAGGTTGGTCCCCAATTAGAAATATCTTAACTTTTAAAAATTTTATTTTAAAATAAAACACTTTTATTTTTAATTACAAAAAGGGCACTGATTAGACCTTTGAAATATAAATGATGCTAAATCCCTCAACCCTTCCAGGAGTGATTCCTCAGCACAGAGCCAGGAGAAAGCCCCAAGCTCTGCTGGGTGTGGCCTCCAAACCAAACCAAAACCAACCACAAAACAAAAAAAGAACAAAATATTTAGAAACATACTAACCAAACTTGAGTCTGATTTTTTTAAAAAAGGAAAACTTTTATTTAGAAGTTACTTAATGATTCTTCAAAATAGACAATAAAATGGAGAAAACGCCACCATGTAATTCACTGAGCCCAGTGACGGCTCTGCACCTGCCTGCCCTTACCTGCTGTGCCTGCGAGAACGACGGGGCTGCCGAAGGGACTGTGACGTTTCTCCCTGCCTCCGCCAGCTGTCCGTGCCTGCCGGCACCCCACAGGTACACGTCGCATTTACCTCCCAGGTGCCAGTCCTGGAAAAGCACAGTCGTCTCAGAACTGGGTCCTTCTACCCCCGCAGCATGCTCTGGGCCTGGCATGAGCTCAGGACACCTGCAGAGCGCACAGGGGGCCACCCAGGCCAGATCTCGGCTGAGAACCAACACAGGCGGTCTGGAGATGGACCTTTACTGACCTCAGGTCGGGAAGTCGCCCACGACATGATCTGTTCATCCATCCCATTAATCCATTTACTATTATCCTGCAAGACAGGGCAAACCATCAGGCTGGTCTGAGTATCCAGACTGACAAGCTCTTAAGTGACCCCCAAGTCCTTAACTACTAAGCCAAGAGCAGCGTTACAATCCTTCCACGCTGGATCTTTTGCACGCTAACCTTTTCCTTGGTCTAAGCACTTTCACAATGTCCACCCCGACTGTCACACCGATGGGTCAAACTTCCACTCCTGTCTGCAGCACAGGCAGAGGGTCACCTGGAGAAGTCCCCCCTCTCCCCCCCACCCCCACCCCCCGAGCTCACTGCCGAGCTCCTGGCAAGTCACTGTATCTTGTTGAGCTCCAATGCCCTCACCTACAAAAGGGAGATATTTCCTGAATAAAACAGTCTACATTTAGAAAACTTTCCTTGATTCATTTTTTATATTACATCCATATTTATGCAGATCCCAACAAGAAACTGAAATACTCTTATTCTGGACATTCTCTTTGTGCTATTCCTATTTCGTGCTGATCAAAATATGATTCAAGTGGCAAATCCCAGGGAATCTACATATGGAACAAATGTCATAAGCCTGCATTAACGTATATGCAAACAAGGTACACAGGGTCAAATAGCGCTGTGCGTTTCACTGACCACCAGCAAACTGACAAGAACTCCACAATCCCACAGACCTGCCTTTATACTGAAAGTGGCAGATTAAAAGGAAAGTATTTCAGATTTCCATGACATATATTTCAAATCATCCCAGCTAGCACATCCTTCCTGAGGGTCTCTGCTAAGTCCCTGATACCGTCTTGGGGTGTGTGTTATACTGACCATCAGGAAGGCCAGCTCATCCTCCGGGACTGGCTCCAGGTCAGGAACAGTGAAAGACTCGGGGAACTGTGCTCCGTTGGTGAGCGCTTCGGCAGCCTTGATGGTGGTGGAGAAACACTCTAGCCAGGCCCACTCGCTGGGGTTCCAGGAGGCTGGGTCGGGGAGGCAGTGCCGGTGGTGGGGGGGCACAGGGGGGTTGCATAGCAGCTGGTCCAGGTGGAGGCCCACCGCCAAGGAGGCCAGGCACTGCATATAGGGACTGTGGACCAGCTGGTCGCCACAGACCACGTGGGGCTGAAATGGGAGAACACTGGTCAGCAGAGCTGGGGCCCAGCACAGCGGCAGGGCGTCTGCCTGGCACGCAGCTGACTAGGGTCTGATTCCTCAGCATCCCACATGGTCCCCGAGCACCACCAGGTGTGATTCCTGAGTGCAGAGCTAGGAGTATCCTGGGCAGCTCTGGGTGTGACCCCAAAATCAAGAAAAAATGAAAAATGAAAAGAATACTACGGTCAGCATTATGTTCAAGATACAGACATGCTGCAGGTATTTTAAGATGCTTCAGAGTGAATGATCTGGAAAAGAATGATACCGACACGATACAACCTGCAGGTCATTTAACTATTTTACTCTCTTAAATGAAATTCAGAGGCTTACAATGACTGCGCCACTGCTGCAGGCCTGACTTCCTTTCACTGAGTCTGCCCAAATAACCCCCATGCATCTGCATCCAGCTCCCCAGGCTGAGTCCAGGCCCAACATTCACGTCTGGTAGCAGCGCGGCTGCGCTCGGCGTACCTTCTCGTAGGCATACTGGCCCTGCAGCATCACGGGCAGCCGCTCCAGGAAGGCCCGCATGCAGGGCGCCGTGCTCAGCCCCTGCACCCCCTGCTGCTTCAGCGCCGTCCGGCAGGTGGCCAGCACGTGGTTGGCCGCCACCCACTCTGCCGTGCAGTTCACGACCAAGACATCCTGGTGGAAATAAAGCTTGCATGTGAGATGTCTGTATACACATGACAGCGGCGCCTCACACATCATTCCTATGAAGTCCCTCCAGCAACTTCACGGAACACTTGGGCTTTCTGATGTTACACACATTCAGCTTGTGAACTTTAAACAGCCTAGGTTTAATCTAAGCAGAACAAGCAAATAAAAAACAGCAGTAAAATGTGCTAAGTACCTTGGATCAGCTTATTTTTTCCCCCACCTTCAGTTCAGGTACCATGATTCAAGATACTGATGATGATGGATTCATGTAAACAGCATCCCGACACCACACCCCTGCCAGAAGGTTGGCTTCCCCCACCACATTACTCTCAGTGAGCTGGTGGCAGAAGCCTAAAGTATAAACGATCCCAAAGAAAGATTCTACTTTGAGAGTCTGGGCTGGCCGGAGGGGCATGGAGTCTCATTCTCCACTGAGACAGGCTCCGTAGGACACTGAGCCCGGGTTGGGTCTATGTTCTAGTCTGAGAAAAACTAATCATGTGGGTTTGTCAACTCTACACATTAACGCTTTCTGGGTTTCTTTTGTCGTGTTGTTTTAGCACGCCCGGTGGTGCTCAGGGCTTAATCCTGACTCTGCACTCAGGATCACTCCTGTGGCTCAGGGAACTGCATCGTGCTGCAGGGGCATTGAAACTGAGCCAACAGGATGCAGGGTAAGCGCCCCCACTGTCCTCTCTCTCCAGCCCCTTCATTTTTTAGCGCTTTATTCACATCCACCCAAAACCTTTCTCCCCTCTGCCGCTGTGTTTGTTTTCAGGAGTTGTGCAAGGCCACGCTTGCCATGGTGCTGGGAGGCTATTATGACCTCAGGACTTGCGCACAGCTGCCCTTGTCATGGACTGGGGTCAGCCCAGTGGCTGTGGTCTCCATACTTGGTGACGTGCACTAAAGCCAGGGACAGACTCCTGGCCTAACACATGCCCACCACTTGCCGTCCTATGCCACACTCCCAGGACTCCACCTTCTATGTTTTAATCTCACTATAATCCAAAGCAGGGCCGGGGAATAGCACTGTCTGTGTAGGGCACTTGCCTTGTGCTCAGCTGATCCAGGTACCTGACACAGTCCCCCAAGCACTGCCAGGAGTGATCACTGAGTACAGAGCCAGAAGCCCTGAGCATCACTGGATGTGGCCCAAAACAACAACAAAACAAACAAAAAGCCAGAGCAGCACTAACATGCAACGAAACAGGGGGTAAGGTGCGCCCCCGAATCTCTTCACCAAGGGGGAGCAGCACTTCTTATGGAGAAGCTAAACTAGAAGATAAGATACAGATGTTGAGTTAAATGTCTTCAACGGTCCTTAATTTCAGGCAAATTCTTTTGAGAGACTGTTACAAAACTTACAGCAAAGTGAAAGATCACTTTATAACTTCTAGTGGAAATTTGGGCTGTTAAAACAAGTATTTTCACCAAAAGTTAAGGAACAGTAGAGTGCCAGATCATGAATCAGAAACCCGGGTTCTGGCAAAGGTTTCCTTGCGTCAACCGGGTAGTTGTACTCTACAGGGTTACCCAGCTGCAGGGGACTGGCCCAGAGAGGCACCGGAGGGGTTTACACCCGCTGACCTGATAAAATTGCAATGTACCTTCGATCTATTGGAGCAAGCCGCGACCCCAACGTCTGGGATCCACACTGTGGTCTGAATAGCTCCTGAGCCGATCACGACGGTCTGCAGCACGGAACCGTCCTGGGGGAGAGAGGCCAACACTGAGGCACACGGGAACTGCAGCAACCACATGGAGAATCCCGACTCTACACCCACAGGGACACATTCTAGAGTTACACTTGAGCCAATCTCAGACTTCTACCCAAGTCTACGTAGTTCACTAGTTGACTTTAAAGACAAGCTAAAGGGCAAAAGATCCCAGAAAGTTCCTTCAAGTGTTAAAGATAGCCCAGGGACGATGATTATGTGATATTATTACATCATCTTCCTAAGGTTGGTCACACTGACTTTATCTTCTATATTCAAATAAAAGCGTTTCTCAAGACAGAAGCAACATGAAAGTCTTACCCTCAGAGACCAGATGTTCATGAGCCCGCCCAGGCCCCCGGACACCAGGGCCAGCCCGTCGGAACTGAAGGCAACGGTGCGCACAGGGGTGATGTGCCCTCGGAGCTGGTACACGCACTTGGCTCCCGCTGGCTTCCGGTATCCATCCTGCAATTCATTCACGCTTTCAGCATGCATAGAAATCTAAAGGGCTTGTGGGCACAAGGATTACGTTTCATCTTGGGAGTTAGATACTTAGGACAAAACTGGGGAGGAGGGAAAGAAAAATAGCTCCTAAGGGTTAACCTGCCTGAGAGAGGAATAAGATACTTATCAGGCTCACCTCTGTGGGAGCTGAGTCTCATTTTCCCCCCCGGAACTGTTTACTGGGACACCCTGGTTTACTAAGTTGTTCATAATAAGAGTTGTTCCAGGCAGGCATGCAACATTCCCACACTGACCCGGGGTCCCCTTCCCTCCACCAATGTCCCAGATCTCTCCCACCACACAGTCTGTTATACCGTTGGCAGGCATACAACAAATTTTATAATACTTGGTCCAATAAAACTTAAATGAACGGCAAATAGAATGATCAGAAAATAACTCAAAAGTCAGTTTGCAATGATGAATTGCAATTTTTTTTTAAATCTTTCTTAATCTAGTAGAGGAAAACCACACGCACCATTTGTGAGTGCCATACTCACTGCTATATGACGGGAAGTTTCTCCTGTCCTTTAAAGGAGTTTTTCAAAAGCTTCTTGCAAAACTGGTTTCAAGGCTATGAAATTTCCTAAGCTGTGGCCTGTCCTGAAGGTCTATGTTGTTTCATCAAATCTGAATGAATCTACCTAAATAGAGTGTTCGTGGTGAGATGTTCTTTTTATCGAGTTTTTGTTCTATATCCTTCCGCATTCTTCTGGCTTGCAGAGTCTCATCTGACACATCTACTGGGCTTCCCTTTGTATGTAATTCCTTTTTATTTATATCTTGCAGCTTTCAATATTCTGTCTCTATCTTTCCATTTCATCATTTTGAGTATAATGTGTCTTGGAATTTTCCTAGTTGGGTCTATTTTCACCGGGACCCTTCCGGCTTCTTGGGCCTGTAATCCTCAACTCTGAGAAGTTCTTGTTGATGATTTCTAGAGTGTTTCTTTATCACGCTTAGTCTCATACTGTTTGAGATACAACCAAGATATTTCCCTACTCTTCAAACTGGCAGAAACAACTACATTTCTAAATTTCTTTTTTGCATCTCTAAATTCCCACCTCAGAAGTCAGGCATGAATCCTAAACTTGTATTTTTCTTTCAATGCACATCAATTTAACAGTTCAAATTTTCAATTTAAGTCCTCTGACATTTTGAATCGCATATGCTAAGGATGTTTTTCTGAGCTGGTGATCGTCTAATGCAGTGTCTAACTCACATGTCTGCTGGGTCTGTTTTATTTTTCTTTTGCTATTATTATTGTTTGTTGTGATGGTGCTCAGGGCCTGCTCCCGGCTCTGCACTCAAATCACTCCTGGCGGCTGTCGGGAGATGGCGGGGATGAATCCCTGGGATGCTGGGACAGCAAACACCTCTCCACAAACCATCACTCCAGTCTTCTCTGATCATTAAGAAAATACTCTGGGGTCTCCCAAGCTGCGCTTAGGAGGGCTGGGGGTCCTCCCTAATGACCCTGACCGGTGGGGCAGCAGCTCAGCACATGGCAGTGGAGGTGGGGGCCTGTGGGTCTGTGGGGGCTGAGCAGCCCTGACAGTACTCCAGGCCTTCCAGGGATGAACCTGTGACGCCCCGAGGAACTTGGGGCCCGGGGTCGAACTGGGGTTGGCTGCGAGTGAGGCATGAGCCTTAAGCCATCTTCTCTCTCAGATCCCAAGTTCTGCAGGTTTAGAAGTGCACATGTTTTTAAAATATATACTAAAAGACTTGTACAAAGCGCTCCTAACAGAGAGAAAACTCCGCTGACTTCCATGTTCCAATTTGGCTTCTGTGACATTCTTCATCATGAAGAACATTTCCCCCATTTCCTCTTCATCGTATCAGTTCACAAAACTGGGTACTCATTTACTGGAGAGGAAGAGACATCTCTGTCCTGTAGTGGGGAGACTCATTGCCACATTTGCTCCTGATCACGTGCGCACACACACCGGGCCGGGGTGGTCTCTGCATCGCTCCAGTGCTGTTCTGTGCTAAGGGAGTACGCTTCCAGAATTCTCATCAGGGACAAGGCTGCAAGCCGGCAGCTCAGAAGAAGAGGCCTCCTCCAGTACCAATAGACTGAGTCAGGCATCAACCTGACCCATACCTGGCAACCCAGATGGTTACCAGGAAATGACATCAGCTCAGTGGCAACAGAGGCACCCAAGTGGCCCTTTGAATAATGGTGGTGGTGGTGGGGGTGGTGTGTGGTGTGGTGTGTGTGTGTGTGTGTGTGTGTGTGTGTGTGTGTGTGTATGCGCGCGCGCGCGCACGTGCGTGCATGTAAGCAGCTACCTGCACCTGTCACCTCTGTTCCTGAGTCAGTGGTCACTCCTGAAAGGTGGGGTTCGGGATCGGCAGGAGGCGACTCTGCACAGGGGTGCTCCTCTGCTGTTCCCGTGTCACTCTGGAGAGACTTAACTCAGAATGTGTTCTCAAGGATCTGTTACTCTCATCACCACAGATAACCACCACTGAATACTTTTGGAGAGTCTCACCTTGAGCATTACGGCAGCTCTGACTTCAGCTTCTTCAGAGCACATATAAATATGATAATCACCCACATTTTTCAACTCATCTTGCCATTTGAGATAGAGCAATCAAGGGAGAATCACTTTGCAAACTTATGTTACCTGTGCTTCAAACATGCTCTCCCAACACCGAGACACGTACCTGGCCATCGGATTCTGGTTTCCAGCACCCCTCGGAGCCAGTTACGCTGGTGTGTGTGGGATCTTGTGGGATACGCCAAACACACACTAAACCACTCTGACAGCCGCTTGGGAAAAAAATCGATCACAGAAACCAAAATGTCAATATGCAGAAGTAAAACTATTTAAAAATATTAAGAACAGTGACTCACAAGGCTCAACCTTCAACAACATGTTAGTGATCTCTTATAGAAGGGTTTAGTGACTTCTTAGTGAAATACACAATCTTCACACTCTTTCCTCTAAGGAAACTTCTTTGTAGCATTTTCAGTGGTTTTTCATAACAAACAATACAAAGTATATGATTTTGGTTCTGCTTTGGGGGCAGGAGTTGAGGTTCAGATGGAAACATCCAAAATATGGTGGTGGGAAAGTGTCATGGTGGTGGGACTGGTGTTCGAATATTAAATGTAATCAAATATTGTGAACTACTTTATAAAAAAAATTAAAAAAGAACAGTGGCTAATATTATTATAGAAATTCATCTGTATAATCTTTTCACTCAAGGAGAAGGTTGGCCCCCACCCCCCGGGGCGGTGCCCGGGCTCGCTCAGCTCTGTGCCAAGACCCCTCCTGAGTGTGTGTGGGTCAGGCCTGGATCCCCACTGCAAAGCCTGCACAGCCGTCTGAGCTGTCTCTCTGACCCTTCCAGAACCGCTTAGAAGAAATAAAACTAGAAGGGATATACCGAAATCACACCTAGACAAGGAGATTAGATGCCAGGTGTCACACTTGAAAACTACTCATTTCTCTAAGGTAATTTGGGGTTGGGGGCATTTAAGTCACTGCAAGCAGGAATCACCCAGGGGTGCTCAGGGGATCATCTGGGGTGCTGGGGATCAAACTGGAGTCAGCTCAGCTATGTGCAAGGCATGTGCCCCACCTTTACTACCTCTGCACCCCCTCTCTAGGGCAAGCTTGAAAATAGGAACTGACAACAGCTCAAGATTACTGAAATGTCACACTAATGCAAATAACAGTTGCCGACGCCGAGAACTAAGCCGGATTCAACATACGTGGCCATGAGCAGGTGCAGCTCGGCTCCCTTCCCTGGCAGGCTGCACCACGCGATGCCGTTCACGACAGAGAGATGGCAGAGGGAATGGAGGCAGCACCAGCATCCCGAAACTGCTCCCCAGAGTTTCACATTTTCTTCTTTTGCACAAGTCATAAGAATATGACCCAGAGGGTCCCACTTCATGCTGACAAGAGTGTCCTTGAAACAGTAGAGAGGAAAACCGTAGTGACGCTTCCTTCAACAGCAATTGAAACTCAAGAACTCAGGATCTGTATTTCTCCTAATTATTTTGAAATCAACTTGTTATGGAAATGAGAGATACTGTCATTCCACTCCCAATTATTATATCCCCCCCCCCAAATAGTTTACCCTTTATTACAGCTTGCATTATATACTGAGGTATTTATCTGCTTCAGCAAAGTCCAAAATAGACAAATATGAAGTCCTGATTCGGAGGGACAAATTCTCTTTCATTTTTCTTTTAGATTCATTTTGGGGGCGGGTAGGGTGTTTTCCTCACAGTGCCTGGCAACACTCAGTGAGCCTGGTTGGAAGGTCAGTGCATGAGCTGGAAGTACGAGGGATACCAAGTCCACTGAGGTGGTCTCAAAGACCCCTGGGACCACTGGGCTGCTGAGGGTCCAGGCAGCTGTGGGGGTGCGCACCAGTTACCCTGAGCCACTTCCTAATTCCCTTTATTAGTATTCTTGTTTAGATTTTATTTGGGGGTGAGACCCCGGGGTGCTCAGGGCTTACTCCTGGCTCTGTGCTCGGAGATCACTCCTTGGGGGGCTCAGGGTACTATCTGGACCTATCTGGAATGCTGAGGATCTAGCCCCACTTGGCCGTGTGCAGAACAAGCTCCCTATCTACTGTACTACAGCTCCACCCCCTGTCTTAGTATTTTTAAAGTTACTTTCAATGAATGGCAATGGTTAAAATTTGAAAAAGAAATCATAAAGTTTGCTTCGGACCAAGAGAGAGTTTACAGGAATCTGGTGCGTGCTTTGAGTTTCTATGGCCGGCATGATTATGTTCGTGTATTTTTAACTTTCCTTTATACCCTCCAGCTTCTGAATCATTGTGTTTCCACTACTTGCACAAACAGTCCTGCAAGGACCTCAGCCTGCTACGCTGTTTAAAGTACAGAAATATTTCTGACATTTGTGGGAATACTCCTATTCCACTGTTTTGTTTCTGTTTCCTTCTTGGTTTGAGGGCTTCCTTCTCCCTTTTTCATCATTAACTTTTTAAACACTGATGACCCAGTAGTCATCAGGGTCGTGCCAGGGCCTGGCAGGGCTCAATCATTTGGGTCATCAGCACTGGCCCTGGCGGCTTTATTTCAGACTTTTTCATGGCCAAAGACCATATAACAATAGAATAACACAGAATATTAAATCTTAAATGACTGTTGTAAAATGTATCACAGGATCTACTAACACATGATACTGAGGAGAAAGGCAAGAAGAAGACAGCCGAGGGTTACCTTGTGTGCATCAATGAGAATGATGCCCCCTTTCTCAAGCGGCTCCTTTGTTCCCAGCAACAGTTTCCCATCAAAATACCCCACTGCAAACGGTTTGTCTTCACTGAACCAAGCAATGCAGGTTACAGACACTAGCGCGTAAAAAATAAAATTTTAAGTTTAGAAAAGAATGAAATACTTATTTGTAATGATACACCTTAAAAAAATGAAATACTTATTTGTAATGTTAGAATCGGCACAAACACAGGCTGCTGGCAATGCTGGAGGTAAATTTACCAACGTCTCTTTCATGTACTTAGTCAAAATACAGCCTGAAGACAGGAGTTCCAGGACCTCTTTGGAAAGACTTTTTTGTTGTTGCAAAATACCCCAAAATTATACCAAAAAATTAAAGATCCTTTCCTTTGGTTTAATATTCCTTACTGTATTTCCATATTCTACCCAAAATGTTACAATTCTCACAGTCCACAATCATATTTGCTTCTTTAAGAATACGTAAAACTGGAAGGCCACAAAAGGAGGAGAAACCGAAGCCCTTGTGCATGGCAGGAAGTTTACAGCAACCTGGGAACTAGGCAGACTGTCACTACGACACACATGCATGTGCACATACATGTGTACTGTGTGCCATGCCTGCTGGCTGTTCGGGGCCGAGCCCAGCGCACTCAGTACCACAGCGGGTCCCGGCATCAAACCTGCACACAAAGCACAGCTCCTCCCCCGGGGCACCTTCTAGTCACATGACCTCCACTACCGGCCTTAGATGATTACTGTGCGCTTCAAAAGAGCGAGGGCATGCCGAATGAGAGCACTCGGGGGCCAGGAACCATTCCCCGAGTGGGCCCATGGCAACGGAAGGACGAGGGACCCGGAACGGAGAATGGGGGAGCTGAGTCCCAGGCCGGTTGGTAGTCAGTTTCTCTCTCTCCTCCCCAGCATGGTTCGATCTCTCCCCTTACAGCACAGTAAGTTCTTCTCCTTTCTCCCCAGCGTAGTTCGACCTCCTCCCTTGTGGCATGATAATTTTTCTTCTTTTCTCATCATAGTTCCATCTCTCCCCTCACAACATAGTTACATAGAAATCATGAAGGTGGGGTACACGTAGGTGGGATTGAACACCGTCATAAACATAAACAGAGGAAAAACCCCTCCTTCAGGGGAAATTCTAGGAGATTAACTCAAGGACAAGATCTCATCTGAGGGTTCAGTGCTCCAGATTACCAGGAGATCCGCTCAAGGGCGGGATTCCATTCTTAGTAGATGTCCAGCCTCACTGGGTGTCTGCCCTGGCTTGGTCGGAAGAGGGTTGCTTTCTCCTTCCCTCAGCTAGTAATCCATCTAAATAATCATAGTAAATTCACTTCTTGTAATATTTCTAGTCATTCTGTAAGAGTGACAGTAAGAGATATATTAAGCTTAAAGGTTGACTCTTCCTGGGGACATCTTGCTAACAGTCCTCAGGCCAGGTTAGACCTTGCTAGCCCCAGCAGGGTCCTTATTCAGTTACTTATTTTGGGGTCATGACAGAGTTTGTTCCATTACTGTGCTCGTAACTTACTGTACGTCTTATGGCACTTAGCTTGTCCCTTTCCGATACTAGGGTAGCTCACAGCTTGCCCTGGACCCATCCAGTCCCTTCATCAGGACCCTGCTTTTAGGGTGCTAGGAACTAAGGGCAACTGAGGCTTAAGTCAAGTAAACATAATGGATGCCCAGGAGTAAATATTATTGGAGTCAATTAACTCTCCTGTTACATAGCATAGCACCAACTATCTTCCTGTGTCTATACAAAAAGGATATTGCTAAATAAACCAAGCAAATGAAATAAAGGAAAGTGAAAAGCAATATAGGATTATTAATGCCTGATGGAACTGGTTGTGCCTAAGGAGCACTGTTGTGGGAGTAACTCAATAAAGCTCCCTGCGGGAGGCGGGAGGCGGGAGGAACAGGGACAATCCAATGTCATCCAACAACTATTGTGACTATTCTTCCTTTTTATAATGGAAGGTGTGTGCTCTACTACTGAGCCATATCCCAGAACTTACAAAACTTTAGTCCTTAACTTTTTTGAGCCCATTAAAAAGTAAATCATTAAAAGCCTGTTCTGGTTTGTTAACGAAGTGTGAAGGAAGCTGAGGCTGTGACTCCGAATGTCCAACTCCTAACAACAAAACTACCAGTAAAATATCTGCACAGTCAAAGGGAAAGGAAAACAATAGAGGAAAATGTTTTTTTTTTTAATAATCTCCTGTCAGAGAGGAGCTTTCTCCCCCCACCTTCTCTTATGTCCTCTATCTTATGCATTTAATCATTTCCTCTCTAGCAGAGCCATCTTCGTCCTTCTAACACTCCTGACTCTCGGAGATGTGGACTCTGCTATGAGTGCTCAGCCACTCCAAGGAAGAACCCCAATGCATCATGATCACAGATCAGAGACATGTAACGGGGGCTAGGAGAAAAGCTAAAGACCCAAAGTGGCTACTAGTTACAATGAGATACCAACTGGAGAACTGAGAAAAACAAAGGCAAAAGCCACATTCTCTCAGGGTTTAAAAGCAAGTGCCCGATCCCTAAACACATCTGAGGGGAAGAGACCTCTGTGACACCCACGTACCGTCCTTCCGGTAGCAGTGCTCCAGTTCCCGGCGGTGCATGGTGGACACGTCGACCACTTCGATGAGCCCCAGGGACCCGTCCATCCGTCCCACCAGCAGCAATTCTGGGGACTCCCCCGACCACTGCAGGGCGGGACCCTCTTCCGGCCAAGCCAGGGCAGACACCCAGTGGGGCTGAACATCTACTAACCCTTTTCCTCCTGAGGGAGAAAATGTCACCTGGCTGTTAATTAATTCTTAAAAACAGTAAGAAAAAAAAAGAAATAAAACAGATTTAAAGTGCACTCAAAGCAGTGCCTAATTTCCTAACTGCTTACCAATGAGTAAGGCTGCAAGACTGTGCCCTTCACTTTTAAACTATCCGATAATCAAAAAAAAAAAAAAAAAAAAAAAAAAGGGTTTCCAACTAGTGGGACAAAAATGGTAACTTTATAGGAGAGAGTAAAGAATACTCAGTGCACCGAAGGCTGACACAGGTGCTCGTCAAAATTACTGAAAACCAAATTAACATTAAAAAACAGTCTGTGGGGTGAAGAAAGGCTGCAGGAGGTAGGAGGGAACTGCCTGGCCTGCTCAGAAACTCGTCCTGTTTCAAATCCCTGGAACCACCCATGGTCCCTGAGGAAAGCAAGAGGCCCATCCTGAGCACGGAGCCAGGAACAGCCCTTCAGCACCACCAGGCGTGATCCAAAACCAAAGCAAAGAACCAAAATCTCTTAGAGCCGAGGCTAGAAGTTCCTTCAGATACACGAAATACAACAGTTATTTCTAGTGTGCAATATGCAAAAATGGAAAAAAAATTACAAGTCTTCTTGACCTGTGAAATAGACAAAAGGAAGTGATTCCTAAGAAGACATTAGCTGAAAATTCCTGACGCTTAACTGCTACCTCAGCTCAAAGCCCGTGGAGACACGGCAGATCCTGAGCGAAGCTGAGCCAAACTGCAGGTTTACAATGCCCAGGTTAGCGAAACTTCGAGGAAGGAAAGTTAAAAAATGAGCTCTTCTTTTTTTTCATTTTTCTTTTTGGGTCGTACCTGTACACACGGGGGTTACTCTTGGTTCTGCACTCAGGAACTACTCCTGGTGGTTTTCGGGGGACCATAGGGGGTGCTGGGAATCAAACCCAGGTCAGAGCACTTTCTTTCTTTTTTTTTTTTTTTGCTTTTCTGGACCTACTTTATTTTTATTTATTTATTTATTTTTATTAGTGAGACACCATGAGGTAGAGTTGTAGACTTACAAATTTTGTGCTTGGGTTAAACAACAGTAGTAAACCTCCAGATAAGGACTTCATGACCCATGGTAAGATACAATAATTTTCACAAATTTTCCTTAGCTGTAGATTTTGTTTTCTGATAATTCCATCTGTCATTCAGTTGTAACAAGCAACATGAAATAAATTACTTTGTGCCTACTAAGGGGGCAGGCCTGGGGGTGGTCAGGAAGACGGGGACGCTGTGATGGGACTGATGCTGGGACACTGTAGCCCATAGCAACCGTATTCTGAACGACTCTGATGTTCAGAGAGATCGTTCTGTAGATTATGGTGTTTTAAAGAAGTTTGAAAAACATGACTCTTTATTTTGAAACACATGACAGAGTGCAGAGAGAGCCCCACGAGCTAAGCACCTGCCGCAGGCTGACTGTTGGGTCCGTGCTGCAGGGCAGGCACCAAAGCTACCACAGAGTAATAATCAATGACAACACTATGTCTGTACTTTCACACTGGCCAGCAGACTGCGAGACTTAGAAGGCTAAGAAGAGGTCTCAGGAGAACGGATTCAACACTACTGCAGTAGCTCAGGAGTGTTCACGTGGCTCTTACCATTGACTTGCCAGATGTTCACCATCTTTTCTAAAGCCCCAGCCAAGTATTTGCCACTGATACTCCAGGAAACAGGTGAGAAGCTCGGATCACTGGGTGAGCCCAGGCTTTCTTCAATGTCCCCTTCCCTAGAACAAGAAAGGTCTGTCTGAATTCTCATCCTCATTGTCCAAGCATATACTAAATACAAATTCTCAAATAAGGGGTTTACACTAGGATATATAACAACAAACTCTTATGCTCCAAAAGCTTAGCCAGCAGTATTTGCCAAATGTGTACACCGCCCCCCCCACACGCCCACCCACATATGCTGGTTGTCACCATATGGAAAATATAGAATTAAAAAAGAGGGATACTTAGAATATTCATCATTTAATACAGTGCATAATGGTCTGTACTCAGATCAATGATTCTTGTTTGCAACATCTTGAGAAATTATCAGAAAACAAGTATCTAAAACCAGAAATGTGGCTCAAAAACAAAGTACTTGTCTTATATGTATGGTTCGATTCCTGGCACCAAGAAATAGAAAGAGAGAAAGGGAAAGGGAGAAAGAGAGAAAGAGAGAAAGAAAGCGAGAAAGAGAGAGAAAGTGGGGGGGAGGGAGAAGGGAAGGATGGACGGAAGGAAGAAAGAAAGGAAGAAGGAAGATGGAAGAAAGCAATCTATATAAAGGCAGTATAGTCTATCACCAACGACATTTTAACTTCAAAATGATCCTTGAAAAGTGAAGAGAGGGGCTGAAGAGATAGCACAGCGGGTAAGGCATTTGCCACTTGTAGCCAAGAGGCCCAGGTTCGATTCCCAGCATCCCATATTGTCCTCTGAGCACCGCCAGGAGTAACTCCTGAGTGCAGAGCCAGGAGTAACCCCTGAGCATTGGCTGGGTGTGACCCAAAAAGAAAAAAAAAGTGAAGAGAAAATTAGTCTGTTCTTTTATAGAATTGCATGTTTATGTTGATTTAACCCGACAAGTGGACACTGAGAATCAGAGACTGCATTCCATGGTCTCCCACACAGAGCTAAGTCAGCACTCACAGTCTGTTGAACACGCAGGTCTGCTGCAGTGAGTACTGCTTCTTGGTGACACTCCACACACGGATGGTCCCATCATTGCCACTTGTAGCCAAGAGGCCTTTCTTATTACACCACACACAAGTCATAACCTAGAAGGGGAAAAGCCCACCAATGTGTAAGCAGGACTGGATTCACATTTGAAACAATGCTATCAAGTTTTAAGATTCTGACCATACAGATGTAAGCTCGGGGCAGCTATGCCTGTGCCTAAGAGCTTGCTCTCTGTTACTGTCTGCCCGGGCTACTTCTGGGACCCAGTGACCGAGAGGTTGTTTCCTGTGATGCCCAGTGTCAGGTCCAGATGGCTGAGGTGGGATCAGGGGGCACTAGTGGCGCTGCTGGAGAGCCGTGAGGTGCCAGGGGTCTGGGTGCATCGGGATCCCACGTGCTGAGCACCTCTCCAGGCACCGAGATGCAGCCTGCCCGGGAAACTCCTACGGAGGAATCAACAGCCATGCCACCGCCTCAAACAGAGTGACTGCAGGACCCGTCCTGACGCAGCACGTGTGGACTCGGGGTTCTCCAGATGGGCTGCAAACAGGAGCTATTCCTCAGACAGCTTTGCTTTACTTCATCTTATCTTTGATTCTGGGCCATACCCAGGGGTGCTCAGAGGCCGTACCTGGCAGCCCAGGGCACCAAATGCATTCCTAGGATTTGAACCAGGGGCATGGTCACGGCTGCATAGAAAATGCCTTAACTGTCTCCCTAGCCCTGAAATATAGCTTTAACGTACATGTGTTTGGGACCAAACTCATTTATTTGAGATCTGTTTGAATCTCTGCTAAACACATTAAATTAAAATATGTTTATTCGGTTAAGGTTACGTATGTCAATATTTAAATGCTTTCTAATATAAATAACAGACTAAGAAGTTAATTGACAATTAAATAATTAAAGTCAGCCTTACTTCCTAAACTGCCCTCATTCAGGGTTAGGTGAAAATAATGACTCCTTTTCTCTTGCATACAAATGCCATCTTTGTGAGGTTATTTATTTCTTTGTTTTTCTCATACTGAGAGAGAAATTCTACTTCCTCTTGCCAGCTGCTGAGAGTGGCTCCATGTCAGCTGCCCCCATTCTACAATGGGGCTGTAAAGAGGGGGGGTCTGCAGTTCCCTGAGGCCGGCCCTGTGGGGCATGGGATCAGTCAGGCCTGGGCCATGGGCTGCCTCACAGAGGCTGGCGGGATGCTGGACTCATCTTCAGTGAAAGGGCGTCAGTGGCAATTGGGGAGCACACAGGAACCCCCTTTCCTCTGGAACAACTCAATCCCTTGACGAGGAGCAAGGATGTCCCCACAAAGATGAGTGCATTTGACTCAGTTCCTCCCCACTGCAGTTCCTTTCTGACTTTCCCATACACTTTTCCATCTTTCTGAGTCTGAGAATCTTTGCACTCCTGAGAATACCGAAGCACTGGTGGCCTGTCGCCAGCCCAGAGCCCCAGACCCCGATCTGGCCTCAGCATGGAGTCTGCTCCCCCCAGGCCCACGCAGAGAATGGCACATACTGCTCAGTGGGGGTCTGTGGGCGTCTGAGTCAGAGAGGGACACTGGACTGGCGTCACCCCATTTCAACACGGTGGGTCGGCTGGGAGCTCGAGGCCAGTACGTACCCGGTTCTGATGCGCCTCCAGCTTGATGAAGGCGCATTTCCGGAGGTCCCCGCCCATGTCTGCGAGGGTCTGTGGGGTGGCCTGGTTGTCGCGGTCGTGCGCGGCCAAAGTGCGCACAAGTTGCTGGGCGGCCCATTGCCGGTGCTGTGAGGACAGCCTGGAGGACAGGCAGCAAGCTGCCAGGGCATTGGCCAGCTCCAGAGGGCCTACAGCGGAAGGATCATGGGAAGGATGGGCATACAATTGGGCAATTAGACCTGCTTAGACAAAACAATGAGATGACGCCCGGTGAGAATCGGTGATGGTGAACAGCAAACATGGGTCAACCCACATCTCCTAAGAACACTCAGCAAGCATCTCACTAGCACACATGCAGACGGCATTCCTCTCACGCCAAATCCAGATCTGAGTCAACACAAATGTATGCTAATAATCATGCAGCAGCTGTCTCTGCTCTAAAGTCCTAGCTTCTTAACGGTGGCTCACAACTCCAAATTAGTTTATAAAATCATGGAACTAAATGTGGGGTCTGCAAATAATCTGGCGACAGTCACAGGATTTCTAACGAGCAATGACCAGAATGAACCCAGATTCAATCTGTGTGTCTATGGTATTTCTGGCTGCACTCGCCAAAGTTGAAGTTCCAGCCCGCCTCTGAATGACACACAGATCAAACATGTGCAGACACCACTAAGGCCAGACAGAGGCAGCCGCTAAGGCCTGGAGAACTTCTGGCCAGAAGGTCCGAGAAGTCATACCATGTGGTCTGGCTGGGGTACCCGGGGGACATACACATGTGCTTCTCTGGCTACTTACAGCCCATCTGCCTCTTCTGAAGGGCCAGCACGTGATGCTATAAATATCCACAGGCCCTTGGCAGAAGAAAGGTTCCCTTACTCCTCCACTAAAGAGTAAGAGTTTTTGCCTTTGATGCTCCAAAGTGCTCTCCATTGCCAACTGAAAGAATGGGCCAATAAATCTAATGGCTGGGACTCGGGGTCTTACGAGTGCGGCCCTCTTAAGCAAAGAGGGAACTAGCACTATAAAGCCGATCAAGGACATCTACTATGGCGATAACCTGTGAGGGCTCAACTCCAATAAAATAATCAAACCAGTATCTAGTTGTTTTCATGCTAAAAAAAGAATCCATGCACTTCTTTCATGACTAAGCTTAAGAATGCTATGCAATTCATCGTATTTATAAATCTGTACGATTTGTCACATATGGCAATGCAAAACACATTCATAAAACTTGAATTAAACTGACTAGAAGACCATAGTCAAGTGCTCTGGAACTCACCTTTCTTTTCCACTTCTGACTTGTCATAGTTAGGCCTCAGTTTGGCCCCTTTGTCTGCGAGTAACGCGACAAGGGCCTGGGTCACAACAAAGTTCGGGGAGGTGACAAGCTTATTCTCCTCGGCAATTCCACGGAGGAAGCTGGGGAGAAACTTGCGCTGAATCGGGTCATCGACAGTCGTCAGGTTCACGCCTGTCGCAGCAGAGATCAAGTTCTGCGGAGGCAACGTGAACAAACACCCTGAATCTCCGGCACACTCTAGAACAGTCTCCCCTCCGTGGGCTCCCGCGAGGCCGCTCACCTGTGTGCACAGCTGCACCAGCAGCTTGGCGGCGCTCGGACTGTTGGAGGCCAGGCAGCCCACCGCCGTGCTCAGGTAGGCCAGGCAGGAGATGGGCTTGCTGGCCTTGCTGTGGCCACCGCGGGAGCGCTCGGCCGTGGCAGCCGGGGCGGAGGGGCTGGTGGAGAGGCCGGCGCGGCCCGCAGCAGCCAGGCACATCAGTCGCACCAGCGTCCGGATATCCGTGAGGCCCAGGGACTCGAGGCCCGCAGCGAGGCTGCAGCTGGAGCCACTGCAGGGAGGGAGACATGTCAGGCATCGCAGAAGGCGGTTCCCGACCTGCAGCCCCAAACTGATCGTCTGTGGCGCCAACAGCCAGGACAGAAGGCAGACGGCTCTGTCGTTAGTCACAGCCTCCAAAGAGACTCCCCACCATTACCTTGATCAATATTGTGGGACATTGCAACATAGCTAAAATACTGGGTTGTAACACAGAGGAAGGCTGGGAAATCATGAATTTCCCCACCCTCAAATCACCCTTGAAGCCTGCCCCCCCTTTCACTAAGCTCCTCAGAAACACTATTCTGGTTCCTAAAAACACAGATTTGTTTTGCCTGCTTTGAAACTTTACATCAAAAGAGGCGATTATGTATTCTCTTCCCTGGGTTTTCCTCAGCCTCAGGTTTGGAGTTCAGCACTCAGCCAGGGGCTGCGCCGCTGCAGTGACCACCCAGTTCACCGACCCTGGAGAGGACAGTCAGTGGGTCCCAGCTGGGTTCTGATGAGGGGCAGAGCCAGGGTGACCGCTCGTGCACCTGCACGCCTGTGTCAGCGTCTCTGTCCAACACACACGCGGAAGTAGGCGTCTGCTCAGAGTCCGCCCCCAGGAGGGTCAGCTGGGACTCGGCCTTCACAGCAGGAACCGACTACATTTCCAGCAGCAAAGCAACAGTGCTCGGATCTCTCCCACCCCTGAGCTTCCCTTCCCCTCAGCCTTTGGCAGATGAGCAGCAGACTCAGCTGGTTCTTACGGTCACCCTGAGCAGTGGAGAGGGTGGGGACCTGACTTCCATGTTCACCGGCCCTTGGACCTCCTTTGTGGGGGTATTACTTTGTGTTTTGTTCAGTCTGAAGAGGTTGTCTGTGTGGTTTTTTTTTAAATAAATTTACAAAAATTTACATATTTTGTTGATTAAATGTTATTGTTTTCTCCCATTAGTCCCATTTACTTCAATAGTTAAGTTTTTTAATGACACACTGAAAATAAATTTATAAAATACATCCAAGTTGTCAATCTTTTTTTTTATAGTAACTGTCATTTGTTAATTTCTTATTTTTTTGTTGTTGCTTTTGGGGCCACACCCAGGCTGGTGCTCAGGGATCACTCCAGGTGGGCTTCAAGGATCACGTGGGGTGCTGCAGATGGAACTTGGGGTGGCTGAGTGCAAGGAAAGTGCATCACCCACTGTACTATCACTCTAGATCCCTAGATCCCTTCTGGTTTTTTTCTTCTTTTATTATTTTTTGGGGGGCATCCCCATCAGTGCTCAGAATTTACTCCTAGCAGTGCTCAGGGGACCATAAGGGATGCCAGAATTGGTCACTGTGCAAGGCAAATGCCCTCCCTGCTGTTCTACCATTCTGGCCCTCTTTTGTTCTTTTCTTAAGAAATTTCTACCAAAAAAGGAAGAAAAATGGACAGAGAAAATATACACACAAGTAAAAACCACAAAAAATTTTTTTTAAATGAAATTTTGAATCAATAAATTCCTGCGCCTGAGAGATGATATAAAAGGGAAGGCTCAAGTCCAACCAAGTCACTCCACGACCCCCAGGAGGTCTCCTGAGTCCCACCAAGAATGATCCCTGAGCACAGAGCCCCTGCTTAAACAGCAGGAAATGCTGGGCATGCCCTGAAACAAACTCTGCCTCCCACAGCCCCCCAAAAGAATGAATTCCTCTGCACGGCCTTACAGAAACCGCTGACTGGCCAGAATGGACTTATCTGCACTGCCTTGTAGAAACTACTGACCATTCACACCAGCCATCAGTTTCACACGGGGCGGGAGTGGACACACAATGTCTCCCATGTGAGAAGCAGAGAGAGAAGCTTCTCCCCACTGCTCTTCTGGACACACAGCTATCATCACTCAAAGCACAAACAGGGCTTATCTGTCTATTCTGGTCAATTTCTGGGCCAAACACTCTTCCTATATTAATTTTGGTTAAAATAGGCCTTATTTACTTATTAAATAAATGGAAGTTTTTCTTTCGGGGTCCTCTGCCTTTACAAAATAACTATTAATCCTGTATAGTCATTTCTTCAATGAACTGCCTTTTATGCATTCTCAGCTCATTTCTTTCTTTAGTTTTTATGTATGGATTTTCAGTGACACGTGCAGAGCATGTACTATCCCAAGGCATGGCAGCGGCCTCTCCTCCCCGGCAGGAAGACAGTGAGCATGCGTCAGAACTCTGCAGAAACACACACCTGACCAACTCTGCAGAAACACACACCTGACCGTGATCCCAACACTTGTGGCCCCGGAAGCTTCCTTCCCGCCCCCGAATGGCTGTCTGCTCCCCTACAGAGCCCGGCTTCACAGGCTGAGAGCAGTGCTGAGTACCTTCCCATTCTCGCACTCAAACCCAACGCATAAAATCCCGGGCCTGCCCGAGCCACTCACCTGACGGACAGGAGAGACAGCGCCCTCATGACCATGGTCCTGGCCAGGAGGACCTGGGCAGCGGCCGTCAGTCTCCTCAGAGCCACCACTCGGTCGTGCGGGTTTGTGAGGGCGGCCGCCTGCTCGCCAAGCGTGACCCTCCCAGAGGAGCTCTTCTCCACAGAGCCATGGCACCCTGGAGGGCACAGGGACGGCACTGGTTACGTCCGACGTGGCAAGGGAAAGAATATTCAGAGAGCTCACCGTCATGACCCTTGGCATTTAATCCAGGGGTCAGATTGTAGAAAACATGCAAAACTGTGACTGTGTCACGGGGGGGGGGGGGGGGGGTTGATAGCAATGCTCGGGGGGCGCAGGATGGCACCTGGCAATGCTCAGCCCAGCAGGGAAAAGCCCGACACTTCTGGGGCTTGGCGAGGTGCAGTGCCCTGTGCAGGCTGGGTGTGTGTGTGTGTGGGGGGGGGGGGGGGGGATTGGGGAGGGGATCTAGTCAAGGTCACACTCGAGCCCTGAGCCTCGCGCACGACAGGCTTCCTCTTAGTCCCAAAGTCACTTTATCTCATAAAAGCAAGGGAAAAGCACTGGGATAGGGCTGCAGACATGGGTGGGGGGACGGAGGAAGCGTGTCAGCCCCGGCCTGTGCCTGAGAACATCAGACTGACCAAACCCCTGCCGATGAGCGCCGTGGCTTACCTATTTGCATCAGCGTTTCCTCCATGCTGTTGGTGGCCGTCACCATCGCCACCGAGGCCCCCAGCGGGTCACTGTCGGGGAACTGAACTGGTTCCGGCACAATGCGTCGGTCATTTAAACCAAGAGGTCCAGCAAGTAATTCAAACTCTTCTTCACCTGTTAGCTTTTCATCCTCATCGACATCCAGCATGTCCCAGTCTTCTAGAATATAAATAAATACAAGGTTCATGAAAATAAACTGACATGCCAGAAACAGCCACGGAAAGTTGTGGCTCGGAAACAGAAGGGCGGAAGCCCAGGGCCCACAGAGTGGACAACAGCGCCACCTCCTGGATACCTAAGCAAAGTGTCCCCAGTGGCATCAGACCGCGCACGGGAGGTGCAGCCCGGCTCTCTGAAGGGCTACCCACTGTCACCACCAGCTCTCTGAAGGGCCACCCACTGTCACCGCCGCTGAGGGCAGTGGCAGCTGAGACACGGTCGAGAAACTGAGGTCAACAAGGAGCTGTCACCACAGTCATAATCATCAGACACTCCAAGAAATTAAATGCTCCAGTTAAAAACATTCTCCATTCAGTTTCTTTTTCACTTCACTCAGTAAAGATATAAACTGAACATGTAATATATTCTTTTCCTTCTTATACAAATGTATATGCCACGTAGAAATTAACATTACGTGGCAAATCTCGTGCGGACTCTTTCCATTGATTTTTAAAACAAACACCATGACTATCCAGCTACCTTAATCTTTTAATGGAAAGTTTAATATGTACATAAACATAGACACACGTGAAGGCCAATTTTAGTAACAGATGTTAAGCAAACAACGTATACAAAAAAAACAAGTAAAATAAAGAATCTCTCAAAACATCTACCTTCATATACACTGTCCTGCTTGCCAATTAGATCTGGAGCTTGTCCCTTGTACCTGCACCAAACATGAAGAATAGTGTGTTTTTATATAAAAGTTAGTACTCAAAAATGCAAATTAAGCCATTAGATTATTTAAAGGTCATTAATAAAGCAACACAAAATTAAAAAGTGTCTCATTATAAACTCAGGTAATAAAGATAACAGGTATGTAGGATATACACATGTGTAACAAAATCAATGGCTTCCTAATTACTGGCCATCTATAATAACTCTTAGTCAAAACCTATACCAGAACGCCTTAAGGTTTTTTTAAAGACAAAGGGCATTTACTTAGGATCCAAGAATCACAATTCAGGCTGCTCAGATTCAGGGATCACTGTATCACTGTCCTCCCGATGTTCATCGATTTGCTCGAGCGGGCCCAGTAACGTCTCCATTGTGAGACTTGTTACTGTGTTTGGCATATCAAATACATCACGGGTAGCTTGCCAGGCTTTGCCGTGCGGGTGAGATACTCTCGGTAGCTTGCTGGGCTCTCCGAGAGGGGCGGAGGAATTGAACCCGGCTCGGCCGGGCCGGCTGCATGCAAGACTAACGCCCTACTGCTGTGCTATCATAGAAGACCTAAAAAGGATCCTGCCGTAAAGTGTCAGTGGTTGACAGTAAGAGCCCAACTCCTCCACTTACAGAGGAACCGCTACTCAAAGACATCAAAGGGTAGTATTCAACGAAGATATCTTTTCTTTGTTTGCTCTGTTTTGGAGCCACACTTGGCAGTGCTCAGGCCTTACTCCTGGCTCTGCATCAGGGATCCCCTCTGGGGGGCTCAGGGCACCAAATGGGGTACTGGGGATTGAACGCGGGTTGGCCACGTACAATGCACCCTAACACAGTGCTATCTCTCCAGCCTTACTCAATCAATTTTAAAAACAGAGAAAGTCTGTTTTTCTAATGAAGACAAAGGTCTTAGTCAGAATGTCAAGCTTTGGTGAAATAACAGCAGTTCACTCACTTCCTGAGGCCGAGGTGGGCCGAGTCCATGGGATCTGAGCTGCCCTGGCTCCCCCTGCCCGCTAGGCTCCCGGCTCCAGGGCTCATGAGCTCCCCCGTCCCAGCAAGGGGAGAGCCGCCATTCATCTCCTTGTGCAAGTGAGATGCTGTGCATCTTCCTGCAGAGGGTGTGCAAGTTCAAGGTACCTTTCCGAGCTTGTCGTCTTGGATTTGGTCTTCAGCGCTAAGTACTTCTCCCTGCAGCTGCCACAGAGCAGGTAGTAGGGGTTCCCACTGCCGCACTCCCCACCGAACCAGCCGTCCACATAGGAGCCATTGCTGCGGTAGCCCTGGCGGTTGGCGCTGCGGCCGCAGCCCGGGTGGTTTCTCTTCATGTGCTGGTTGAAGCTGGCGACGCTGCACTCGCACAGCTCACACACCACCACCTCCTCCCTGTCTTCAGACTCGCAGACGTGCTGCGGGGAAGATTTCAGACCACGCTAGTCAACTGCACGTTCCTCGGAGCAGGAATCAGAGCTACTGAATTAACTGCTCTGCAGCAAATGCGGGAGTAGCCGATGATGCTTATTGAAACTACATGACAGATTCCTCTCACGTCAGGACTCACACCACCCAATATGAAGGCTTCCCTCCCCGTCCACATGGCCCCCTCTGCCCTCTGGGCCCCCAAAATATTTCAAGGGGGTCACAGGCAAGAGTTATGTCAGTGTGGGGGGGGCACAATGCAAGATGAGGGGCCAGCTGGTAGAACGGGGGGCACAGGAATGAAACAAGGTTAGAAGGGCCCAAGGCAAAAGAGAATGAGAAATAGCACTCTAGCTTACTGTAGCTCTAGCTTACAGCGAGTAATGGAGAAGAAAGCGTTAGTAAATGCAACAACACATCCCCGCCTCAGCGATTCCTCCTCTCAACCTCCCAGTGAAAAGTGCTTTTTGTCTGGTCCTAACACCCAGGTCTACTGGAATACAGCAGACCCTCCTCACTGTCAGGTTTGAGCGTTGCAACGGTCCTGTCTCTGGCTAAAAAAGCATCATGCTGAGTAATGTGAACACAGAAACACGCCAGCTACCCTGGCCCTGACAGAGGCATTCACCAGATCAAGGAGAGAACTGGTTCCAGCCTTCGGATACCAGGAGAGCACAGAGCCATACTGTAAACTCCAACAACACGGTACTGTTCATGACCTTTGCTACCAGAAATGAATTCTACTACAGCACGACTCTCACCCAAGGAGGGGAGAAGAGAACCACACAGAGAACGAGACTTTTCTCATGAGTTAATCAAGCTGCAGGCAGATGAGCTGTAGTTAAATGAAGCAAATGATCTGGGGACATTAGGGAAGCACTTCCCCAGTGTGGAGATGGGCTGAGAGGCGTGGCAGACAGTGGCAGGCTAGGCAAGGCTAGAGGCAGGCAGGAAAGAAAGTCAGGCAGCCCCCGCTGCGCTCACACACACCCAGGTAGGCCAGTCCAGTACCTCTGGGATCCACATTCCCAGAATATCACTGTCACTGCTCAGGTCTTGTCCAAACATGGCCTCCATGGCTTCATCGTCAAGGTCGATTTCGAACTCCTCGTCTAGGTTAAAGTCGTAGAGCGCCCCTGGGTCCTGCTGCAGGGACATCCCTTCCCTCCGGCTCTGATTCCTGTGCGCCTGCACGGAGCGGTACAGCCCCGCTCAGAACAAAACAAAGAGGCATTTTATTCACATGTACGAAGCGTTTCCACATGTTCTGCAATTCTCAGCTGTCGTTCATGTAAGGAAGAACCTGCCGAGGCTGATACACTAGACTCGGCCATGAGCAAAAGCTGCAGCTATCCTAAATGCTTTCTCTTGTGCCAATACTTTATGGACGGATAAAGGGAAAATCCTTCAGTGTAAACATAGGCCATGATTCTTTGGGGCTTGGCTGGTTTTTTATTCTCGGCCCACCCGGTGGTTCTGGAGGGTACTCAGCCTGCAGCACTCATTCCTGACAGTACTCAGGAACCACAGTACCAGGGCACCTGGAGGGACCTTCGACGGCCACATACAATGCACCTTGACCCCTGAACGATCTCTCCAGCCCTAGATCTGTGTTTTCAAAAAGCAGATATTTTCATTATACATTAAATATATGCCCTATATATATTTCTAAGAAAGTTTTAATTTTTCTGCTTCAAAAAAATTAATCTTTAGATTTTAATATTTACTTTTTGGCTTCTGGGCCACACCTGGCTGTGTTCAGGACTTAACTCCTGGCAGTGGTTGGGGACCCATATGGGGTTTATGGGGTTCCAAGAACTGTTTGCAAGGCAAGCTCCCTACTTTCTGGCCCCTTGGTTTTAATATTTCAAGGACAAAACTACTTTCACAAATAATGTACTCTAGTTTGGGGTTTGGAAAATATGATACGTATAACTCACACTTCATATACCCAGAACATAATGCCTGAAGTGTTCACTAATATAACGAGCAAACCTCTTTCTGCTTATCTAGGGCTTCATGGACTATTGAGTACTTAGACCCACAGGAAAGCCAGTGCTGCGCTTGGTCCTCTACCAGGCCCTGCCGGGGAGCTCCCTTCTCCTCTATGTACTTTTTTTCCTACCAATAAACTGTTCTATTAGCTAAGAAGAAAAAGAAAACTCAGTGCCTGCTTCTTCGGGACTGTGTCCTTTCCAGTTCGCTCTTCCACTGGACGTTTAATTTTAAGTATGCAACTTCACTTTCGTTTTCTTTTGTTTTGTTCTGGGGTCAGACTTGGCGATGCTCAGAATTTACTCCTGGCTCTGCACTCAGAAATTACTCCTGGCAGTGCCCAGGCGACCATCTAGGATGCTGGGGATCGAACCCGGGTCAGCTGGATGAGGCGCCCTGCCCTCTCTACTGCTGCTCTGGGCCCTAGCTTCATTTCTTACTTGTTGCCTGAGGGTAAAGATCATTTACAAAATCTCTCAGGTATTTACAACAACCAGCACTGTCTTGTGCCGCCAGCAAGGGAATGTAAAAGAGACGGACACGGTCATTCTGATTACGCAAAGCTACATACATGCTCGGAGAATAACACACAGTCACTATGAAGATACTGATTATTAGTATCACTGGTCTGCCTCTTCCATTTTTTAAAATACAGAAAACAAACTAGCTCACACTTTCGGAGAGATGTAAAATAGAATTACCTGCTCTTGCTAGCAACGTGCGAGCCGCCAGGTCAAACTTGTGTCTCCTTGTCACTGCTGAGCGACCCCTTGGCAGTGGCCCACTTCCAGAAGCTACATTTTCCGTATGGTCCAGATTATCAGGGCTACTGGAGCAAATGCGAAAGCAACATACATTACATGAGGAAGGGCCAGAGAGGGTGCTTGCCTCGCAGCACACAAAGACAGGTTTGACCCCGGCACCCCCGCTGGTGATTGGAGCCCAGTCAGGAGTGATCCCCGAGTGCAGAGCAGGGGCAAACCTGGGCATAGCTGGGTGCGACCCACAAACAAAGACTAACAGAGATACATCTTGACTAGAAAGTATCAGTTCAAGTTTGCCCCCCTGCTATTTTTTTGCCGTAGGTAATAGCAAGGATGAAATCTTTACAACAAGACCTCTAAAATATCTCTTTTCTCCTAGGTAAAATTCCTAAAATGTCGTATTGTCCTGTGCAATAATTTTAGCTGACTTTGAATTGTGCCAACAATGAAATTAAGACGATTATGTCAGAATAAATTGCTTACTGTATTCAAAGTTAATTTTTTATTATTCTAATTTAGGTAACATGGTTATGACAGCATTCGCATTTATGAGTTTGATGTATTGTTACTGCCCTCCAGCACTGATGTGCCAGTGTGTAATAAATACACTTCATATACATGATGCAATAAGTATGCACTGTCCTCCCGTTGTTCATCAATTTGCTTGAGCATGCACCAGTAACGTCTCCATTGTGAGACTTGTTACTGTGTTTGGCATATCAAATACGCCATGGGAATAAAGGAAATCAATACATTCATATATGTGTATGTGTGTGTGTGTGTGTGTGTGTGTGTGTGTGTGTGTGTGTATCTCCTGCCTACATATATGCCTGACTGGGACCACTTGTAAAGGTAATTTTAGAGGCTGCCCCAAAAGCCTCCATCCCTCTCAGAGAGCTCGGCAAGCTACCGAATATCCCACCTGCATGGCAGAGCCTGGAAAGCTACCCATGGCATACTTGATATGCCAAAAAAGTAACAATGATGGTCCTCATTCCCCTGACCCTGAAAGAGCCCCCAATATGCCATAGGGCTACACTAGCATGTGACAGGGATGAATGGAGATGTTACTGGAGCCCGCTCGAGCAAATCGATGAACAACGGGGTGATAGTGATATATATATATATATATATATATATATATATGTATATCTGATTGAAAAGTTTAGTTGATTATCCGTCTTAGGGTGCAGAAGTAGTCTCTGTGCGTGGCGGGACACCTGCAGGGCCTGCCCTCGCAGTGGGGTCGTGTCCAGCAGTCAAAGATGCCTCATGAGCACTGTCCACTGAGCAATAGTCTGACAGGAAAAGCTCCTCTTCAAACAGGAAAAGGGGCTTATCTGTGCTGACCTTGGAAAGTGAAAAACAGACGAAGACATACTGAGACCGTAAAGGTCGATTTTTTGTGGGGTGGGGGGTGGGGGGCACACCCAGCAGTGCTCAGGGCTGACTTCTGGTTCTGCCTTCAGGGACCACTCCTGGGGGGCTCAGGGGACCAAGTGGCGTCTGAGGGATCGAGCACGAATTGGTCATGTGCATGGCTGGCACCCTACCCACTGTACTATAGTTCAAGTCCCATGAGATAGATGTAAAAATTCTATCAATAGCATTAAGTCAAGAATTAAGTCCATAAACCACGTCCAGTTTTATAAGATGAAATTAGTTTATTAGCATGTTTACCTTTAATGTCAGAAGACACCTATTTCTTCGTTTTAAGTTCATTACTCATCACTGTGTGTGTGGGGGGGGGGGGAGTGCTGGGGACTGCCTGGGGCACTCAGGGTCCTCAGCAGCTCTGGGCTCAAACCCAGTGGTCTCCACGTGCAGAGCCTAAATGCCAGGGCTGGAGTGATAGCACTGCGGGGAGGGTGTTTGCCTTGCACACGGCTGACCCAGATTCGATTCCCAGCATCCCAAATGGTCCCCCGAGCACCGCCAGGAGTAATTCCTGAGGGCATGAGCCACGAGTAACCCCTATGTATCACCAGGTGTGACCTCCCCCCAAAAAATGCCGTCCAGCGTCCAGCATCCGGCATCCTTTCTGTGGGTCAGGACAGGCTCTGGCCCGTGCTGCAGAGCAGTGCTCCACTGACGAACCATATCTCTGGGGCCCAGACCCATCTACCTCTTGTCATGGAAACACGCTCCCAAGAGAAAACCTGCCAGTCACCAGTCAGAAACCTGACCTCGGCGTGCTCACCACGCCTGCCACCTGCCAGCTTTATCCATGATAAGGGCACCTGCCAAGCAGTAGCGAGGTATGGGTAAAGGGGATCCCTGACACAGGCTCATGCAGGGGCAGCGGCAGGAGGGATGGAGCCTCACCTCTCACTGAAGCCTTCCTCCATCTCCGCAGCATCAGCCGAGGGGATGTCCCCTGGGGACTGCAAGTGACAGGGCTCACTGGACTTCCCACCGCTGCCCAGAGCCACTGCCCCGTGTCGGGGGTCTGAGGTGCTGCTGGATGGGGGCTCCTCCTCGTCCTCATGCCCAGGGTGCTCGATCATCCACATGGCAAGGACGGTGATGTTCTGGGCATCAGCTTCTCCTCGGGCACCTGAGCAGGGGAAAAAGTTTTGTTACGACTGAGCAAAATAACGGGGACTCATGCAGTGATGCCACTCTACTTCCTGTAACTGAGGAAGTTACATATATATATATATATGGGCTGGAGCGACAGCACAGTGGTAGGGCGTTTACCTTGCACACAGCCAGACTGGCCAAGCCAGGTTCGGTTCTTCTGGCCCTCTCGGAGAGCCCGGCAAGCTACCGAGAGTATCTCGCCCGCACGGCAAAGCCTGGCAAGCTACCCGTGATGTATTCGATATGCCAAACACAGTAACAACAAATCTCAAAATGGAGACATTACTGGGCCCGCTCGAGAAAATCGATGAACAACGGGAGGAAACTGCACTGTACTGTGGCACTGTCCTCCCGTTGTTCATCAATTTGCTGGAGTGGGCCCAGTAACATTGTGAGACTGGTTGTTACGTTTTTGGCATATTGAATACATCACAGGTAAAACAGACGTGTGACATATACTGCTTTTAAATACACTCAGGATTCTGCGGACACGTAAAGCCCCGCCATACCTGTGGCGTCCATAGCTCTGGCGATCTGCCGGAGAGAGAAGCCCATCTCCAACAAGGGCACGGCGATGGCCGGGGGCGGAGGGGAAGTGGACAGTCTGCTGCTGGGGTCTGACAAGGCTGGGCCATGAAAGAGACAGGGACAGAGACAGAGACAGAGAAAGAGGCGAGAAAGATAGAGAGGTTTAAATGTCATCGAGTAATAAGTATTCTTATCATTGTGAGTTCCCAATTCCCTAATACTTTCCACATTTAATGGAATTTTCTTCTATTGAAAATTCACTAAATGTCACAATATTTTCCAAAGGTACTATACAGAAAAGTCGACTTGGCTTATAATCTCCCCTTTCCATTAATTATAAGAGATGCCCAACCACAATCAGTAAATTTAGCACTTAAGCTTCTGTAATACATAAATAATTGCAAGACCTTTTTAAAGTATAAACTTCCTGGAAAAACATTTAAGACCTTCCTATTCTGAAATTCACTGTCTGAAATGCACCGTCATCTCTGTATGTGTCTCACTCCCACAAGTATGGGCGTCCTCCTGTATGGCCGTAACACAACCACCGGAGCCAGGAAAGCAACAAACCATGCTGTATCTGATGCAGATTCCACCCCAATTTAACCACAAGCTTCATCTGGAGCATGCACCACCCATCCCTCTTCTGTTTCCTTAGATCTCTGATACTTTGAAGATCACAGTAGGATGTCACTCAGCCTGGGCTTTCTCGATCTCATCCTTTCCTCCCTCCCCTTTCTTCTTCTTTCTTCCTTCTTTCTCTGAGGAGGGAAGGAATATGAAGGAAGGTTTGAGCCACGCTCAACATTGCTCAGGGGCTACTCCTGACTCAGCGCCTAGGAGTGATTCCTGACATTCTGTGTCAGGGGACCACGTGTGGTAGCAGCGAAGGAACTGATGCCAGCCACACGCAGGCCGCTGCCTCTCCTCGCCTGTGGAGTCCTTCCTGGCACAGTCCGTGACCTCTAGAAGCTATGGAGCTTGTGGGAAACCCCAGGCTCTGTCCTCTCTGCTCTGGGCTGCTGCTGGGGAAACCTGACATTTTCAGAGAATATCACAGATTAATTGGCCTTGATATGGCGGTCAGTGGCCTGAGCACAGAAAACAGACACCCCTGGGGTCAGCAATACTCCCACCTGCCTCTGCTGTAGAGCTCTGAGGACAGTGCTCCAGCAGCTTCTTCCTAGCCTTAATGACCCCTTCCTCCCTCAACTGTGTGCTAGTGCACACAGACGCATTTCTCCAAGCTCACTTGCCAATGCCTCTCCTGTAAGCCTTGCCATGTGACTGCAAGTCTACGGCTGTGTGTGGGTGACTTGCTACGGGCATCAATCTAGAGAGCACCGCTGCCCTAGATCGGGAAACTGTCTTCATGCTCTTGGTGTCACCGTGGCCACAGGACAGTTACACTATTCCTCCTTAACTATATGCTACCTGATTTCATTTCCCCATTACCACTAGTTAATTTTGATCACATGAATTCCATGGTATCTGCTGTAAGAATACTGTGAAAACACACTTTTTACTCTCTGTGGTTAGCATGTTCTTGTAATAATAATTTGTAATACGTGAGACTAGTAAATCACTCATTTCTCATCACTAGCACAGAGCTATGCTTACTCGTTGAATTTCTATGATGGTTGATAGATGATTTCCTAATTTCATCACTGCTATTAGATCAGTCAGCTGACATTTCATGCTGATATTTCTTTTCCTTTATTATCATATTTGGATGCACTCAAAATATGTACTCATAAATCTCCCGGATTTGAGCAAACTTCTCCCATCTAGCTCTTCTGTCCTTAAGTGGCCTGTGCCGACACTCCTCAAAACACTGCCTCACCTCTTGGTCCAGGTTATTCAGCTCAGCTCGGCTCTGCTGAAACCTCTGTTTCTCTCCTCAAGATCAGACCCCTTTCTCAGAGACTGGTGCTCCTTAGACAGACCCTAACGAGGCTGTGTTCGCATGACTGACGTGGTGCTGCCTCCAGGCCCTCAGTGGAGACAGGGCAGTGAGGCCCCTCCCTCTGCTCGGCTACGCAGGTCCTCGGCAAGCCTGGGCTCGGGTGACCTGTCAGGCAGTCCGCACAAGGACCAGCCTCACTCCGATACCTGTCAGAGTGGACATGCTCCTGACCCCCACCCCTGCCAGCAGTAATGCTTTGCATGACTTTCAGATGTTGATTTGGCCTCGTCTTATATTAGGGAAGAAGGAAGAGAAATAAGGAAGGAGAGAGAATTGTAATTCAGTTTTCTTTAAAATTTTTACTATGGGGCTGGAGCGACAGCACAGCGGGTAGGGCATTTGCCTTGCACACAGCCGACCCGGGTTCGATTCCCAGCATCCCGTATGGTCCCCCGAGCACCACCAGGAGTCATTCCTGAGTGCAGAGCCAGGAGTAACCCCTGTGTACCACCAAGTATGACCCAAAAAGAAAAAAAAGAAAAAGAAAAATTTACTACAAGAGGCAGAGTGCCATTACAGCAAGAAAGGCACTTGCCTCCCACATGGCTGACCAGAGCTGACCCAATATGGTCCCCCGAGCCCACCAGGTATGAGTCCTAAGTGCCCAGTAAACCCTGAGCCAAAAACAAATAAACAGAAGGTCTTTTTTCAGGGACAGGGGGAGGTGGAGTAGTGAGGGAGAGGAGTGGTTGGGCCAGACCAGCGATGCTCATGGGTGCGCCTGGCTCAGCTCAGGAATCACTCCTGGGGCACTTGGGGGACAATGTGGGTGCTGGGGATGAAAATAGGGCTGCAGCAAGGAAGGCGAATGGAAGCCCCCCCCCCCCCCCCCCCCCCGCCCCATACCACTGCTCGGCTCTCCAGTCCAGTTCTCAGGTTCTGCTCCTTCGGGCATCTGTCATTTCCTATTTCATTTCTTTAAAACAACTCGTGTCCATCCATCTTCTGACTAGGAATTCTGCCTCTGGGAAACATCACCTTGCCCCACGCCCAGGTCAGCAAAACCTTGTGCCTGCCTGGCAGAGCACCTACCTGCGTTCCCCAAAGTACAAGGGCCATGCAAGAACTCCCTCCTCACTGTCTCACAGGAAACAAGTATGGGAGTGTTACACTAACTCAGCCGAGAGCACTTGGCTGCCCTCATGCACACTGCAGCCACGTCGACTTACTCCCAGCTCCAATTTCTTATCCGCACAGAAATTCACACAGAGAGCTGTGGTGGTTAGAAGCCCTGGGACCCGAAAGTGCAGCTGGCTGTGGTGACACAGGGCAAAGACACGAACGGTCTTCCTGGAACCCACACACTAAAACAGAAGCTGACGAGTAATAACAAGTTTGGTGGGGAGAACTTTGAGAGGGAATGAGTCTTGAATTTTAAAGGACACAAATTATACAAGGTATTTTCTCAAATGACAATGAAATTAAGTTGGGAATAAGTAACAGAAATATAGGTAGAAAATTCCCATTTTGAAACTAATGCACTGTTAAAAATGGATCAAAAGTAAATTGTTAAGTATTTTAAAGTGAATGAAAAAAACAAATGGCCTTTGAAAGTACATGGGTCACAGCAAGAACAAGCCTTAAGCACATCCAAATGCCTGCAGCAGAAAGGATGGAAGGTTTAGTATGACTTATACACATCACTCCTCTCCCAAACAGCCATGTTTCATCGACAAATAGATCTCATCTAAATGAGAAGAGAGCTGGAGGTGCCATAACTGCCATCACTGGCTCACCTTCAGCAGAGACCGCACACCATGCCCACTTGGGAAGCCCACACACCCGGGAAGCCTCGAGACCTGGGCCCATGAGGGCACCCTCACCTGTGCGGTTGGCTGGCCTTGCCGACTGGGAGTCAGGAGACGTTAAGCTCTGCCTTCTTCCTACTTCGTCAGAAGGAGACGTGGGGAGGGAGGATATTGGCGGAGTCTGAGCACGGCGTGTGGGAAGGACAGTGGTGGTTGGGTAACTGGAGAACATTTGCCTTTAAGAGAACAACAATGGTGAGCGTAAAAATCCTGCTCAAAAATAATATGTACATCCCAATCTTCTACAGCCTGAAAGAGTGTGAGAGTTAGTGGTAGTTTAACTGGGGGAGCAAAGAGGAAATCCAGGTTTAAACATCATTACTTCATAGGGCACTTTAATTATGAAAGAAACCTTATCATTCGTGCAGCCAAATGCCAGGAACGCAGCAGTGGGCGAGAGCACAGCTGCTAAACAGACACAAGCAGCTCCTGCTTCACGGAGATTCCCCTTCATAGAGGACAGGGTCTCTGACCTCAGACAGGAGGTAGGGCCTGCTAGGTGACTTAGGGGTCTGAAAGTGCTCAGATTTTCCTTGTGTAAGTTAATAATAATACATTCCCAGAAGGGCCTATGGACCGAGGACGGGATGTAAGGGTGGATGACAGGTCTGGTACGTGCAGAGCCCAGGGTTAGATTCCCAGGACCCCAACACCATCTTCCCAGCATCACTGTGAATGGTCTCACATCAATAACAACAATGACAAAAACCTAAAATGACTGTCTACCACAGTCCAAATGACTGTCCTAATGGCATATACACAGGGCAGCTGTCCTTATTTCTCTCTCAATAAATGGTTACTGGCCAGGCAAAGGTAACAGCCATGCTGACCAATGGGAAGGAAATAGGACCTAGAAGGTAGGAGTCACAGGGCCTGGTGAACCCCAGCAAGGCAGCACAGACTCTGGGGTCCCAGAAGAATGGGACCTGGTATCTCCAAAGCTCTGAGAGCCTACACCGTGTGACTGCTAAAGGAAACTACGTTAGAATAGGCCACCACTTCGCTCCTCCCCGCTTTTCCTAAACAGAAGCAGCTCCTGAAATGCGTTACTTAAATAAGAGAGTCAAGAGCTGCAGATGGATGAAAAGTGAACACTGACAGTTTCTGTTGCGCGAGCATGAATAACACTCCCCATCCTCAACACTGGAGCAAGACCACGCATCAGAGTAATGGGAAATAAACCAATCGCAACAAACACCCCCCCACTAGAACAACTGAACAATATTTTCTGGGGGATAAAACCTCAGAGCAAGGTGTCTCCTGGGCCTGCCAAAAACTGAAATTAATTACAGTAACAGTCATTCTCCAATTCTATAAGTCCGTCGGTACGCTGAGGTCAGTGACAATCTGTCACCTAAGGGTAGGAAGACAGAAATAAGACTAATAACCATTCTGCTTCCTTCCTGTCCCCTCAGCCTCAGACAAGAGCACTCAATCAGTCTTTCCCTAGAGATCTTCTCTCAAAGGTTTTTATTTTGCTTATACAGCTGGCAAACTGAAGCAAAAAAGAAATAAACATTTGGAATTTACAAATGTATTATTACAGTAGGGCTAGCTGAAGAAGCCTCGTGAGACATGAGTTTTGATTCGAAAAGTGGACTTGTCTGATCGTATGGGCAGAATGAAAGCACAGTTAAGAAATTATGTTTAATAAAGGTAATAATCTAAAAAGAAAATTATTTTCATGGAAGTGAGCTTTTTGTTGAGGCTCCAAAATTCAAAATACAGGTATTTGTATTTTCTGAAGACAAATATTTAAAAATTTAGTTTTAAAAAAAAACAACGAAGTCCTAAGTAGCCGACAGCTGGCATCGTGGCCGCTGGCTCTAGGTGGGGAACTCGGGGATACTCCGAGCTGTGAGGGGCAGAGCCTCCAGAGAAAGGCCTGGCTGCCAGGGTCCCGGCCCGGCTGTTGGAAGGGGCAGCATGCACGCTCACCTGAGCAGACTCAGGGGCATGACGCCCGGGGACTCGGATGCGGGCACCGTCTCCGTGTCGGTGACAGGCGTGGTGGCAGTGGTGGTGTCCTCCAGGGAGCTGCTCATGAAGGAGGTGGTGCTGGAGGCCGAGGGGCTGGTGGTGACGGGGGTCTGCGCCTGTGGGGCCTGCTCACCCTCCTCCAGGTGCTGCTCCGTCTCTAGACAAGGGAAGGTGAAGGAAATGGAGTTTGGCTGTTTCAAAGACAACACTGCAGTGAAAGAGCTTTAACCTTGGATTTGGAATGTTTTTAAATATATTTCTTAAGAATCAGCTTCCACAGATTTACAGAAAAATGTCTTACATGTACGCATTCTATATGCACTATTATCCTATTACTCTAGACCAGAGAGACAATGTAACAATGGCTTGTAATTAGTCATTTTTTCAAAGAGAGGGAGTATCCCCCTAAAGCAAAAGTATATAGTCTTACTTTGGGCTTTATGATTTGATAGGTTCCCTAAAGATATGTGATTATTCAAACTCTTCCCTTAGCACTTTGATTCTAATTATCTTGCATCTACAAAGATCAATGGCACACAAATACAGGTACGTGTCTTTGATCTTTGTATAATAAAAACTTGGACAAGAAAATCCACTTCTAAGAAAGGACAATTCTGGGGCTGGAGCTGGAGAGATAATACAGCAGCTAAGGCACCGGCTTGCACATGGCTGACCCAGCTTTAACCCCAAGTAACCCCCATGTTTTCCTGAGTCCACAAGGAGTGATCCCTGAGAGCAGAGCCGGTGTGGCCCAAAAACAGAAAAATAAAATATAACAAAATTATGACAATACTTCAACACACACACCCCTGCACCTAGGACTTAAAACAAAGAACAATTAAAATGTGCAAAAGCTTATATTTACATTACTTTTCTTCTTCTTCTTTTTTTTAACATTATTTTTCTTTCTGGCAGGGGAGTCTACCATAAAGTCAATCTAGAATGCAGATGCCGCAAAGCTGATTCTCTTAGATTTGCAAATGGCCATTTCCCTTTTAATCATCCCAATCTTCACACTACTACTTATATGCACCAGGGACCTTCCTTTAGTTACTGTCTACATAAAGACACGAAGGAACTGCACATAAGCTTCATGAAGGCAAGGAACTGTGCCTGTTCACTACCAACGCCCAGCTGGGAGCATGCCTGGCGCATGGCAGGCAGGCACTCGGGAAACGTTCCCAGAACAAATCACCTCTCTACCTCAGATTCATTTGTCATGAATTACTGTGAGGATGAAATCATGATAAAGCAAAGGCTTTGCCTCTGGTACATCATGCGTGAGAGCATGTGAGGCTGGGACCTACCCAACAGGCTCCACACGCAGACAGGTGGGTGCTACGGGCTCACCACCACCCCTGAGTGCTGTGGGACCCTGGGCAGTGGTGGAGGTGACACCGAGCCCAGGGCTGGGAGGACCCAGACTTAAAAACCAAAAACCAAACCATAGGAAAAATCCATAGAACTCTGGGAAGCATCAGAGTCACATACACCTTGGCTTAGACTAGTGAGCACTTGCCTTCTGTGACATGAGCTGCAGTTTCAGCTGCAAACTGTAATGCTTCTGTTGATTCACATACCAGCCCTGCACTGGTTCCCAACTCAGTCTCCTGGAGACACGTGCCAAGCAGCCAAGTCAGTCCTTGTGGTACCCTCTGAGCAGCTGGGCCAAATACCGTCCCTGCTGTGGCTCGGGCCGTTCTACCCACACCCACCACTGCTGCCACCTGGAGGGGCAAATCCATCACTTCTAAATATTCTCCGCAGAGACACCAAACTGCAAATAATTTCAGGTACTGGGTTCCCAGGCTAGAGCTCTGATGATTTTCAGAGTCAGGAAGGGCAGCCACCTCCCACCCACAGACCCCCTTCTACTGGAAGCCCCCGCAGTCAGGCCCTCTGCCACTTGCTCCTGCTGCCATGGCAACTCATCAATTCTCCAGTCTCTGGGCCCCTCCTCATTTTGCAATACTGACATCAAAGGAGGAGCACAACATATTCGATGGGGATGGGAAAGTCATGTAGACTTCAACTAAACTCAGCAAAAAGAAACAGTAACACAGAAGACTCAACTAGCAGCCAACAGCTTAGTAAATCCTTGGACAAGCACTTAACAACTCTGCGAACATTTTTCACATAAGAAACTGTTTTAAAAATGTATTGACTTTAATAATGGAGCTTGTTACCTAATCAATTTCTATTCCAGGATGATATGAACAGCAGTGGATCTTATCTACATTAGTAAGTAAAAATATAAATAAAGTGCTAATACTTATAAAATAGAGAAACAGAAACTGAAGTAGAAAACTGAGGGCATACAGCCAATCGTGAATATAAAAGAAACCAGAGAAGTACCGTGTGCCCTCCAAAGGGAGACACGTGGAAACTGTGTCAGCCAACAATCTCGCAGGTGCCTAGGAGAACGCATCCCTCTGGCAATCAGAGCTTCACCGGCCCTGCACCACGCCCGCCCGCCTGGCACCTACCTGGCCGGGCTCTGCCGGCGCCCTGGTCCTCCAGGAGCCCGTGGACGGCCAGCTGGTAGATGACGGCCTGCGCGCGCTCCAGGTCGGCCAGCCCCAGCGCGCGCTTGAGCGGGGAGCGGGTGACAGCCCGGCGCACCATGTGCCGCATGAGCAGCTGCAGCGCTGCCCGCAGCTCCGCGTCCTCGGGCACCACGGGCGAGCCAGCGCAGTCGGCGTTGTGGCCGCTCTCGGCCAGCACCCGGGGGATGAGCAGCAGCTCGGCGTACTTGCTGCAGCCCAGCAGCGCGCTCAGCGCCTTCATGGCGCCCAGGTAGAGGTAGGAGAGCTGCACGGCCCTGGTCTCCGCCTGTGCGCCGTCGTGCGCCCTGGCCGCGTGCTCGTGGCCCTTGCGCTTCCCGTCCGGCTGATGCAGCGCCTCGGGCCCTGGCGGGGCTGGGTCGGCGGGGAACTGCGCAGCCTCGCTCTCCGATGCCCTGGAGCCGGAAGCCCCCGGGCCCCGGGTGTCCTCGGGGGCGCAGGCCGCGCGTGCGTCCAGGCCCGGCTCGCCCTCGCTGCGCGGCTCCGGCTCTGTGCGCTCCTCGGACTCGGGCCGCTGCTTCCTCTCGTGCCGCTTGGCGCCCTGCTTGCCCGCGTCCTCGTGGATGCCCGTCAGGTAGGTGAGGTCCAGCAGCATGGACGCCGTGAGGCCACGGAACCGCGCCACGTCGAACGGCAGCGGCTCGCAGGGCTCCAGGTTGCACAGCGGGGTATCACTAGGCGACCAAAAAGGTGGGAAGCTTTAATAAAGACCAGAACGACACAGGAAGAAGCGAGTGAGGGAGAGACAGGAGGAAGGCACAGAACACAATGCAGGCAAGTAAGTGCATCACGACACAGGAGAGAATCGTCCGCACAAACCACAGAGTCATTGAGAACAGGGAGAAAAACGCGTCTGCTAGGAGAAAAACGGGAGCGGCTGTGCCAGGAGAAGCAACAGGCCACGGCCCTGCTTCCAGCGGGAGCTTACCAGGCTGGAGACGGACCCGCCGGCCCTGCAGAGACCTCCCCGGGAACCATGGCCAGCACTGCAGGCCTGGCAGGTTCCCATCTCTCTTACTGCCTTCCCACATCACCACTGAAGAATGGGAGCAGTAAGAGGCTCCCAGAACACAGACAGACAGACAAACAGAAGCAGCCAGGGGCCCACCTAAGCGAATCCTTCCCGCGTGTGGGGCACTTAAAGTGGGAAGGGCTAGGTGCAGTTTGCAGTCCCTGATGTAAGCTATCTAGTACGTCTATGATAAATCTGAGAGTAATGGTCACTTAGAACCTACTGAAGAGAGGACTGTTCCTTAAAAAGTGTTTACTTTGTAACTTTCGATGAATGCTTCTAATTTATACCTTCAGCAAACACAGGCTCACATATTTTCAATTATTTGGCATGACTTTCCAAATTTAGAAAAGTTACAATTAAACAAAATGTAACAATGCTTTCTGGATACAGGTTATAATGGCAACTATTCCTGTAGGAAGCTAAATCCATGTTCTACTTAAACCTTTCCCATAGCTTAATTTTTAATTGATTTCAGATTATTATTTTAATTTGCTTTACTGTATTCAACTTGATAAAGAATCATAAATCTTCTCTGAAATAAGGCAGAAACTTTTAAAAGTAAAGACTCTATGAAACGTTATACATCTTCATTAGCTTCTCAGCTTGTTGGAGCAGAAGGAAGAATCCACTAATCTCCAACATTATATGAAAACAATGCATGCATTATTTGTCAACTAAGAAGGTCCATACTTTCACTAGATTCTAAAAAAAGAGTACATCCTTCAAATACATAAGAACAAATACTTAAGAACAACTTTTAAAATATTGTTCTTTGTCATATTATTATAAAGGAATTGATTTCAGCAGTACAGTAGTGACACAACATCAAAAATTAATATTTCTGAAGTATAACAATAAAGCAGAATCACCGAGTTTCCTTATAAACTGAAATACTTCACATACACTTTTTAGGCATTGAGAGTCTCTTATCTCTAACTGCAAACATATCTGCCTGCTTTTCTGGGTTTGTTCTGGGGCCATACCCTGTGGTACTCAGAGGGCCTTATATGACGCCAAGGATTCGTCCCAGGCTGACAGCTCAACAGCTGCACACCTAGCAAGTGCCTGACTCCTGGTACTTCCCTCTGGAGCACATCTAACTGCTTAAAAAAATACAATGAGGCAAATAAATGCAGTCTATTTTCATATCTATCCAATCGACAGCATGCTACGCTTTAAAAGAAAACATAGGGGCTGGAGTGATAGTATAGTGGGGAGGGCGTCTGCCTTGTATTCGGCCAACCAGGTTCAATTCCCAGCATCCCAGATGGTCCCCTGAACATCACCAGCAGTAATTTCTGAGTGCAGAATCAAGAACCCCTGAGCATTGCCAGGTGTGACCCAAGAAGCCAAAAAAAAAAAAAAAAAAGAATGCAATGTTGGGCTGAGAGGTTGGGTTAGCAGTCTGATTACAAACACAGGGACCCACTGTCCACTCTCAGTACCACCAGAGAGAGCCCCATCAACACCGCGGGGTGTGGCCAGCGGCACCTGCTGGGTTTCAGCACCAATCACCTAGTGGCCAAGAATGTCAGGTGGTCCCTGGGCCCCCTTAAACTGCTTGGGAGGCCTCTCCTCCCAAATGAAGAATTTCAGTAGAAAAGGAAAAAAAGAAGAGATTATTTTAAAGTTACAGAAAAGAAGAGATTATTTTTAAAATCACAGAAAACCAAAACCTTAATTGGAGGTGCCCAAGGTCCTGTTTGACCCTCCTGGTCTTCCACACACACACAAAACATGACCAACACGCAGGTCAGCCGCTTTTCCAGGCCAGTGTGTAATGGAAATGGCGAAAAAGCAGAAAGCCAAGTAAGTAGCCCTTGGAAAACAGGATCCCAGGTAAAGTCAATGAGCTCAGCGTTCCCTCTCGAAAGGAAACCTGATCTGGTTTTACAAACCGCTGGGTCCTAGGCTCCCAGGCGAGAGTCAGGCCATGCTCGGAAGGCAGGGGCCAGCAGCTAGGGGCCAGCAGCTCGCCGCGGCCCAGGGCTGCTCACTGTTACGGACAACGGGCCACGCTGGCCAAGAGCGGGATCAAGTTCCTACCTGATGGTGATTTCTGCTTCGTCCCACTGGACCTTGGCAGACGTGCTGCCCTCCTTGACCACTCCGAGCAGCGTGGCGTGGCGCCCAGTTTGCTTGTGGACACAGCGGCCTCCGACCCGCAGGCCAGCATCGACTCCCCCGATCACGGCCAGCACCGGCCACACCTCAGCGCACAGCGTCCGCAGTTGCGGGTCCGAGAGGTCGGCCAGGCCGCAGCGACTATGCTTCCCCTTCTCCTCCTCTCTGCTCTCCTTCTCCTCCCGCAGTTCACTTTCTTCTCGGCTCTGAACCGAGCGGCTTTTCTTCAGCTTCTGACCCGACTCTTTAATACAGATCTTGATCTTGTGGAGTCTTTCCATCATTTTCTTGTTAATGCAGTACGTCCAGCGGTCTGTCCGGTGAAGGATACGGATGAGCTGAATGGTGGCCTCTGCCAGCACTGCGGCCACGGGGCTGCAGATGGGGTCCCCGGGGAGTAAGTCTCGGGGGGTGCCGCGCATCTGCATGTCACAGATCTTCACCTTTGGAAAGAAAACAGGAGAAACGGGACCAGTCAAGCTACCAGTCATGATCAATTCTAGCACATGTAATTCTATCAGCTCCAAGTACAAGTGCGTGTCACCACTGAGCTCCCCCACCAGGAGTGGGGAAACACTGCACTTTCCTGGCGTTAGGAGCAGGGTGGTCTTGTGGGACAAGAGGCCCCATTAAACTTCCTGCACACGAACGGCCATCAGAGGTCTTATGTCTTGTTACCTTTTCCCCAGGGTTGCTGCTGTAGAACATGACGCACGGGTATAGCTCAGATGCATCCACATCTTCAAAAGCTAATTTGGGTTCCTAGCAGAGGGGATGAAAAGAAAACAAAAATATTTTTAAAAATTACCATATCCAACACATTACAATTCAAAGCACTTATGAAACAGAACAAAATTACTACAGCCAAATCTCAACAATGCTGACAAAGGAAATCCTACATATAATAAATGAAAGCTGCTCAAGTAATCTTACTGAGATTTTACTCTTTCTGCTTGTTTGCAGCAAACAAATCCTGTAAAAACCAAAAGGTAGTGCAGGAAAGAGTAGAGGAGAGATGATGAACGTCTTGGAATGAGTGGATGGAGTTTTAAAATGAAAGAAATAACAGTGAGTGTTAATACCTCCCCGTTCTTCCCGAAAGAAATGGTCCTGGCTTCCATGTCCAACACACAGGTAATAAAGTCTCCCTGAGTGAAGCTGGAGAGAGTGAGGGTCTGCTCGCCATTGTGGTAGAGGTTGCCGCTGTAGGCACGGTACAGCCACATGTCCGAGGTGGTGCGGTGGTTGAAGTCGTGCACTGGCCAGCGGGAGACTCCCACACACGTGCCTTCGTTGCCTCTGTTTTCCTTCACAATGTAAAACTGAAATGAAAGCAAAGTACTAAGATCCAGAAAACCTGTTGCTATACATCTCACTACATCTTAGGGCCCATGTTCAGGGCCCTAAGGGTCCAATAAACTTATGATGCTCCCATTATGGTAGCATCGTAAGCTTATTATTAACCTTCATGTAACATACAAATGAAGATTTTAAAACCAAAGTAACCCTTTTCTTAACTTATAGGATTATCTTAGTACTTAACACCTCATTAGCTTACATCTTATGCAAGAAAAAAATATGGGGGCTGGAGTGATAGCACAGTGGGTAGGGCGTTTATCTTGCATGTGGCCGACCTGAGTTCGATTCCCAGCATCCTATGTGGTACCCCTAAGCACTGCCAGGAGTAACCCCTGTGCATAGCTAGGTGTGACCCAAAAAGCCAATAAAAAAAGAAGAAAGAAAAAAAATGTCTTTCAGAAAATTATTAACTAAAAGTTTCAATTCTTTACAACAGCTTTTTCTATATGCTTTTGTGTGCTCCTTCTGTGCAGAATCAGGCCTGAATTAATGTTATCTGCAAATAGGCATTAGGTCCTTGGCTGTTATTATCTAGGAATTCAACTGGTCAACAGTTTCCTATACCAATACAAACTTTTCTCTTAGTGATAAGTCTGGCTCATCAGGCCATGTGTGAAAACATACGGTGGTTTCTGATGAAAACCGCTTTCATTCCAGAAGTTGAGGTTTCTGCGCATGCCACGCAGGAGGAATCTTTCTGACTAACCCGCCAATAAAGACGCTGGTGCTGAGTCCCTCCGGCTCGCACAGCCTATGAGCACTGCTGCATTGGGGCGCGGGGGAAGGGCGCCCCATGAGCCCCTCGTGGAAGGACAGACTCCTTCCAGCCTCCCCTCGCTCTCCATCACAATCCCTGCTGCCTGCCTCACTGCACACCCACCCTGGGCGGAGCCACAACTGCGAGCACTTGTGCAAACTTCTCAATCGAGCCATACTCCTGGGTGCCCCGGTCAGAGGCAGCAGCAAAGACACCCATGGAAGCTAGCTCAGCCTCTCAGACGAGAGTCACTATCACGGGCGCTCTGGTGCCTCGTGTCTATGCAGTGACAAAGAAAGAAAGCTGCTGATGTGCCATGAGAGGTCACAGGCACTGATGCACTTTTTATAAGAGTCACAAGCCCGGCAAGCTACCGAGAGTATCTCGCCCGCACGGCAGAGCCTGGCAAGCTCCCCGTGACGTATCCGATATGCCAAACACAGTAACAACAAAGTCTCCAATGGAGACGTTACTGGGCCCGCTCAAGAAAATCGATGATCAATGGGAAGACCGTGACCGTGACCGTGACAAACCAGAAACCCTGAGCACTGGATCCTCTAGACGCTTTCAACATTGACAGCTGAAGGCAGGAAAAACAACCATCCAAAGGAAATGTATATCCTCTCTCCTTCAGGTAGGAGCAAAAGGGCCCAAACATCCCCCCCCCCCCCCGCCCCCACTGGGCTCTGAGTACAAAATTAAAAAATTAGCCTGCCACTGGCTCTCTCCTGCAGATGAGAGAAGAAAAGAGTTCAAGAAACTCCTAAATGACTTTCGGATAGACTATGAGCTTTAGAAGCGCGCCTTGCTCTTTTTCCCAAGTGAGAGAGAAAAGGCGCAAGCACTTCCCAGACTCAAACAAAGCTCTCAACAGACTAGAGTGAAAAAGGAAAAAAAAAAAACATTAGCTCTTTCCCGCTATTTTCATTACCAAAATGCTGTCAGAGCTGCAGCAGTGCCTAAGCCCAATTCCTTCCATCAGCGTTAAATTCACTGCCAGGGACTTGAATACATGAGGTATGATGTATCTGTTTTGCTCTGTAGCTACTGCATCTATGTCGATATATATGAATAGAAACTGATGTTAAATGTGACACAATAACAATTTCACGATGGTTAAGGGGTCTTTCTCATCAGGAAAAACTGCAAAGACAGCAATGTTGTAGGAAGTGGCTTTCTCTCCTGCCACCAGAGCGTGGATCAGGCTTCGATCACTGTGAGCATTAACGAGAGCTTGCACGGCTCATGGAGAGTTATGATTTACACTACATTTTTGCCCACTGGCTTCACTTTTAAAATGGGAAACAAAATAAAGAGTGGCACTCTCCAGGTGGATATGGATATTTCAGACACATACGTGTATACACACACATATACACACATGTACATGAGGGCTTTGGGGGATTTGTGTGTGTGTGTGTGTGTGTGTGTGTGTGTGTGTGAAGCAAAACAGTTTTTATTGAAAGAAATTTAGAGAAATGTAAGGGACAAAAAAGGAGAGTGAGACATATGCAAGAAAACACAGGTATCCTCAGAGGGGAAGAGTGTGTGTGTGTGTGTGTGTGTGTGTGTGTGTGTGTGTTTATAATGCAGTTTTTCATGACGGATGAGTGCTCATAAAACCAGATTTGAGGCTGGAGAGACAGCACAGCAGGTAGGCCACTTGCATTGCATGTGTTAGACCTGGTTTTGATACCTGGCACCCCATGAGGTTGCCTGAGCACCGCATCAGGAGTAATCTCCCTGAGCACAGAGCCAGGAGTAAGTCCCAAGCTTACTTTTTTTTTTTGAGGGGTGTGGTCCCCAAACAAACAAAATCAGGTGTATGTTGCTATTTTAGAAGCTGATGACTCTCCTGCTTGGATCGAGTATTCTTGAGTGAGCAAATTTGCTTTCCAGGAGGGCACAGACAGAGGGGAAGCTCCGCTTCTCAGCTGGGCTTAATTTAAGCACAAATGTCTGCAGCTAATGATGCGTCTCAGTGACAGAACAGCGGCCTTGCGTATGTGAGGCTCTGACATGGATCCCTGGAGCCACTCATAAAAGCAAAATACACACAATTTTTTCTTCAAAGACAAAACTTCTCCGGTTTCACAGCATCTAGGCTTCATTCTTGTTCCCCAAATACCACTAAATTCTTAATTCAGAAAGTCTAACCGCCTGGACTTGACTCAAAACTAAAGCCTTATGCCATCTGCTGAAAAAGGCACCACTGAACAAAACCCAAATTCTGGGATTAAAAAAAATTCATATCATTTTTTTCTTTTTCTCTTTTTCCCCAACAGTGCTACTACAGCACACCCAAGACTTACTCCTGGCTCTGTGCTCAGGGATCACTCCTGACATGGTCGGGGGCCACATGAGATGCCAGGGATGGAGCCCAGCTCAGCTGTGTGCAAGGCAAGCACCTACCTACTGTACCATTGCTCTAACCTTGCCCCCACTGTGTTTTGGGGTGTGAGATTTTATCCTGACAAATTCCAAATCCTTCTCATTAAGCTAATGAAAATGTATAAAAATTGTTTTGTTCCCAAGCCCCCATGAACATAATCCTTGGAGGAAAAATTTTCAAATGTTTGAAAAATTCAGAGCGAAGAATTTACTAAATGGAACCCACTCATTTTAGAACAAGAGAGAAAGGTCCCAGGTGAAGCTGGGGATGTGGCAGCATTACCATCTCTCCTTTCTAGAATGTTCCACCTGTCTGGAAGAGGCAGGGAAGATCCATGCCGTCCTGAAGCTGCAGGACCCACTTTAAACTCACTAATGAATCTTGGGGGCAAATACTGAAGACCGAGCTTCCTGCCACAGCCCTGTCACTCGAAGTCTTACAGTGATGAGACTATACACAAAGGGAACCTGGGTCTATCTTCCATGTTCTTATGAAAATAAAGGGTGCTAGAGAGAAGCCCCTGGCGCCGCGTAATCCCATCAACAGCCAAGACCCAGAGACTATAAAACCCAGCTCCCAGAGGCGCGCAGCCGCATTTGCAGCCGCGCGACATCTTATTATCTAGTTCTTACTCTGGAGAACCTGGTAGGCTACCAAAAGTATCCTACCCACACAGCAGAGTCTGGCAAACTCCCCGTGGCGTATTCAATATGCCAAAAAACAGCAACAATGACGGATCTCATTCTCCTGACCCTGAAAGAGCCTCAAATGTGGCACTTTCTAAAATCTCAGGGCTAGGACGAAGGAGACGTTACTGGTGCCTGCTCAAGGAAATCAATGAACAACAGGATGACAGTGATAAAGTGATACAGAGAGAAGCTAAACATCTGCTGTTGCCTGCGGCAGTGAGTGAGGTCCAAGCTCTGGACCACTCTGCCCACTGCCGCACAGCTTGCCCAGGGCCCTTTCCAGGGAGACAGCCTGAGGTCGGGGTGTCCTCCAGGGTGCCAGGGTACTCCTAGTGCCAGATGCCCCCTGCACTAGCTGTGCTAAATGGATGTCTGAACCTGGTAAAGTTCATATAAAAGCTGGAGAGCGAAGCCATGTGGCTGTTTAGCTAATGGGTTCTGTAAATCTGGGGCCCCTAAAATCCATAACTTAAGTTACCATTACAAGTTGGTTTCATTCTACTGCACGGGGTTCCACCGATAATTTTACTGAAAAGATACTGTGGCAGAACACCAAGGGTCTTTTCACTGTGTGAAAAAGGAGTTACCAGCAGGAACTGCCATCTGGAGCGGGCTGCCCCTGGGGGATGGATGGCTCATAAACAGTTCCCTGGAACAAAAAAGCCCCGCTTACTGCCAGGGGGACCCATGATGCCTCAGTTATGTTTTAGGGTATTTGGGTGCCAGTATCAAACCCAGGACTTCACACAGGCCAAGCAGGGCAGGCCTCTGCTGCTGAGCTGCATCCCTGGTGCCAAGCCTAGACATCGGAATGGTACAGGTTAGACCAAACACCACAGTGCCTGCCAGGGGCCTCTCCGAGCAGCCAAGCAGCAGACCTGGGCACTGGCTCTGCCAGAGATGTGCGCTGAGGAGACCAAGGCATGGACCTATCACAGCTTTTCTAATTACCCGTTAAAAAAAATATGAGTCATTTTGAAATTTCACAGAAGCTACCAAATTAGTGCTGTGTTTCCAGGACTCCCTTTACTTACTTGCATCTTACATGATGATAAAATAGTTAAGTATCATTTACACACACAAGAACATTTATTCTTAAAAAAACATTGTTTACACGTGATAAGAATCTGACAGGAAAAAAACGGGACCCAAAGCCTCCGTCGCTCACTGCCACACACCTTCCACTGGTAGCACCCAGAGGTGACGCCGGTCGAGGCAAGTCCATACCCTTTTCCTCCACTACCGTGGGTTAGAATCTGGCCGTTTTCCACCAGGCAGCACTGAGCTTTCTCTGGGTCAAAGGAGACTTCTTGTATTGGGAGATTCTCGTCTTCTTCCTCCAACTCTCCCTGCTTCTAGCAGAAAGGAAACTCGGTGAACACTTAAGGTACAGGCGACCTCTGTGGATACACATTCTACAGCTCTGCCTAACTCCACCTCTGTCTGCTGTCCGACAGCGTGTCCATGTACTGGCCAAGGGAATACAACCACGAACACAGTCCCTGTCCAGGAAGGGCTTATGAGCCGATCAAGGAAGGAGGAGGCAGGTAGAGAGCAGCATTCAGTGAGAGAAAAAGGCAAAGGAGAAACAAAAAAGCAGAAAAAAATCTAGAAAACAGAAACAGAGACGTTCTGGGCGTGGGGAGATGGCACGTGAGGACGGGACACACACTCCACACTCAGCAGCCCTGGGTTGCATCCCGGCTCCGCCAAGTCCCCGCGCAACACTAGGACTGCCTCACTCACTGAGTGGGGGGTTGCTGGGTACTGCAGAGGGCAGTCCCCTCCTTCTCCCACACCCAAGCAGAGAGAAAAGAAGCGTGCGTGGGAAGAAAGGCGAGGGAGCATTTCAAAGCGGCAGCCTGAGCACTGCGTAAAGGCATGAGGCACTGATTAGGGCAGGTGGATGGGGCCGGCAGGGAGGGACAGGTGGCAGCACCCGTCCCAGGATGGCATGTCTAGAAGATGAGGCCGGCAGACGTGGAGCCCAGAAAAAGTAGAAGCAAAATCATGGGAGGCCTGAATGCCCTGTGAGTTTGCGCTCTCCTCTAGACACACGAAGGGGCCCATGTAAGTGGCCCAGGGCCAGGGGAGATGCGTGCCTCAGAGAAGGGCCCAGAGTCAGATGACGGACCCCAGCTTAAGGGTCAGAGAGTGGGGAAGTGGGCAAAGTGGGGAAGGGGCCAGACTTGAGTGTGGCCGACCTGATTCAAACTAGGAACGGTCCTGAGCACCTCCAGGGGTGGCCCAACTCCCCCACCTCTCCATAAATGAACAATCAAACACCTTTGAGGAAGAACCCATTACCTGTAATTTTATTTCTTGCTCCTTTTCCTTTATTTGAATAGCATGTTTGGCCTGAGCAATGGGTGTCTCCCACATACAGTCCGACAGAAGGGAAAACAAACACTCAACAACCTGTTTCATTTAAAGAGAATAATGAGAACCGTAAAGGGCAACCTGAATATCTCAGAAAAAATGTAAGCTATAATTATTGACATTAAGTCACATATTAATTTGGTTATATGTCCAGCAGCGACTTAACGTGGTATGATCCCACTATTTCTTTTGCTAAATCAGGCGCTCCTCTTGATCAATCTGTGGCCGTCTGATCTATAGTCATCAGGTAATCTATGACTCTCAGGTCAGACCGTGCAACTTCACTTCTCTCCCCCGAGGCCCACATGCACTAAACTAAATCTACAATTTCCCCCCCCCCCCCCGCCCTTTTTTTCTGACCTTGCAAATATTCTCCTTACTCCCCACAGTCTATGACTCAAATTCTCTTTCTCTTCAGTGGGAGATGAGATGAAGAAGCAATCTCAGAAAAGGGGGCTTCCTCCTGAAGCCCCGGCAGGTTTACAGTAAGGGACTCTAACTTCTATTTGAGGTAACTCGCAGTGCAGATATAAACCATCCCCAGAAAACTGTAAAAATGGAAACCTGGGCCATCTGGTCATCTTCTACCCCGGATTCACACGCGGGCAGCACAGCCTCCAGGACGTGAAGTGCGAGGAGTCTCGTTCTCAAGTTCCCGACCAGAGGGACGCCTGGAGGGAGAGGCAGCTGCTCGTGACCACAAGCCAGCAAGGTTCTTTAATTATCAGTTCAAACATAGACTAACTTCTTGAACAAAATTTACAAGCACTTTTGAGTGGAATTATGGAATTCACATCAATCTACTGTTCCAGGAATTCTGTACTCAGACCATTTTATTCATGGTTATATCTCGGTTTTCATGTCCATATAAAAGAAAATGAATTAAAATAACTACATATGCTGGGCACTAATCTAAGCATCTCACACACTAACTCCATCAATCCTCAGAAGCCTGTATCCAGTCCCCTTCTCAAAGGAGCAAACTGAGAGAAGTAACTCAGTCAAAGTCATACAACTTGGCAGAGGCAGAAATAGAATTTTAAATTCTAAAGCTGACATCGTTCACAGCTTCTGCTATATTATGCTTTGCCTGACTCATAGGAGTCAGAACTAGTACAAGAGCGCTTTTCTAAAGAGAGCGAAGATGGAGACTGGATATTGACACTCTGATTGTTTATGTTTTATGCATGATTACAAGAAAACCAGCTGAAGGGCTGGAGTAGACAGAATACTTGTCCTGCAGGTGCCCAACCTGAGTTCAATCCGCAGCACCTTGTATGCTCCCCTAGGCCCACCCAATGATTCCCAAACGCAGGGCCAGAAGTAAGCCCGGAGCACCACCAAGTGTGACTCCTCCCCCAAAACAAACAAACAGAAAAAGAAAGAAAACCAGCTAAAAGCAAATGAATCCTTTTTCATGCTCTACAACCTTAGTAATATGCAATCCTCATCTTACTAAAAAAGAAAAAAGCTACCATAAATTACACTAGTCACGGCAAACTGCTAAGGAACTTTGAGACTAGAGATATGAAATAATGTATCATGAAAATTATATTCATAATTTGACTCATGGAGCACACTGACAGTTAAACTACATGGTGAACATACTCAGTGTCACTGACCTATACCCTGCAATGGCTAAAATAATAAATTTTTGCTACAATTTTTATAGGAAATCAAGCCTGGAGTTGCTGGGGGCAGAAAAATGGTACCATGGTCACCCCCTAAAGGGTTCCTGGGACAAAGCCCAGGGCCTTTGTAGACAAAGCAAATGCTTCCCTCACCTGTACATTTTATTCAATGTATATTTTACTGTGATTAAACAAGGAGACAAAAACAGACTAATTTTTGTGTGCAGGTCAGACTTTTAGGTTAAGAATGAGGAATTTAGCTCATTTTACAGAATTTTCATTGTCCACAATGGGAGTTACACTACAGGGACAGACATCACGGCACTCCTAATTTGCATTATGAGGAGCCAAGCAGCCATGTCCAGAATCTGTGCAAAATTATCAAATGAAACAGATTTCAGAACAATTTTTATTCTTTAATCTGAACAAATATGAATTTCTATGTTAAACTCAAGGTCTTTTCTAATGCTACTTTCTCTTAAATTTGTTATCTAAATAAAACACAGTGATGTAGAAAAATACTCTCAAAAAAAAGCAAAGGTCACATACCTGAAGAACATTTCTGAGATGCTATATTTAAAAGCACCTCTGTCCACTTCGGGGAAGCCATTTTTGATTGAATTGCTTTTGAAGACACAACTCTGCGAAGAAAAACTAAAAAATCCCCCAGATGCAACTCGGCCAAGTGTTGTTTCCGAAGAGCCGCTAAAGAAAGAAGAAAGTTTGTATTACAACCAAAAGACAATCATAAACAGTCTTAAGCATACAAATGATTATAGTGAGGAAAAACTTAATTCATTATTTATAGTGGTTAATAAATTGCTGAGTTCTTAAAAGCTAAGGGTCAGAAACCATCAAATTGGAAACATCCTTGCATCTACATAAAATAAAAGCAAACTTTTTCAAATAAAAGATCAGAACATGGTTCTGTGCAACCTCTATAGCCCCATCCCCATCACTCTAAGGAGCAATAGCTCTCTACCACAGTACAGATGGTTTTTGGTTTGATTTTGTTTAGGGGCCAACACTCGACGGTGCTCAGAGCTTACTCCTGGTCTAGTCTCAGGGAACACTCCCAGTCGTCCCAAGCAGTGCTGGGGCTCAAAGCTGGATCAGCCACGTGCAAAGCAAGCGGACTGTCTCTGCATATCTCTGCTGGAATGGCCAGAGCTCTCAAACGGAGTTTCTCTGGATCGAATCTGAACAAAGTGGTCCATGATCCCCTGAACTCTATGAAACACTATTCCCCTCATGCCCAATCAAGTGAGAAGCACATATAAACAGAGAGACTTTTTTTCTTTAATCGGGCTGTACGTCAAAGCAGACTTCTAGGTCTGATTCTGGTTTGCCTAAGATTAAATGCTACACACTCTAACTTCTGTGCCAATTTGTCCCGGCCATGCCCAGTTTCTCGGCCATGCCCAGTTTCTCGGCCATGTCCCATTTCTCAGCACCAGCCCCTTTCTTTCTGCTCGCCCTTTTCACTGATTCTCTCCAGTCTGCATATTTTGAATCTGCTCCTCCCCTAAGAGCCTTGCTCTCATCATTAACCCCTTTCACACTCCCAAAGTCTGCCACATCCACTGTCAAAGCAGGGAGACAGGGAGAGGGAGGGTGGGTGAGGATACTGATTCCTGAGGGCACCCAAGGCATGACAGCAACTGAAAACGGCACCTGCAATGTAGCACCTTCAGGAGATCCTGGCATGTCAACCATTCGTGGCAGAGCACCACACACCCGCCCACCCGAAGGACAGGCGTGAATGGCCAGCATCATCCTGTCATACAGCTCTGTCACTGGAGACCCTTTTTCCTGCTGAAATGAACGTACAGGCTGGAAGCACCAGACAAAGTCTAAGGACTACTCTGGCAGAGACAAAGCCTAACGATTCCTCTACATTTCTTCCTCACGGTATCCTCCTCGTTATTTAAACGCTAATAAAAGGCTTTTCATAGCATTAGCTTAAGTAATATAAAATCATTAGCCAGTCCTAGGTACCCGTATATCTCATTCCAGCCTTGTTCCCACATGTTCCTTCAAAATCCAGTTGAAAAACTGTCTCATCTATGACTCTTCTGCCGAGAGTTCCCTGAGCACCTCTCTTTAACCAGCGTCCTTTCCTCGGGAGTTGTTTGGATTTGTTTTGTTCTGCTTTATTTTGTTTTTGTAACAAGACAGTAAATGTATCAAAGCCTGCGGATCTTAAATGTGAAGTCAGCTAAGCCAACCTAAACTTACAATTTTATTTCAGTAGCACTGTAGCACTGTCCTCCCTTATTCACAGATTTGCTCGAGCAGGCCCAGTAACTGAGACTCGTTGTCACTGTGTTTGGCATATCGAATACATCACAAGTAACTTGCCAGGCTTTGCCGTGCAGGCGAGATACTCTCAGTAGCTTGCCGGGTTCTCCGAGAGGGATGGAGGAATCAAACCTGGCTCAGCCGGGCTGGCTGCACGCAAGGCAAATGCCATACCAGTGTGTTATCGCTCCTAATACTATACTTGTCAAAATAAAACAGGCATACTGATAGATGAAGGCAATGAATTCTTGGTAAGTAATAAACCCATGGCCTCAAGGCTGTGAAAACCCACCTGTGGACACAGAACTAAGATCTGATAAGGTTTAGTTGGTGTCAGCACAAACCCAGGGAGGGCTGGACCTCCCTGGGAGAGAAGCTTCAACAGGAACAAAGGCCAGGAGAGGATTAAAGAAGACCATCATCTTACCCAGCTACCCCCTTGGCAATCGCCGTAGAAACAGCGTCTCCCTCCCACACAGGGCAGCTTAGGAGAGACCCTGTAAGCCAACCTGAACAAAGGAAGAACAGGAGTATGCCGACGCCCACATGCTGCCTGGGTCTGTGTGTTGCTGCCGGGCATACATGGAGCCCACATTCCCCCCTGAGATGTGCATCTTTCTACTAAGGCAGGCAGATAGGTAGGAGATCGCCCCGGCAGTGGGAGAAGAAATCCAGTAACGTGACGCTGCAAGAACGAAGGCCTATGCCTGGTAAGATCTTCATGGCATCAGTGACGGATCTGTCGAGGCTGGACCCCACAGAGATACAAACTTCAACAGATACAGAGACTGCAACTGAGGACCTGAAGGAAGTTTATGACATCTGAATGACCCCCAATTCTGCAGAGAAGCTCCAGACCAAGGAGGCAACCCCTCTCAGCGACCACCCTAGCAAGGGATTCTGACCTAGCTGGAAACCCCCACGTGGGGCAGGTTGGAAAAACCCCTTAAGGCCACCCTGAACAAAGGAAGGGCCCATAAGCTGCCTGAGCCCGTGTGCTGCCCGCATCTCCCCCTTACGTGTACTGAGGTTCTCCCCACTTCTGGAGAAGCCCGCCCTCTCCCTTAAGCATGTCACTCTCTCTCACTTTCTCTCTCTCCTTCCCCTTTCTAAATTTCTAAAACACCTCCACATAAAATCTGTTCTTACTTTACTGCTCATCTCCTCCTGAAATTCCTTTCTGGGAGGAAGATAAGAGCCTATAAACCCTGGGGAAGGCCTGGGACTGAATCTCCTTTCCTGCAAAGAGCAAATCCTCGCTCCATCCAGAGTCACAGACTTCCCAGTCGGTCCTGGGATGGCAGAAGCGGGTGGGGAAAAAGTGACTCTGCTCTTTGACTGACACAAGCCCCCCCCCCAGGGGGGCCACTGACTTCAACACCTTTATAGCTAATGCTGGGAAGTGTAATGGGGCTCCCTCTCCAGGCTGGAGAAGTTTGTGTTCTGTTTTCTGTTCTCTCTCTCTCTCTCTCTCTCTCTCTCTCTCTCTCTCTCTCTCTCTCTCTCTCTCTCTCTCCCCCCACCCCCCGTCTCTCCTCTCTTCTCTTTCTCACCCCCCTTCTCCAACCACCCCCTCCACCCGCCTTAAGGTGCAGGGCTGCCTTCCATTTCCTGCAGGGAGCAGGCTCACAGCCCTCAGTTTCCCTAGTCGTTCTCCAGGTGGCAGAGATGGACAGACAGACAGGAAGCAGCAGATTCCCTTCTTGAGGCTGCTGTCTCTCTCTGCCCCACTTCACCTAAGTCCCCAGGGTACCCCACTGGCATCAGGAAGGTGTTCTAGGAATTCTGTGGGATCAATGTCTGGGGTGCCCACCTCTAATACCTGCTCACTGCCAGAAATACCCTGAATCCCAGGCACCCCATAAAGACAGAGAGTATGAAGGCCTCCTTTTCTGACAACCTGGGGGGAATGTGTGAGAAGCTGTCCCCAGAACAAAAAACCCAAGGTTGGGATAGTCCCCTGTGTGAACAAGCTTAGGGTTTAGAGAATAATGGGGCAAACAGACCCCCACCCAGGAAAGGACATAATCAAACAGTGTAGAGTCAGCCTAGGCAAGAGCGAAACAGAACTGTCAGGATGCTATGCTCAAAAGCAACACTGTCCTGAATTTATGGGTAGCCCGTGAGTTCCGAGGTAGCTGCCCAGGTGAGCCCAAAGCTTGCCTCATCCTTGTGTGTTTGCCTCATCCTCTGTGGCTGAGGCCTGCTGGTCAGAGGTGGGAGGTCCCCGTATGACTGGCCTTAGTGTGGCATTTCCACAGGAGTGATGTGGGTGCTGTCACCCCAACACTCCCCCAGACACGGTGCTTCTGGGTCTCAGTCTCTAAAGGCTGTGCTGTCTTGGGGACCAGCAGGTTTGAAGACTCTGCTCACCTCTCCTGCTACCCACACCCTCAGACTGGCGGGAAACCGTGTGCAAACACATACTGCCACCAGGTGCTGCATTAGAGCATGTTTGCATGTTATGCATCTGAGTCGCCCCTGCTGTCTGCATGAACACTCCACTCCCATCTCTCTAATCCAGAAAAAACTTCAAAGCTCTCAGATTTTATTAATGTGATAATATATTAGACCTAGAAAGGTCACAACATTTTAAAAATAAATTAATTATATAGTACAAATCTGGAAGAATTCAGCTGTCAGAGCATTCACTATGGCTCTTTAAAGCTGAGTGGAGACCCTACTTTCAGGGGTTTTCACAGTTCATTTCAGAAAAGTTTCTCTGACTGTGTAGAGCCCCTGACACCACGAGGAGAGGCCAAACTATACTCTCCTGAGCGGGAAGCTGCTTCTAGGTGTTGTTTTTGCAACTGCCTTTTCTCACTGAAAATCATTCTTATCTTCCCTTGGGAGAGAGAGGAGAAGATACAATCTGAGTAGTTTTATGAAGGGGAAAATAAGAGCTTTGAGCGAAGATCGTATTAGAGCTCTAAGAACACTCAAGAACCGTGTTAGAAACTGGGAAACAGAACAGCCGGGCCGGAGTACAACCCTCTCACGTTTCACTCTGTTCTCAATGCTGAAACCCAGTGAGGGAAAGGGCCAATGAGACCAGAGGTGGGACAGCAGAGCCTTGAGGATGCCCAGCGCGACCCAACCACCCCACCCCTGCAGAAGAACTCTGCTAACACTTCATGTCCTATTAGTCAAAACTTAAATGGAATGTTGGAACTGAGTAAAACCTAAGTTAAAAGATCTACAAGAGATCAGAAGAGAGACAAAATTAATGAATGCTAAATAAAGCTGAACTACTGCCAAGGTAAAGAAAACAGAACCCAGAGCCAGGGAGATGGAGCTAAGGGCTGGAGCTCATGCTGTCCGTGAAGAGCCCGAGCACTCTGGGGTCCTGGCCGGGAGCAGCTCCGAGGAGCACTGGTGTGAGCCAAGCCCAGAAGGAAAAAGAAAAAGACTCCTGGGAAATCAGTCACCTAGACCTTGAGGTTCCAGACCCAGGACCACCATGGTGGGCTGATTCAAGTGTGGGTAGTGGGGTTTCTTATCAGGGTCCCCAGACTGAAAGGGTCGCTTAGGCAAAAGCACATTTAAGACACATGAATTTGTATGAAAAAGTGAACAAATAAAAATCCTCTCATGCTTAACAACAAAAAGATGTGTACACTTCACTATGCACACAACAGAGAGAATTGTAAATCGGGCTAGCATGATAGTAGGGTGCTTGCCTGGGTTTGGTCCCAGCACCCTGTTTAGTCCCCGAGCCTCACCAGGACTAACTCCTGAGCACAGAGTCTAGGAACCTCTGACCATTTCCTGATGTGGCCCCAAACCAACCCCCCCCCCATAAAAAAAAAAACACTAAACAAACATTGTAACTAATGATAGGAAAAGGTTTGGGATACCTCTGAAATCTCTCTTCTCCGTCTCTCCACTCGGATCAGCTTTTTTTTCTTCTTCCCCCTCTTCTCCCCCTTCTCCAAAAGAGGCCATGAGCAGCACGCCGGCCTGGGACAGTAAGCTCTTCAGCTGACTGCACAGGAGGTCCAGCAGGGACTGCACGACCTTGGGGCTCAGCCTGTCTGCATACGTCCTGCGGAGGGAAGGGAAAGCGCGTGGTAGAGGGGCTGCGGGGCAGAGCCCGATGGAACCACAGGGGAGAAGGGACGATGGGGCCCCCGGGGCAGGACGCACAACCCCGGGGCGCAGCTCACCCCGTGGTGATGGCCAGGATCTGCAGCAGCCGCGTGCTGGCCACCTTCAGGGCCGTGCTGAGCTGGGAGACGCCCGTCTTCGGCAGCAGCTGCAGGGGCTGCCCCAGCAGGGCGTCCGTGCCACAGAGCTGCGACAGCACATTCAGCAGCCCAGTGGAGATCGCCAAGGACACGTCCACGGGCTGGTAGTGAACGCTCAGCGCGAAGACCGTTCCAAGGAGGAGGCGCTGCTGAGCTTCTGTCCAAAGGAAAGGGAGTCGAGAAGCTTCTTAGACACAAAGCGTTGACTCGAATGAATCAGACTCAAAATACATAGGGCACTAATTTCTATTTTTGGGAGGCGCGGGGGGGGGGTACAGAAATTGAAACACAGCCTCAGATGGTCAGGTAAGAAGCCGGGACAGAGCAACACGGCTAACGGGAGCTGAGGGCTTCGCACTGTCTGGACTCTGGCACTCCCACAGGTGCTCACCGATGCGGTGCTTGTTGGCCTGTAGGGCTCGCTCCAGGGTGGCCGACAGCTGCTGGTAGATCTTGTGCACGGCCGCCTGGATTTCCATCTGGATGTTTCTCTTGGCCGCTCTGATGCCGTCCTGAGAGACACACAAGAATTTGCTTTCTCTATTAATGGCAATGACACTCCCTGACATACACAGCACTAACAGCATAGCCTCAGTCTACGCTAGGGTCTTGTGGTGATTCCAATTACCTTAAGTTTTACAACAAATTTAATTTTAGATGTTTGATGATTCTTGAATCTATATAATCTTCCTCCTTGCCTACTAAATTTTCCTCTCTAAATATAGGAGACAGAAAGACAACATCCCCCCCCCCCAGCTTTTTTTTTTTTTAAGAATGTATTATAACATTTTATGTTTCAGGGGTGTGCCAAACTCAACATGAGTAAATGCAACATTCAGTTGCATTTAATGTTCCTTAAATGCAACATTCAAGGGTAAAATCCTATTCTATCCTTGGCCATGCAGAGATACCATTTGTGTTTTTATTTGGTTTGGGGGGCACACCCAGCTGTGCTCAGACTTACTCACTCCTGGCAGGCTTAGTGGACCATATGGAGTTCCAGGGGTGGAACCCGGGTCAGCCACATGCAAGGCACTTCCTGTACTATCTCTGAGGCTCCCATTTGCCCCTTTTTAAAAATGTATTCACAATCCCTAACTGGATAAAGAAAACGTTTTTTAAAAAAAATTTCAAGCAATCAAGAGAAAATAAGTAAAATGATCAGATTAAAAATGCAAATTCTTGAAACCCACCTTCTCAAATAACCCCTCCCAATTTTAACTCAAATCTGCATCTATCCCATTTGACTAAAAGTTAGCCAAAAGGATCCAGGAAAATAAAAATAAATCGAACAGGACAAGTGTCAGACTTCCACTCATCCAGACCACACGCCTGTCACGCAGGAATCTGCACCGATGCTGTATTTTGAGTCTTTTAGAGGTATTTATTTTGAAACCTCAATCTTAAACATAAGGAAATTCATCATGTATAACCTTGTAAAAAAAGATGTCTAAGACTCCCAATGCCCTGCCAGGAGTCCCTGTGGTGACGGGCCACCACGCACCTGATAGTGATGCAAACGGCCACTCTCGCCTTTGCTGCCCGAGTGTCCGACAGTCCCAAGACCAAAGCAGCCGGCCAGGAACTGCAGCCTCACGGAGGTGAGCAGTGCGGATGACTGGAGCCCTGGGCTGGCCCTGCTCCCAGCAGCCGACACACTGCCCTTCTCCTCCATCCCGGACAGCAGCACCAGGATCTGGTGAAGCGCTTCTAGACGGAGCTGGGGAAAATGAAGGAGACATGTTTTAAATTCTTCACTGAACTAAGAAATAATAGAAAGATGTCAGACAAGGCATTTGTACACAGAAAATTCTGACACTTCTCAGTGTGAAGAATGCATCAGTAGGGCTATTTGTTTGTTTGTTTGGGGGCACACCTGCTGGGGCCCAGGGCGGGGCGGCTCCTAGATGGGGCTGGGGAGAGGGAGTGGCCCCAGAATTGCTCAGGGAGCTGCAGGGCTCAGATCCTGAGCATCTGCATGCAAAGCCTGCGCCTCTGATCCACTGAGCTTCCCACCACTGCCTTTCATTACAACTTCTTAAAAATAAAAATCTCTGAACGGTTCTAGATGTGCTTCAGGATGAGAGATTACACAGCACAAGGGGTGAGGGCTGATCTGACTCTGCAGTTACAGCATTCCATGACTGTGCGGTTCTGAGAAACTCATTCCTCAGGATGTTTCTTCATGTATAAAATAAAACTCGAAGGGAAAGTCCCCAGAGGATAGTCCCACTGTCACCTGGTCAATGCATCAGGGAGTGTCTGCTATGTGTCCACAATGGGAATTCGCTGCGCTCCCCGCCTACTTCATTTGTCAGCCCTGAGTCAGTCCCTTTACCCTTATGTAGAGGGAAGACTCGCCTCCTGCACAGACGAGTAGCAAAGAACCTGGAGACGTGTTAAAACTATAGTAAAGAAGGAACATTTTGAAAGAGATAGTCTGAGACGAGATACTTTGAAACTATTTTGGCATTCAGTTTTGGTCACTTATTTTAGCATCCATCAGTATTACGACTGTACTGCATATAAGCCCTTTCAATGGAGCCAGATGGGTCAAGTTGAAGACTGAAAAGCAGACTCCTATGGTAACCAGCCAGTTTCATTACAAGCAAGTGAAATAAGCAAACACTTATCGGTTAAGGCATCATAACGTGTGTTGAGATAGCAAATGAAAAATGCACTTTGTTCCACTTCAAACAAAATATCACGCTGTTTCAGTTAAGAAAGTGACATCAAAAAGCAACAGAGGAAGAAAGGGGGAGGCAAGGAATAGGAGAAAATGGAAGTTTGTCGTGTGACTTTATACCCAGTGGCGAGTCTGAGCTGCCCCAGTCCTTCTGAAAGGAAGATCTATCAAGAGGAGTGACAGAGCCACTTACTTCTGCCCGTAGCTGCTGCTGTTCCATTGCGATGATGGACGCCTGTGGGCTGGTAGACATGCTCTCCTCGGGCTCCTTGAAACCAGGGGCGCTCCCCACATCTCCGCTCACAAAGCTCATGACATTCTCTATCAAAGTGTGAACTCCCAGAGACTTGGTAAGATCAAAGTCGGACTCGAAGGAGCAGGAGGAGTTGCACAGCCAGTCCCTGCTCTGCTTCAGGCGGGCCCAAGAGCTGCTCAGGGGGTCCAAGGGACTGTGCAAAAGGCCTACACACGAGAGGAACACACACACACACATCAACAGCAAGCGAGGAGGACAGCAGCGCTGAAAGCAGATGAGGGCTGCCGTGTTACCACACCAACCGGTGAGAAATGGACACTCATGTCTGGACACATGCATGCATTGGACGTGAATTGCAGCAAAATGCTTTGGTAAAAACAAACAAAAAACCAGAGCAATGTGAAAAATACAAGAAAAGCCCTGCCTGATGGAGCAGCATCTCTATAAGCCATGTATGCAACAGGCTGCCCAAGAGAAAAGGCAGGATGTGCTTCCCAATGCTCAGCTAGTAATGAGCCACGGCAGGAGGTCAGAGTATTCATGAACAAAGAGGCTAGCGCTGAGGCCACTCTTGGTAACAGACCTGTAAGTAACTTTGTCTAATTTAACACTATCATTGCAAAGAGTGAGGCTGAGCAAAGGATCTCTAGATCTGCAATGAGATAGTACTAAAATGGAACACAGAAGGGCAAGTAAACTTACACATAAGGAGACACAAATCACCCTTTTGAGTTTCGTCAGTATAAGGAACACTTTCACCTTGTTATATGCTTATTTGTTAGAGGTTATAGAATTCCTTCATAGAAGAAGCAAGAGCTTCAGTGACAAGGATATTCAAGATCCATTATCAAATGAGTTCTCTACGAAATCAATGTAAAATCATCAGTTTTGCCAGGAGACAATCTCCAGGTAAAATGCCCTACATCAGACAGCAAAACATGTTGTGATGTTTGAACACAGCAGTAACTATCCAAAGCATATTGCCAATATTAGCTCTAAAGAAATACATAAATGCCCATTTTTTTATGACTCCTGCCAAAAATTTTATTTAATTTATACGAAGCACTTAAATGGCCTCATCACCGTCCTTGGCCCTCTGTAACCTTCCATCTGGCCCATGCACGGACTGCTTTGGGACCCATATTTATGTAGAATAAATGTGAAGAGAGGAACTTAAAAACTGACAGTTACTTTCCTCCAGGGGGTCTCCTCTGGTATCTTCCTCCTTTAGGCTTTTGTTATGCTAACCCTGCCTGGGTTAATTATTCCTTTGTTAAATACTATTTGCTCTTTTTATATGTGGCAAGTACTGCTTAGTTCCAACTGTTTCTACTTCCAGGTAGACTCTGTTGTGCCGGCTCTTTTCTGCTCATGCAACACTGCTAATATTCATTCATATTACTTTATGCAGTCATAGTTAGCTTGTTTGGGTTGCTGTATTCTCATATTGTGTGAATATACCAAATTCCTCCCACCCTTTTTGGGGCCACACCTGGATGTGCTCAGGGATTACTCCTGGTTTTGTGCTCAGGGATTACTCTTGATTTTGTGCTCAGGGATCATACCTGCAGAGAGGGAACTATACGGAGTGCCAGAGGTCAAACCCTGGTTGGCAAATGTGCGAAGCCAGTGCCCAATCCCCTGTGCTATCTCTCTGGCCCTAGACCAAACTTCTTGATCAAGAATGCATCTTAAATTGTCCAGTAAAATATGCATTACAAAAATTACATTTGTTACATCAACCAGATAATTTTGGGGGAAAAGTGCCAAATCTAATTTGGGAAAACCGATACCCATTGAGACCATAAACTAACACAATATTGAGTGAAAAAAATATTTTTTATTATTATACTGATTTCAGTAAAACCTTATGACTTCAAGTGGAAACAAATTTAATATAGGCAGCTAACATTATAAAGCAACTATGAGCTACTGTACAAGTGTTCTATTAAAATAGTCTAGAAAGGTAAAGAATTTAGCAAGAATTCTTCTGTGTGGGGGGCGGGGTTGGGGGGTGACACTGGGTTCCTCTGTTAGCTATTGCTCTGCTCCTGGCTCTGTGCTCGGGGTTAGTCCTGGCAGCGCTCAGGGGCTCATGCGGTGCCAGAGACTGACAAGAATCCACCGCCCTATCTTTCTAATCTCTTAGCAAGGATCTTAGGATTCAAAGACACTGAATCTTCAGTTCACTAAATATGAAAAATCACCAACCTGATCTATCCCTCAAGTTGTAAAGCGGATTGTTATTTCAAATACAACAGAAAAAGGGAAAAATCAGAGGAATAAAGCAACAAGCATATACTGAATCTGGATCCAGTCTTGGATAAAAACTATAAACTACAGTTTCAGAAACTCTGTACTCAGTCTATTATTGTTTCATAATAAAATTTCATAATAAAAATATGCTTGCTTTCTAATATAAATTACTTTTCAAAATGAAAATAAAAATGTGTACAGAAACACAAAAGTAAGACTATCTATTCTAATTTCCTCAACTGATGAAATAGAAGTTATGGAGGAAAAAACTACTGCGATGAGTCACACTAAATCCTTGATTTACGGGAGATGGTGTTGAAGACCCCACTGCTAATGAACGCACACCTCACTTATGCATGGGCGTTCCAATTGCCAGTCTGCACTATGCTCTACTACGAAGAATCTACAAATACCAATTTGCCTTAAAAGACTCCAAAAATAAGTCTCTGAAATGGATGGCCAACCTCCAAATGAAACTCTCTGCGATTTAAAATTGAAGTCAACAATTTTTCTTGTTCAGAGCGAGATGGTTATTTTGGGCGGGGGTGGGGGGGGTGGGGGCGGGGCAGGATGGAGGGGACACATCTGCTAGTACTTAGAAGCAACACTGGCCCTGGGCTCAGGGTGCCCTGTAGCACTGCAGCTGGCGCGCAGGTAGCACAATGGCCCTCTGGTCAGCTCGAGGGCCTCTAGAGAGCGAGTATCTGAGGGTCTAAGGGTCGTGATGGTCTCAGGTGCTTCTACTCAACTCTGCTGCATGCACACAGTGACAGACTGCACAGAAACTCCGGAGCGAGTGTGGCTAAGTTCTGGGAAGGGTTGCAGTTCAGGGTCAGACCATACCCACAACAGCCAGCCCATAATGCAAAAGAATACAAGGTACTGGGTGTACAACACAAACTTTGAATAAAACATTTTAGAAAAGTAGGAAAACTAAAAGGAGGAAAGGCATTATCTAAAAGCATCAGGATGAATACATCTAACCAAAATATTTGGTCTTACATAAAAATTACTTTGAAATGCAAAACTTAATGCAGTATGGAAATTAGAAACAAAAAATTCAATTTTTTTAAGATACGTAACAACCTGATCGCTTTGATTTGTTCTGTAGTTTTGTGTAGATGTAGAAAATACCATATCTGAAAAGCTATCAAGTATTTACAGAGAATTGCAATCAAGTCCAATTCTTGCTTAGTATTGACTCACTACTATGCAAAGAAAATATAAAGTCCAATAAGAATTTTTTGAGATTGTTTACTTGTCCTTACAACATCAGTCCTTAGATGGAATTTTCAAAATGAACATGGCAGAGCTACAATACATACTTTATAAATCATAAAATATGTAGGCAAGCTAAACGGGGGGAAAAAAATTAAACATGCCATCGTGTACTTGCTTGAAGCTCTTCTTTTTTCTGGGGCTCAACTGGCCAAAAAGGAGTAAATACACTACCACATGAGAATCAGAAGACAAAAGGAGACATTTGATACAGGCGACATTGACATTTGTGCTGTATACAAACTCATTTGAGTTGCACAACCAAAGCAGCATTTCACTACACATGCTATAAACATGAAAGACACGCGCTAGTGTTTACACACTACAATAAAGACCTAACAAGGTGAAAATAAAATTACAAACTATCAGATTTCTGATGCTGCTTCTTAAATGACTGCTTTGATATATTCACCATTTGTTACTCTATCACCTACAGCTTACATATAAAAATGAAATTAAGTATCTGTAAAAAGGTGTTACCTTTAAATAAAGGTACATACTCACTTTTATACAACTAGAGCAAATCCTTTATGTATTTAGCAAAGAACCAAAATGCCAAGTATTTGGGAGGTTCTTCTCAATAGTGGCAACAAGCTAGTATGAGAATCAAAGAACTAATATGTTTAAGTGCATACAGCCATGGTTGGTATATGTAATAACCTGTTCATAACCTTCATAACCTTATAAGGAATATAAATTTCATAATGCCTATGATGCAATCTTTAGAAATATAAGTGACCTGCTTCTTTTTAAGGTGATTTATGAATTTGGGGTGTCAGAATTTTGATGCCTCTAAAAGACTAAACAACTGGCTCAGCGATTCTTCACTAAATCTGCTCGACTCCTTCTCACCATATTTGCTTTCTTGGAACAAGACTTGGCTGGACTGAGGCATTAGCTGGAGCAAGGGGAGAGGTAACAACTAATGCCCAAGAACAGGGAACCAGCCCTGCCAAGGCCGAACTTCAAACTTACCCACAGCAGGCCTCGAGGCCTACCCTCTTTGGAGCCATAATAAAAGCAGTTTATACAACTACTAACAGCAACTGATACACCCATTGAGTTTCACAAGAAACTCTCAATATGTCAATATCAACATTGATATCTTTCCCAAATTTCTGTTACTGGGCTTTTAAAAACTCAGGATTAATGAGACCAATACAATGCGAAAGGACTGTGAAGGTAAAACACTTATATTTTCTCTTGAAAATAACCTAACTGTATTTTCTTTCTTTGTAAAAACAAGCATTACTTGGTTTTTAGACCATGCCCAGCTACAGTGAGAGCTTACTTCTTGCTCTATGCTCGAGGATCACTCCTGACAGTGCTTGGGGGGTGGGGGGTGGGGGGGCAACACGTGGTGCTGAGAATTGAGCCAGAGGCAGTGTGAGCAAAGCAAGCACCTAGACCTCTACTTGTCTCTCCAGCCTCACCTAAGCCCTGTCCTTACCTCTCCTGCCTCAGACTCTTATTCTAGTTTAGGGAATACAATCACAACAGTGTTCAAGCTTACAGTATTCACGGACATTAAATGTATTTTTAACGATGATTTTTTTTTTTTTTTTTTGCTTTTTGGGTCACACCTGGCGATGCACAGGGGTTACTCCTGGCTCTGCACTTAGGAATTACTCCTGGCAGTGCTCAGGGGACCATATGGGATGCTGGGAATTGAACCCGGGTTGGCCGTGTGCAAGGCAAACTCCCTACCCGCTGTGCTATCGCTCCTGCCCTGCCCCTACAATGATTTCTTTTAAAGAAGGAAATGCATTATAATAAAATAAGACTATTAAATGTATACTTGGCTAGGCGTAGGATAAGATAACTGTAGGATAAGACCTACAGGATAAGACCGTAGGATAAGACCGAAAAGTAACTACTTTTACTGCTCTTTCTGAAATAATTCCACATTCCAGTCACTTATCCCCAGGAAGAAAGCCATCAGGAAAACTTTCTTCTGTTATATTAAAATATACTGGTTACTAGGAGAAATCTGTACTATATTAATATCATAAAAATTTTTAAAAAGCTAACACTAATTTGCTTCCTTATTATAACTTCCTAAAAGGGTGATTTTAAAAAGAAAACTTCTCCCACAAGGTCATTTAACAAAGCAAAGTTAAATGGCAACAATTTAATGTTTGGATTTAACATGGTCCATCCTGAAATAAAATTTGATTAAGGCTTAATTCATTTATACCTATTTAGACTTAAAACTATAGAAAATTCACATCTGCTATTAGGATAATTATTTAAAATTTTGCTAAAATAGCAAGTCTAAGCAGGAGATTATAAAGTGTTATATTAATTTCTTCTAGGTAATTTATATTCTAATTCCAGGTTATTCTTAACTTAAAGATTAAAAATGCTATTTTCGTTGTTTTTTTTTTTTTTCTTTTTGGGTCACACCTGGCGATGCTCAGGGTTTACTCCTGGCTCTGCACTCAGGAATTACTACTGGCAGCACTCAGGGGACCATATGGGATGCCAGAGATCGAATCCAGGTCAGCTGCGTGCAAGGCAAAGGCCCTTCCTGCTGTGCTATCATTCCAGTCCCAAAGTACTAAGTACTCTTAGTACCAAGATGCTGCTTTTCTAATTTGAAAGAGTATTCTGTCATATGATTGAATCTCTAATTTGTATTCCTGTAAATATTTGAAATAAGAGTACTTTTAGTCAGTGGATTATTATAAATATAATTGATACATAAAAAACTGTTAAACATCAGGCCTGACCCCTTATGATATTCAGTACTTCTTCATAGCACCATATGATCGATGTCCATTTATTTAACAGAAAATTTAGCAGAAATATTCATCTGTTAGGCAAAATTCAGAAGACAAATATGTCCCCAATTTTTGTTTCGTTTTTGTCTGGGGGCCATGCCCAGCAATGCTCAGGGCTGACTCCTCACTCTGTGCTCCAGGGTCACTCCTGGTAGTGTTCTGGAGACCGGATGTGGTGGGGATTGAACACGGTCAGCCGCATTCAGTGTAAGCGCTCTGCCCACTACACTACCTCTCCAACCACTGTTCAAAAATTTTGTTTCCTTACAGTTTCCTTACAATTTCCTTTCTTCCTAATATGTCAGACAAATGACTTGTATCTTAATTATAACTAAAGAATAAAATACTGCCATATTTCTGTAAACTATAAATACAAAAATAAAAAAAACATTTTGTGCACATTTCTTTCTCTCATTCCTCAGCTTTCCTCATTTCTGATTTTTCCATAGCCAATTAATAATTTTAGTATAAAGTGTGAAAGATACTATATGGAAATTTTTTTTCTAATTTTTTAGAAAATTTCCCAGAGTGGCAATATTTTAAACAAAAAGTTTTTAACATTTCAAATTTTCAGCTGTGGCACATTAACCAAAGTACCAATTAATAGAAAATAATATTTTGAAAGTTTTGGGTTACCCCTGGGTTTATCTGTAATTGCTAGTCTTTCTAGCTATTTGGAAAGCTGCTGGTACATATGAGCAAAAATTAACTATAGTACTATGACAGAGGTTCTAACAAACAAGAGGAACGCATGGTAATACTCCAAAATTGTTCCTCTTCAGAACTTTAAATAGAACATTAGATAAGTCATAAGCTTTATTTTAAGAGGTAATAAGGAAAAACACAGGAATCTTTCACTTTCAAAGAGTGTATGCAAGTACATATGGGTAATGAATCGGGTACGGAGTTTTCTGGTTGTGCTATTTACACTGTAGCAGCTGTAATAAGCTAAAATATGCAAGTTCTGTATATCCCCTTCCACAGTCATGCATCATTATCCTGGAGTTCCAGAAAAATTTTCTTTTTGTTGTGCCAGGGATAACTCAAGTGTTGAGCACTTGTGCAAGATAAATGCTGTACGACTGGGCTACGGCCCAAATCCACCGTAACACTTTTAAAAAGTCAAGCAATAACTAATTAGAAACAGAACAGATTATTAATCCCAATAAATTCCCAGATTTTAAGAGTATGTATATCTTAAAGAAAATTATCTTCCTCTTAGTAGGTTTGGTACTAACATTTCAGTGACACTCAGACCTAGACACATACGATAAATAAGAGCTGCACCCAGTATTTGCTACTTCATACTTACCCCTCTTTCTATGGGATGATGCCAAATCCAGATCGACATTTCGTTTTCCACTCTAGTAAAAAGTAAAAAACAAACAATGAAATTTAACCATGAAAAACTTTCATAGCGTATTAAGTACAGGAAATCAACTATGGTTCAACACATGTCTCCAAAAGCCATTTAAAAATAGCTGGGGGTGGAGATGGGGAGACACTCACAACCACACCCCTGTGAAATGCTAAAGCAGAGAGTCAAGGTGCCTAACAACACTGTCAAACAAGTTTTTGTTGCCACCTTGTCTTGTTTTCAGTTTGCCTTTTTCCTTCACAGTATGATCTCAGGAATGCGAGTCCACCTCACATATCACACCTCACACATCACACCTCCTCCCCCTCTCCTCCATCCTCCCAAACTCCCCCGGGCCTGGACAGGCGCTTGGGCGAAAAAGATGAATTCTCACGAACAGAAAGAACATAGTCCTAAGCCCTCTGAGAGTACTCTAAGATATTTTAAAATCTTGTCCCCTAAGCACCTGCCGTAGCCTTGAGGCCCTGGACCCTGCCAGGGTGGCCTGCGTGCTCCCCAGCGGCCAACACCCTCCATCCTTCACTGAACTGCCAGCCCAACTGGCGAGTGTCACCAAGAGGGGCTTTCAGGCCTGAGCACAGCTTCGGATACCCACAAAATATAAATAAAAGTTTTTTATTTATGTATTACTTGACACTTTTCGAGGCAAATGTCCTACTGCTGTGCTATCGCTCCAGCTGGAGTGATAGCACAGCGGTAGGGCGTTTGCCTTGCACGCAGCCAGTCCGGCAGAGCCGGGTTTGATTCCTCTGCCCCTCTTGGAGAGCCTGGCAAGCTACTGAGAGTATTCAATATGCCAAACACAGTAACAAGAAGTCTCACAATGGAGACGTTACTGGGCCCGCTCGAGCAAAATCGATGAACAACGGGAGGACAGTGCAGTGACAGTGTTGACACTTTTCAAAAATATTTTTATATCCATTATCACGCGTTTGAACAAACAAGAAGCTAAATATGAAGCTTATAGATAGGTCACTTGGTCCAAAACCCTGAGTTTCTACTTAAGTTGTCATGTGACAGCACCAAATTCTCAGAGCTCTGCAGAAGAATCTAAGCCAGAAGCCGCACCTAACACAACAGGACAGAGAGGACACTCTCGGCCAGAAGGCTGGATTAACACGGACAGGTTCACACGTAAGGCAGAAGAAGAATCACAAAATGGAAACCTAGCTATCAACTTCAAGAGCAAAGCATTCAAATAAAAGAAAAATACCTTCTGGACAGTTTTCACTCTACAACTCTATCCGCTTTTATCAGTACACTTTACTTTTGACTTCTAATAAAATGAGCATTTCACCTGTCACCTGCTCCTGAGAGTAACTGAGAGCCACAGGCAAACTTTGAATTATGGAAATATAGACAGACGTGTGGTTTATATACATAAATACTATTGTGGGGCCAAAGCAATAGTACAGCCGGGAGGGTGCCTGCCTTCCACACAGCCGACCAGGACTGGTCCCACATAGCCCCCTGAGCCCACCAGGAGTGATCCCTGAGCACAGAGCCAGGAGTCAGCCCTGAGCACCACTGGGTGTGGCCCCCAAACCAAACCAAACCAACAAATACATGATTCTACTGAAACGTGGCACAAGACAAAAAGCAGAGCGATCAGTCTGGAGATCTCAGGCTGGTCCCAGCAGGTGAGGAGAGCGTGGAACTGAGCAGCGGCAGATACGAAGAATACAGTAGAAGGGTAAGTGTCAAGACTTGCCTAAGTGGACCTGGGGAATGAGGTAATAAGGAAGAGGAGATCTGGCGACTGACCCTGGGTCCCAGCCCGGACATGTGTGTCAGCACCTACCACAGCAGGGGTGAAGGAAGGCAGCTGGGGAGAGATGGGCCTATTTGGGGGCAGGTTAAGATAGGGATGACACGTGAAGGAAGCGTGTGCAGTAGGAGTCAAATACATGAATCTGGGGTGTAGGAAGAAATCGGTGAAAGACAGAAAATTGAGCATCCTCAACATATAGGTAGCAAATATATACAGCTATCTCATTTTTCTTAAAATTTTTTTAAATTTCATATATGTATTACTTACAGCGGGTATGGCGTTTGCCTTGCACGCAGTCAACCCGGGTTCGATTCCTCTGTCCCTCTCGGAGAGCCCAGCAAGCTACCAAGAGTATTCTGCCCACATGGCAGAGCCTGGCAAGATCCCCGTGGCGTATTCAATTCGCCAAAAACAGTAACAACAAGTCTCACAATGGAGATGTTACTGGTGCCCGCTCGAGCGAATTGATCACAATGGAAGGACAGTGCTACCGTGCTACATTATTTACTCTAATTGAAGTCTTATGTTCTTATACACTGACAGCAAAACCCCAGTTTAGGGACTCTGGATGCACCTACCAGCACGTAACTCTCTTCATCAGATTCAGGCTGGGACAGATCCGACTCACTCCGTGACTTGATGAGTTTGTAACTGGGACTCGCGTGAATGAGCCGGCTCTCTGCAGTGAGACTTTCACTCCTGTCTCATGAGCACAAAGAAAAGTTGTTTAATTTGGGATTGTCGGTGAACGGAAAACTAAACGGCACTAGCAACACAGACACAGACACAGGTGGGGAGTCACTGTGTGTACGGGCAGACACCGTGTTTCAACACAAAACCCTCATTAAGCATCAACTTTATCAACTTGTATCAGCACACTTTACTTTTGACTTCTAGTAAAATGAGCATTTTATTAGAGTAATTTCCATGCCACTGAACTACTGAAATAACTTCTTGCTTCTCAAAGGCTATTCTGTGTATGAAAAATTGTGCCTTCTCGTTCTCAGAAAATTATATTCTGTGTTTATTTCCAAGAACACTGTCACCAAGAATAAGCACTTCAATGCACACGGCTAGCAGAGGAGGAAAGTGTGGTGCGCGCCCACTCTGTCGCACCTGGTCATGAGGCCACTCCCTTCGGAGGTGCTGGCAGAAGGCTGCGGCGACTGTCCCTCCTCCCGCCTCTTGTGCAGCTGCTCCATCACGGGGCTCACTCCCAGTATCAGCAGGGCACAGCGGTGGATCACGGAGTTGCAGGCAGCGGTGTAGACGTCCTGACCCTCGGGAAGGTCTGTGCTCACCCGTCGCTCCTGCTGAGACTGGGGTGGCGGGTCGTCGGCTCGAGTCCCAGACCCTGCCCCATTGCTCATCCTATCTCGGTCTCGGCTGCGAGCTACTTCCCGGGCTGAGAGGAAACACTGAAAGATTTCTGTAACAAGCAACACAAAAACCAGGTCTTAGCACATGGAGAAAGAAGAAGAGCAGAGAAGATAACAATGAAAACAGTCTCAAAGTTTGAACCCAAAACTTACTGAAAAGGGAAAATTACTTTTAGACGTTAAATACAGTAGAACAATTAACATAAAGTTATATCTAAGACATGTAAAATATTGAATTTTTTATAGAACTTATGAAGAAAATACTCATGCCTCTATAGAAAATTTTATTTCTCCTATATATACTCTTATTAATAAGTTAGATCATTGTTTTTCAAAATGTGGTATCAGACTAGCAACACCAATAATATTTGGGTAGTTGTTAGAAATGCAAAATAATGCGCCCTCCCCAAGACTTTCTGCATCAGAAATGCTAGATAAGGGGCCCACATTCTATGTCAAACTCCACAACACTTTATTCTGGAGTTCATGACAGTTTGAAAAGCACTAGGTCAGAAAAAGTAACTATTTCAGAAATTTCTATGACGTTGGTTTGAAAAAAAGTTAATTACAAATTATGATGAAAAGCTCCCTTCTTAACCCTTCCAAATTCCATATAACTCCTAGCCTGCAGGTTATAGCAGAAGGTTATTCACACATTAATTAAGTACAGCTGTTGAGTGTTTGGTGAGAGAACACAGCTACAGCGTGGGCCCAAGGTTCATGGACTCAAGGGTATCGTGGGGTTGTCCATCTGATGCCAGCCCTTAGCCCTTCACAATTCATGACAATAAAATCCAGGAGTGGGGAGTGAGAAGAGAAGGGAAGCAGAGGCATAAGAAAGTTCTAATGTGGTAGGCATTTCACAAAAATTTTGCTTAAGTTTGGAGTGAAGATGCTATTCTTTATGGAGAACTAAGCAGAAAAGTCTGTAACACAGAATCATAAACTTAAAACTGTAACTTTTTTTTATGCCATTATAATGGAGATCTTTAATCATGCTATTCAAGTTCCTTATTTTTATAAAAATCAAAGGCAACAAATTCAGAGCACAGAGCTAGAAATTAGTAACTGTAATTAGGATAACATTCACTAAAGTTCTGTGTAGACCTGGACCCAGTTTCAGCAGCTATAAATGACCGTGGTCAGGATGTGAACTGTCCACCTCGGACTTTACTCTGCCCCTTCTCACAATGGGGAGTGTGAGACTCCACCTCACATGACTGCAGTGAGGCAGAGAAGCGACACTATGTGTTGCGTTTGTCCCAGTACCCAGCATACAACTGGTATCAAAAATGACCAAGACTTTAAAATTACTCCCTGCTTGACCAGTCAGCTTTTCATATAAGTGAGGGGTTACACTTTGCTATCTTCTGTTATGCTCTGAGTTTTCCCTTTGGTCTTTGTGTTTAGAAATTTCTGAAATAACTTTTAGGTTCAAGTGTAGGAATTCTAAGCCTATGTTTTAAAAATTCTCCCCATCTCCCTCCCCATCTCTAAGCCCTTTTTCTTCACATGGACTTTTTTCCTCTTATAAAACAATCTTTGTTTTGAATTACCTAGGAATAATTTTTAGAATACAACTATAAAAAGAAATTAAAATGAATGCCAAATCACTTAGACACTCCTAGTAGCAAATGTATAGCAAGCCACATATGAGGCTACAAAATAAATATGCATTTTAAATAGCCAAATCACTGAAAAGATAGACAATATTTTATGTCTGTTTCATTCTGGGGGACACACTTGACTTACTCCTGGCTCTGCATTCAGGGATAACTGCTGGCAGGCTCAGGGGACCATATGTGGTGCCAGGGATCAATCCTGGGTCTGCCACATGCCAGGCAAATGCCCTGTCTACTGTACTACCACTCCAGACCCAGGGTAGACAGTGTATTAAAAAGCTTTGTAACAACTCTTTAAATATCAAAATGATTATCTTAAATTATCCTGAGAGACAAGGCATGGAGCTCAGTGGAAGAGCACATGCTCTGCCTGTAATGGAGTCTCAGTCAAGCCCACACCACACACGCACATGCATACACACACACACACACACACACACACACACACACAGTTTGAAGCTATGGAATAGTCAAGTCTGAAAAGCTTTTTCAACAAATCAATAGTATTCTCATGTATATTTCTGTTCCCTGTTAACCCTTCCAAATTCCATATACACTGTAATTCCAAAATTACAGTGATCAGTGGGTCAATTCTCTAATTTTAAAAGTTCTACAAAGAAAACACCTGTCAGACCTCAGTGAGACAGAAACTCTCTATCCCCAAGAACACAGAGGGTAGCCAGCCATAAGGACACGCCCCTCCCAGAGTACGGCACGGCACGGCAGCTCAGAATTCCTGCAGTGGTCTACCACAGCCGAAAGCTGGAGTCAGTGAGCGTCTGTTCAGACTGCCAGCAGAACGTCAGCTCTGACAGAGACCGGGGCCTTATCTTCTCCAACCAGAGTCTTGGGCTCACACATCCTGACCAAAAACAAAATCCCTGTGTGGGTGTGTCTGTATCTATGTGTGCATGTGTGTACGTGTGTGTGTGTGTGTGTGTGTGTGAGTGTATGTGAGTATGTCTGTGTTGTCTCTGGTATGAGTGTGTAAGCGTGCATTTCTGTGTGTGTGTATGTGTCTGTGTGACACTAAGTATGTCTTTGTATATCTGTGTGTGGATGAGTATGAATGTGTGAGTGATGTGTGTCTGTGTGAGTATATATGCATGTGTCTGAGTGTATGCGTGTCTGTGAATATGTGAGTTTTTATGTATGTGTATGTGTGACATATGTGTGAGGTGTGTGCCTATGACCCTGTGTGTATGTGTGTCTGTGTGTGTGCCTATTGGAGTATGGCATGTCTTTATGGGAATGTGTCTCACGTGTCCATATCTATTCGTGTGTGCCTGTGTGTTCCTGTGTGTCTAGAGTGTGTCTGTCAGGGTGTGTGTTTATGTGTGAGTTTGTGTCTTGTCAGTGCATAAATGTGTCTGTGTCTACATGTATGAATGCGTGTATGTGTCTATGTGTACGTGTGTATGTAAATCTAAATGTGCGTATGACTGTGTGTGTGCACACGTGTGTGTGTGTGCAGTATGCACATGCGTGTGCAGCAAGGAGGGGGACTCACTGCCAGCGGTCATGACTTCGTGCTCCCGCTCCTCCTCATCCTCCTCGGGCTCCGGGTGGCCCTCCTCCCGGTCCCGCTCAGCCTGCTCCTCCATCTCTGCTTCCTCGTCGATGGTCCGGGTGAAGGAGTGTTCCTGAGGGTCGACATCTGCAGAGTCTTGGTTTTCTGAGATCTTAAAAAAAATGATCAGAGCTACACTAAGTACAATTTCCAAAAACCTTTATTAAAAATTAAATTTTTTTTATCACGAAAAATACTAGTAACAATAGAAACCCATAAATTTGTGAAACTCAATCACAAAAGATTTTCAGGCTGGCAGTTCAGAGGGCCTAGAATGATTCTATTCCCGGTACCACACTGTCCCCAAATCCCTGCTGGAAGTGACCCCCGAGCACCAGAGCCACGAGCAGCCTCTAAACAGTGCTGGGTGTGTCCCAAAATGAATAAAACAAAAAATATCCAGAAGACAGAGCTCTAGTAATCAGGAAGAGAGACTCACCTGAGCCTCTCACAGCTGCCCTTGGGGCAGTGCCAGGAGCACATGAGAAAGAGCCCCAGAATACAACGGATACAAACAGAAACAAGGAAAGAACCTGAACACTTGGATATCACCAACTCAGTTCTGAACAATGAGTGGGTTAAAAAAAACAGAAATAAAACAATTCCAGAAAACAAGGAAAAACGAAGATACAAGCTACCAGAATATATCGGAAACAGAAAAAGGGGTGTTAAGAGTAAAATTCATAGTCATGCAAGCATTCATTAGGAAGCAAGGAAAGAGAACCTGCAGAGGGTAAAATACAGGTATCACACAAAATACACAGATACTTAAACGCTTTCTCTTCCTGATTTTGATTAAAATGCTATTGTGTACAATGATGCATATTTATATTGTTCTCAGCTACAAACTCCTAGAGTTACAACTTAAAATGGATTGAATATGACTTCAGGCATAAATAGTAAATAATGGACATGATTTTTTATTATTTTGGGGACCACACCCAGCAGTGCTCAGGACTGACTCCTGGCTCTGCACTCAACAATCACTCCTGGTAGGCTTAGGGGACTGAACGGGGTGTCAGGGATTCAACCCAGGTCAGCACGTGCAAGGCAAGTGCTCCACCCACTGTGCTATCTCTGCAGCTCCATGAGCAATAGTTTTTGTTCCAGTTTGCCTTAAATTGGTTAGGTCACAGTTATCCTGTATAAACGTTCAATAATTCTTATTAAAAACAGTATTTTTAACCTTTTTGAGGATTTAAGTGCTACTCTTATTAAATTTTACTTATATAAACAGTGCTGGAATTTTTTGTTTGCTACTGCAGAAGCACAAAATTAGAAAATTCTTAATGACAATATTAATTTATTTCCCACAATGGCTATGGTAACCAGCAGCTTTTTAGAGGAAAGAGCTCTTGTAACAAATACCAAGAAAGCCATAGATACTCTACCAGTATGTCTTTTCCTCTATAGTTTCCAGCATAAAGCAACAAATAAAATGTGTAATTATATCCTCAGATATATAATTAATGCTAAAGTGTTTCACAGATATAGGGTTACTGGACATTTTACCCCACAATATGAATTTGAAATGTGAGCCTCAGCAAAATGGCAAATTCATTTCATGGATTTTCAAGGTCACTAACAAATACAGCACCGTAGAACTGTCCTCCCGTTGTTCAATGATTTGCTCGAGCGGGCACCAGTAATGTCTCCATTGAGAGAGATGTTGTTACTGTTTTTGGCATATCAAATATGCCATGGGGAGCTTGCCCGGCTCTGCCGTACGGGCGAGATACTCTCGGTAGCTTGCCAGGCTCTCCGAGAGGGGCGGAGGAATCGAACTCGGGCCGGCCATGTTGGCTGCGTGCAAGGCAAACGCCCTACCCGCTGTGCTATCGCTCCAGCCCTATTTTCATCATATAATTTATTTTAGTTTTCATTATTTAATACATGAAAGGGCTCTTCAGTTTTAAACATTAAGCAGAAACTGAAAATAAAGTTAAAAAATTTGCGAAATTAAGTATCTAAATAATTAACACTGCAAAACTTCTGATTTCTTTCCTAAATGCCCTAGCCGCTGTACTAGCGCTCCAGCCCACTAACAAATATATTCACAAATATTTAATCAGTACATACCAAGAGACTGCCATAACAAATACAAAGTTCTGTTGGAAAATTCAAGTTCTAAATAATGGAGTACAAAGCATGTAACATATGAAGCTCAAAGTAGGCATTTCAGAAGCTGATGAATTAACAATTTTGAACTTATAATATGGATGTTATCAGGCGTATCAAGCACTGGAGAAATCATGTCGTTTTTGTTCCAAGAATTACTTCTGAACCATCTTAATAGTAGATTCAATTTTCACCTTTGGTGGTGAGCAACTCTAATCACTAGGAGATTTTACTCTTTTCAGCTAAGTAATTGTGATTCTCTATTCAACTGTTCTTCTGATCCTAGCTCTGTGTCTGGAACAAGAGGGACACGGTATTTCCTCTCCTACATGGAAGCTCTTTAAGTACTTTTGAAACTGTTATCACATAACTCCCCTTTTAAGTTTATTTACTTTTGGTTTTGGGGCCACACTTGGTGGTACTCAGAGCTTACTTCTAGCTCTGACTCAGGAATTACTCCTCGCAGGCTCAGGAAACCATAGGGGGTGCTGGGGATTGACCTCAAGTTTTATATTTTGATAATTATTTCTCTAATTTTCATTTGCATTTTATTTGTTTTGGGGGGTCACGCCCAGTGTTGCTCCTGGCTTATTCCTGGCTCTGCTCAGGGACCACTCCTGAGGGACCACATGGGATGCCAGGGATGCGACCTGGGTTCCATCCAGGTTGGCAGTGTACAAGGCAAACACCCTCCCTTCTGTCCTAGGCTCTGGCCGCGCAATTTTACCCATGACTCTCCCTTTGCCCATTCCTCTTGGACACTCTTCAGTTCTTGCGGAAGATTGGTTTTGGATCTTTCACCAATCCAAGGCTCCTCATAAATCATGGTATTCCAAATGAAATAGGGTAATTTGAATGTGAATTGATCAGCAGAAAGTAAAAGAATATTCCATACAATTTTGACAATTCAATATTATTTATATAGTCTAAAAGCACGTGAGCTCTCTTGCAGCCATACCACACTTGATCAATATGTGGCCAATTGCACTCAAAGCACTATGTTTTTGAACATAAATCAATATAGAGCTACCCCTCTGTTTGCAGAGATACATAGAAATTAAATAATTTCCGACTTTACCCATCTGTCGCGTGATGATGATCTGGTCTGAATAAGCTCAAGGTTCTTGCAAGCAAGCAAACGACTTCGAACTTTGTACACACAACGATATACTTCTGACAAGCTTTTACTAGGCTGATACCTAAAAGAAAGAACCAAAATTTAAAAGTTACCTTATTTCTAACATCATTAGAAGAAAATATGTGTCTGAAGGTAGTTTTAAGTTACTTGCCGGCTTTCTCCACATGCTTGATTGAGTAAGTTTGTATGTTTCAAAAGAGCTGCAAGAACAAATCTGGACACAGTATCCAAGAGTGACTCATTACTTAAAGTTGCACTGTCCCAATCTGAAAACAAAAATGACGCAGTGACATTTAAAAGAGCTCAGGAAAAAAGTGCAGAAGGAATCACAGTGATTTTACTAATTCAACAACCGAATTTTACCATTTTCCTAAACAGTTATTTAGCAACTGCTCCTCCCACATCCCAAAACTGCCCGGCATGCCGGGGTCACTGCAGAGACCAAGACCCAGCAGAGCTATCTCCAGTTCACTTATACTAGTTCTAGAGCTTATACTAGTTCTAGTTCATAAAAACCCCAAAGACAGCTAACAACATTAATGATGCCAACCACATCATAAAGAAAACTAAAACATGGCAAGGAGTACAGGCACACAGCCTAATGTGGGGTTACCAATTTACGTGAGCTGGTCTCAAATAAGGCTTTGGGTCAGCAGAGATCTGAATGAATTAGGGGAGGAAGCCACATCAAAATTGTGTCTGGGGGGGATTCCAGGGTTGGGTGGGGCGCAGGGGCTAAAGCAACAGTGATTTGCCTTGCACACTGTTGATCCAGGTTTGATTAGCCTCATCCTACAGGGTCTCCTGAGCCCACCAGGAGTAATTCCTGAGTCAGTCAAGGGTAAGCCCTGAGCACAGTTCCGTGTGGCCGTCCTCCTCCCCCCAAAATAAATAAGAGGTCCTGAGGTGGGCGTAAGGAGGTTGTCAGTGCGGCTGTGCAGAGTATGTCCCTGAGAATAAGGTGAAACACAGGAACAAACACGCAGTTCCTCAGGGGTCACTGCGAAGCCTCCCTCTAGGGAAATGGGCCAAGCAGCAGCAGAAGCTTCAAACAGACAGGGCAGGATCCGGTGAGAGGCTCAGAGGGACTCTGAGCAGAACAGCAACGAGTGAATCACCAAGAAACACAAGCAAGAAACGAGAGTGGTTGAGGCCAAAGCAGTAGCTGCAGGGAGAGGGAAGGCAAGTGTCTGTACGTGTGCTCTGACAGCTGATGGAAAGCGCAGCCCTGAGATGGATAAGGCTGACAATGAACTCAGAGCGCAGCTCAAACCTATGGAGAGGAAGAACACCAGAAAAACACATCTGGTGGAAGGAGCCGGAACATGGACGATGGTCCTAGTCCCTTTTCACTGTTTATTACACATAAGAGTAGACAGAGCAAATGAACTTGGCTGATATATCTGGTACGTCATAAAAGTAGGTGTTGCAAACACATGCACTGAAATGGAAACATAAAACCATCTGAACAGAGTGGGCGTGGGGGACTGAACACATGTGCACTGAATGGGTAACATGAAACCATCTGGACAGGGTGAGCACTTTCAACTCCTCTCATGTGCACCGAAATGTAACACTGAAGGCATCTGGACACGTGAGCACTGGCTACTGAACACCTGATTCTCGGCGCTGCCACCTAGCGTAACTGTCTTTTGAAAATGTGTCACTCCAGAGACTCCAGTAGGAATGACCTGCTTTAGTCCAAGAGTATCTGCTCAGCGCTTGTAACTGGACAGGCTTACTATGCTACTAGAAAACCAAACCTAAACAAAAATCTCTCCGGAAAATATTAAAGATCAAATTAATTTGACTTTTATTGTACAGGAACCACTCAGCAACAGGGAGTTTAACTGAACTCTAGCATACAAAATCGTCTACCTAGCCCCAATTTTATTGATGGCTCAGTCCTTTTTCAAACTCTCAAATGAACAGATTATACGTTCTGGCTTTCTGAACATTAAGTTAAGGCAGCTATTTTAAGGGTAGAAAAAATAATAATACAAACATGCTGGAACTGAAACAAAATCTTACAAAGCAGAGAATCTCAGGATGAACCTGTCACACATACAGAATTTCCCACATTATGTTCCTGAGAAATTACCTGTTACAAAGGTTTTACTATTTTTAGCGCTGCTACAATTTAAAGGCCAACTGGAATCCATTTCGAGGAACTAATATTCAATTTAAAAAAATTAAATCAACATGCTTTTCTGTGCTTTATGGTTAGTAGTGATTTTATCCTCCTACGTAATCTTTTTTTTTTTAATTTTTATTAGTGAAACACCATGAGGTACAGTTGTAGACTTACAAATTTTTGTGCTTGCATTTCAGTTATACAATGATCCAGTACCCATCCCTCCACCAGTGCCCATTCTCCATCATTTACTTTTTTTTTTAATTTTTGTTAGTGAAACACCATAAGGTACAGTTGTAGATTTACAAATTTTTGTGCTTGGGTTTCAATTGTACAATGATCAAACACCCATTCCACCACCACGGGTCCCAGTATCCCTCCCACGCCCCATTCCCCCACCCACCCTGCCTCTGTGGCAGGGTATTTCCTTTTGTTCTCTCTCTCCTTTTGGGTGTTGTGGTTTGCAAAAGAGGCATTGAGTGGCAATCATGTTTGGTCTATAGTCTACTTTCAGCATGCTTCTCCCATCCTGGGAGGATCCTCCCAATACCCTTTATTTGGTGCTCCCTTCTCTATCTGAGCTCCCTTTTCCCCTAGCATGTGTGGCTGGCCTCCAAGTCACGGAGCAAAATTCCTGGTACTAATCTCTCCTACGTAATCTTTAAAGTAACACTTTTACCATACATCTGGTTTAAACACTTCACACCATACAGTAAAAAAATTGCTACCCAGGTCCAAAGCCTAGAGAAGTGTTTGTCAGCTTTCTCCAGACCTGGCCCCTCCCAGCCTTGCTCCTTCGGGGCCCCGTCTTACCAGCTGCCCCAAGTCCCTGCTGCGCCCACCGCCATTTCCGTGGCTCTCCCCTCAGGCCCCCTTCGAACATCTCAGGGGACCACATGACCCCCCCCCATTCAGAAATGCTGTTGGAGAACATACAATCCAGAAAATGCAGCCAAATAAAAACAATGTTTATTGAGCGTTTATTCATGTAATATTTACTATTTAAAAACTATGCTTTAATACAACAATGTGATGCAAACAACCACCATCACCTAACCACACAGTCCAGGAACAGATACACATACGAGAAGATAAAAAAAAAATACAATCCAGGAAGGGAAGCTTTTGTTCTCCCAACACAATATTTACTGTCCATCTGGGAGAGTCTACACAAAAGTATAAATAAATGAAACAAAATCAAAGTATGAAAGTCACCATCTCACTGTTGTGTTTGTTTTTGTTGTTTCGGTTTTGGCTGAGATGCATCTCCAATCCCTCCCTGGTATCCTAACGAACTGGGTTGTAAATACTTCATTCCATTTCCTCAACACAAAATAGACGACCAATGGAAGTAAAACGGGTATTTACTTAAAAAAAAATCATTGTTGGGGCCGGATTAATACTTGTACAGTGGCTAGGGTACTTGCTTCGCACACAGCCGAACCAGGTTCCATCCCTGGCACTCCATATTGTCTCCCGAATCTGCCAGGAGTATTCTTGAGTGCAGAGCCAGGAGTAAGCCCATTTGCAAGTGGGTGAGCAAAAAAAGAAAAAGAGGAGGGGAGGAGAGGGGGAGGGAGGGAAAGAGGGAGAGGGGAGAGAAGGAGGGAGGAAGGGAGGGAGGAAGTCATTGCTGTGGGGGTCACACCTGGCAGTGCTGCAGGGGCCCAGCAGGGACTGACTCTCAGGCTAACAAGTGTTCCACCTTCAAAGCTGTAGCCCAAAGTTAGGTAACTTTAACATTTTTACCACAGAAGGAAGAAAACCCAGCTAAATAGGGTAAAACTCAACAGGGTAGAGAGAACAGCCCACGTAAAACAAGAAGAAGACATATGTGATTCTGAACAACCATCAAAAGGAAAGTTGTGAAAAAATCAGGCATATACACTGAAAACTTAGACAGAAAATTCATTTCATTAGTCAAATATTAGGCTCTGAAATACCACTGCACACTTACATCCTTAGCACTTCACTACTGTACTTAATGGTTACCACCTTAAACTGGTCTCTCCACTGGTACTTTGAAATGACCGAGTCCTGTTGAAGAGGACTGACCAGCCCCGCGCTCACTCAGACTCCACTCACGCAGTCTTAGCGATGACCAGGGCATGCAGAGAAAGGGACTTATCAAACACAATCTGATGCTACGTTCCCTGGCACTGCCGAAACCCTTCCACAAAAAATCACTGCTTCTAAATTCATCTTTTTGTAAATTTCTGGTTTTCTCAGGGGTTTGCTTCAAGTGGGACACCAAGTCTATATAATTAAAAAAACCAAAGAAAACAGAAGGTCAAGCAGGAAAAAGGGAAAAAAACAAAAATTTATAGGCATCTGTAAAATATTCATCTATCAAAACTATTGATCAGAGAGCTGTGCAGTTTTCTCTCCGACACTGCACCCGTATTCGTCAGCCCAGGAAAAAGCCCCCATCCCTGCAACCGCACCTCCTACCTTTACTAACGGCGTAATCCTGCATGCTGATCCACAGGGTCCGAGCAGGCTCTTTCGAGCACCCCAACGCCAAGTCCACATAGATGGCCATGTCAGGACGCAGTTTGTAATCAAAAGGCTTCTGCTCCTCGTTTCCCGAGAGGGCCACTTCGAGGAGGCAACTCATGCATTTATCTATAAAAAAAAGAATCCAATGTATCATTTTGGGGGTTGTTTTGTTTGTTTTGGGGTCACACCCAGAGGTGTACCTCCCTGGTCCCTCAAGCTATCCATTTTAAACCTCGGACATTTTGTCACTACAAATAACAAACACATTTATTTAATGAATTTTAAAATGACACATTTCAAAGCGTTCCGTTTCATGCTGGCCACTAAAGGCCTTCCTGTCCCTCAGCTGGGGGTGCTGTAACTCCCTCCCCCTGCTTCAGCAGGTCACGCAGCCCAATGAGACATTCCAGGGGGAATTCTGGTGTTCAGGTAGGCAAAGGCCAGTCCGGAAAAGGGTTCCACGTGAACAGCACAGCCTCATGCCTCAAAGCACACTCTGTCCCACATGAAATGGGGTTCTTCTTGAAGAGCACAGGACTGGTGGGAAAGAGAATTTTTTCTTTTCTCTTTTTCGAAGGAAGGTAGCCAGTTACATATGATTAAAGGAAGGGCAAAGATACTGTCAACGACTTCTTAATAGAAGGTTGGGGAGACAACTCAAGGTCTGGCACACATCGCTTGTGTACGAAACCCCAAAAGTATGATCCCCTGCACTGTGCGGCCCACTAAGGACAGACAGGGTTGGCTCTTAAACGCCAGGGGGTGACCCCAAAGCAATCAAAAACCCCCAATTTGTCAACGAATACTTACACTCAGACAAGGGTCTCTAACTTACACTCGGACAGTGACCACTGACTTACACTAGGACAGTGATTACTGACTTACACTCGGACAGTGATTACTGACTTACACTCGGACAGTGGTCCCTGACCTACACTCGAACAGTGGTCGCTGATTTACACTCAGACAGTGGTTCCTGACTACACCTGGACAGTGGTCCCTGACTTACACCCAGACAGTAGTCACTGACTACACTCGGACTGTGGTCCTTGACTTACACTCAGACCGTGGTCGCTGACTTACACTCGGACAGTGGTCACTGACTTAAACTCGGACAGTGGTCATTGACTACACTCGGACAGTGGTCACTGACTACACTCGGACAGTGGTCCCTGACTTATACCCAGACAGTAGTCTCTGACTTACACTCGGACAGTGGTCCTGAGACTTGAACAGTGGTCCCTAACTTTTCAATGGGACATCTGACATCCAGAATTAACCTTCCACTTAAGCAGTTCTTGGGGAGTTGGGGAGCTATGATATATCCTTAAACAATGAAGTCAAGACCAGTTCTGATCCCTGGCACAGGTGGTCCCAAGCACTGCCAAGTGTGACCCTGGAGGCCCGAGCAGCACTGCAGCCCCAAGTACCTCTCTCCCTCAGACTTGGCGGGCAAGTGTCACTGGGGAGGCCTCTGAGACTCCCGCACCCATGCAGGACCCCACAGCACGAGAATACAAACAATTCTCTACATGATGGTTCTTGGGCTAATACTGAGCAATTTAACCTATAATATAAATCATTATATATGTATTTTATAATGATGCTAGCCTTTTGATACTAGCCTTTTGGGCTGGACCGATAGCAAAGCGGGTAGGGCATTTGCCTTACACGCGGACCCCCGGGCCGACACAGGTTCGATTCTTCTGTCCCTCTCGGAGAGCCCGGCAAGCTACCGAGACTATTTCACCCGCACAGCAAAACCTGGCAAGCTACGCATGACGTATTTGATATGCCAAACACAGTAATAAGTGTCACAATGGAGACATTGCTGGGCCCACTCGAGCAAATCAATGAACAATGGGAGGACAGTGACAGGACAGTGACTAGCCTTTTTATAATTATGTATTTAGACATAAAAATTTTAATAGAATTAAAAAAAACAAAATAATTTTAACACTAAAACTGAGGGGCAAGAAACAGCACTTGATGGGCTGGAGAACCACAAAAATGTACATGTTCAGACAGCCTGAGAGCTAACCTACCTTCAAAGCAGACAATAGGGAAAGAAGACAGAAAAGGAAAAGCTACAAAAGGGAAGGCATCCTACAAAGTGACAGTATCATGTAAACACGACAGGCTGGAAACAGAAGAGAGTGCCATTTTCACTGCAGAAGGGTCAGGAGACGAAGCTCTGTGAGGACACAGTGAGTTCCCTTCACACCCTTGAGGCAATTTCTTGACCACCAAGAATCAAGAATTCTCTCCTTTTTATGAATTAGATGACTTACCTTAATGACAGAGCGGAAGACACACATTTCCCTAGTCGGGTTATTTTCAATATGGAATGCTGCAGGATTGAACTGTTTTCTGATCATTCCACCTACAGTCTTAGACCCTCAGTCTTGCTAATACTGAATTTTTCTATAATTCAACAGACCAGAGTAAGGAAGCTCTTCTGTGGTCAGGCAAACGTAAGCAGGTATTTCAATGCAGAAAGGCATGTTACCTAACTGAGGTATATCCATTTCGACTCCATCACTGAAAAGTGGTGTTTTCAGCCAGTAGGCCGTGTCCTGTTCCTCCGGAGACATGGGGGAGCCCTGGAGCATGCCGCCCAGACAGCGCCCAACGAGCAGAGCAACAGTTCTCTCCAGGTCCACGAGCCATACGCACGACTGGGCTGGCTGCGGTAAGGGGAGGCCCGCGGGATCCGTCAGCTCCGGCCCTCCTGCGGACAGAACACACCAGTGAAGACCAGCCGCATGGCAGCAAGATATCTAAGCAAAATAACTTACAAAGAAAAAAAATTATATACTTTATTCTATTCACTGGGCTAATTTAAACTATATTAAATAAGTTCTGTCTTCAAATAAGGATTTCCACTGTAAAGAGTCAAGGATTTGGTTCCACTGTAAAGAGTATATCTCGCATACTGGACACATGGATTCAATTCCTAGCCCATGAGAGAGAACCTAGGGGAGAATTTTCTTTATAAAGTACTAACTTTAAAACAAATATTGAAAAAAATTGTATGACATGACGGTGCAGTAACTTCGCATATCACACAAAAAAACCCCAACACTGCTTGTGTACATTTTATGTACATATTACATGTATTATACTTACATGCTACATTGAACACAAGAGTATATTTAATTTGAAAAGAACATGACAAAAGCATCACAAGTTATTCAATTCATACTTTTTATTACCCAGATCAAATTTTAATTACCCACTGGGCCACACTGGGAAATGATCAGAAGTCACCTCTGGCTCTGCGCTCAGGAATTACTCCTGGAAGTGCTGGCGATCAAATTCAGGTCAGCTGCACGTAAGGCAAATGCCTTACCTGCTGGACTACTTGGGGGCCACTCCCAGGGTACTCAGGGGTCACTCCTAGCAGGTTCGCAAGCGTATACAGGATGTTGGTGCCCTAACCCAAGTCTGTTTGTTGTGTGCAAGGCAAGAGATCGTGTTAACCATACAATCTCTCTGCCCCAAGATCAAATTTTATCTTAGAGTACTTGAGCATTGCTTTTTATGCCCTAAAAATGAATAGAGGAGCTGATATAGGCACCTGGTTAATACTTTATACTTTGTGGTCTGAATTCTCAGGATCTATACCCATGCTTTTTGTTTATTTATTTTTGGCTTTTTGTGTCATACCCGGTGATGCTCAAGCATTACCCCTGACTCTGCACTCAGAAATTACTCCTGGTGGCGTGCAGGGGACCACATGGGATGCCGGGGATCGAACCTGGGTCAGCTGTATGCAAGGCAAATGCCCTACCTATTATACTACCACTCCAGAGCCATCTATGCTTTTTTTCATTATAATTGTTTTTAAGTTCTTTGAAAAAAAAAAGTATGCTTACCCTTAGAGAACAAATATCAATAAAACAGTTCAAGAAAAACAGCTGGGTCAGAGAGAGATAGTATAGTGGACGGGGTGCTTGCTTTGTACACAACCAACTCCGGTTCAATCCCTGGCACTCCATATGGTAGGAAAAGTGATACAAGGAGAACAAGAAGATGGGATGATGTAGAAAATTATCAATGAAAACATGCATAAATCCAAAATAAAATATTTATCTTACCTAATACAAATAGTCAATCTTAGCAAGTTCTGTGATGCTTCAAAAAGCAAGAATAAAGATGGAGAGCCTTTATAACAAGACTTTAGACCATGTTACTGTTGTAACCTAACACGCCTGGTAGAGCACAGTACTGAGAGCAGGGACTTCAAGATCACCTTGTCCAACTGATCTTTGTGGAAGAAGTTACAAACGACTCACTAAGACTAAAGTCTAAGTCACTTCATAATATCATTGAAATTATGTCCAATAAAACAAAAGGGCTTATCAAAATCTTTCTTTTTTCTTTTTTTTTAAGATTTTAGTAATGAGGGCCAGCGGGAGAGACAGCACAGCGGGTAAGGTGCTTGCTTACCTTGCACATGACCCAGGCACAATCTCCTGGGACCCCTCTGGTCTCCAGAGCCCCATCAGGAGTGACCCCCAAGCACAGAACTTGTCCCCTCCCCCACCAATAAAATTCAGGCATGAAAAGTCTGTGATGGTTTGAGGATACACTCAATGGGAAAGCACACTGATCTGTTTCAGACATGTTTTAAGCTACCTGGAACAATAGAGCCATCAGCATTTTCTAGATTAAAAGTCAAACTAAGTGTCATGCCTAAAATTAGAGTTCTATTTCCTATAAAATACACAGAAAGAAAAACTTTTTTTTTACTGATAATGTAACTAAGGATCCCATTTGTGGCATTACATAAGCGAACTTTTTAAAACTGTCCCATCTTACTGGCCAGCTTAGACCGTAAACTCTAGGGAGTACCAACCTTATCTTTCTCATCACTTATGGTCTGTTTCACTGCCTTCCCTCCAGAGCACTGTGCTCCTTCCTCCACTGAGCTTACCGTGAAGAGGCCACTGTAACTCTTGGTCTTCCAGGAGGGCAGCAGCAGGTAGGAGTCTATTAAGGCAATCGAGAGGCGGCAACAAGTCGAGGAGGTAACTCAACAGAGGCCGCGCCACAGCCACAGGGAGCAACAGGAGGGAGTTAACGATCTGACAGAGCATGCTGCCTGCGGCGGAGACGAATATCACATCTACGAGGGCAAGAAAGCCAACATGGATGCACTGTTCCGACAGCTGAGAAAACCTAGAAATGTGGCTTCAGCTTAGACTAGGGTCCACTAACTCAGTAACTTGACTAAGTCGATTGTGAAAACCTAAACTGGGGAGTATTTAAGTATTTACTTATTTAACGCATTTACTCACTTTCAAAAGGTGCTACCAAGATACTTTGAAAGAAAATAAACATCCTTGTACCAAGATACTCAAGACGACATAATTGTCTCTCTTAAAGCGCACTAGAAATTCCTCATTCACCATTTGTCCTTGGTTCTAGGTTGCTCAAGAAGTATTTAGTGAGTCCCTACAACATAACAGGTACGTACGTTCATGTCAAAGGGACCGAGGAATGAACAAAGAGCTATAAACTCCTGTTCTTGTGGTGCCTGCATCCTAGTGGAGGAAGCTACGTGTTTAAAACAAAGTTTAGTTTAAACAGAAATAAGATCACCTCAAAGTATCTGTCTTTTTATTAACTGCATTGGCTTTAAATCAATTTTATTTAAATATTTTCTTGTACTTTGGAGCAGGGCAGATTCACTCAGAGATGAACTCAGTTTGAAGATGTATTTTTGCTGCCTCTTAAAGAACAGAATGGAGGGAGGTAGCAAGGACCAGTTTTAGCTTCTCAGTACTTGAACTTCAAAGATGACTTGGTTTCGGAGAAACATACTGAGTTGAGTTTTGTGCAAACCGAGAGAAGATGCTCTAGAGAGAACCAGAGACAGGCAGGAGTGATGGGCCGCACGCCCAGCAAGCTGCAGCGTGGGAACACCATGCACGTGGAGGGCAGACAGGGGGCACAGCAGGTCACAGGGGAAAGGAGGGCCGAGGTGAGAGTTCAGAGAATCCCGAGTGTGTCCGAGGGAGAGAGACTTACAGGAAATGACTCTAAGAAACGGTCGGAGAATTAGGAGGAAATATGGTTGTGAGTGCACAGAAGTGTGGGGGCGGGGGGGCGCATTTCAGAGAGAGATGAACATCGGAAAATGCTGAAGAAAAGGGTCAAGAAATTACATAGAAATCTCACTCTATACTAAATTTAAAATGGACCTTTTCTGAGTATTTATTACCCAGTGTCTTACAGTTCGTCTTGTTTCATGCCAGACACTCTTCAGATGAATCTGGCGGGTCAACTATCACCATCAACACAGACCCAGTCAGAGGGTTGTTCACTGGGAAGGAGCCTGAGAGTCAGTCAGGGCTTCTGGGCCCCTGAGGCTTTGGGAGAGCTAATCAAGGACTTAAAACCACTGCTTAAATCTGAAATCCAGTACCAAACACACCTCTTAATTTTTCTCCGACGCTGCCATTCCAAGGACTTTCTTTGAGCAAATTTGCAGAACGTGAATAAATATCTGTGGCATGAGGCAACAAGAGCTGCAGGTGCTTATGGAGCAATGCCACACTGCTTGAGTTCTGAGGGGAAAAAGTTCCTAAATTACTGCTTGGAAAGAGTTCAAGGACAAAACACCATGGCTTACCCCAGCGCCTGGGTTTCGAGATCCTGAGAGACCATGGAGAGACCCAGCAGCACCTACCTCGCTGATGCTATTGATATGGCAGAAGGCCAGCAGCTGCTTCTGCAGCGAGCAGAGCAGCTCGTGGAGGTGAGCGGGCTGGCTGTTCTCGGACGGCGACGCGCCGAGCAAGGACTTGTCACTGTTCTTCTCCAGCTCTCCAAACGCTTGGTCCTGGAATGAGATACAGATGAGGAGTCCATCTGGAGTACTGAGAATGAACGCCAGGTCCTGATCAAATGACCCTCGGAAGCCACCGCTGCTCTCATCCCATCAGCATCCCTGAGCCCTCACTGGGGGGGGCAAAGCATGATATTTATCAAGTGATTCCAGTTTGGTTTCCCATGGACAGAGAAGGCTTCATAACTGTTCTGTTAAGAGAACATCCTTGCTGAGAAACACATATTCTGGAGTGGGCTGGTCTCCATGCCGCAGGGCCCAGCACCACACACCTCAGGTGCAAGCACCAGAACACTAGCTCAAGCATCACCGGGTGTGGGTCCGGGTCTTCGAGCACTGCTGGAGAACGCCCACTCCCAGAACTACACATTTAATACACGAATGCATTCTTGGGGTCTCCACCATGACATCTGCAACTTTCAAATACTTTAGGGAAAAAAACAGAGCAGGGAGGGAGTGAAGGATAGAGAAAAGGATGTTGGGAAGGAATGGGGAGGAGATAGATAAAAAAGCAAAACAAAGCTACAGGCTCTGGGGGAGTTACACAAAGGATTCTGAGAGCCTGTGTTCATATTCAATTATTCAACTTCATAATAATTTTTAAATGTATTTTAGCATTAAAATTTACTAAGACTGTATTTTTTAAAGTCGTGATTAACATTTAGCGAAACAAGTAAAGAAATCACTGGGTTTTTGAAATATTTCTTTCCTGACTTGTTTTGTGATACTGTCATTTAAATGCTTCATTTTCTAGTTCTAAGTTCTCTTTCTAACATACTTATATTCTATTTTTATAAACTTTTAAAATTTAGACATTAGTGCCTAGTGCACATAAAACTGCATTTTCTAAATTAGCCCTCTTTTCTAATAGTCATTGTTTTCCGTTTTCATAATCAACTAAAAATTTAAACTTAAAATTTTAGACTTATATGCCATATATGCTCAGTGTCATATATGTTATAAATTCTATTCCCTGTCTCCTACTTCCAGATATTTCAGCTCACTTTATGATTTTTATTTCTTATAAAGATGATGCAGTGAGCATCTTTATGCAGAGAGGACAGCCTATGTCTACAATACTCGGGAAGAGTCTCCCACACCCTGTCTGTCTGCCTCTCCTGGGCCACACCCAGTGGTGCTGACACCACCCCAGGCCAGTGTGCACTCAGCCCCTCCACTGTCCTGCTGCCTCCTGGAGCATCTCAGGAACTCTGCTCTGGAAGGGCACCAGAGAAAGACTCCTGAGAAGCACTGCTAGGGACTGAGCATCACTATGTTCAGAATCTCATGCTGAAACCTCAGTTCACACACGGTGGTCTCAGGAGAGGGCAGTGGGTGCTGAGGTCCCAGCCGGCTTAGTGCCCTAGAAAGAGGCATGAGAGAAACGCCCAGGGGGGACACACTCAGGACAGGGATGGCTCAAAGTCAGTTCCCAACAGACACAAAATCTGCCTGCAACCTGATCTTCCTCACGCCACCCACTGTGAAAAATAAATTTGCTTATACACAGTCCAGTCGGCATTCAGCTCTTAAGCCCCAAAAGACTAAATCATATACCATTATTTTAAAAATCTCAGAACATGGCAAATTGGGCTTATATATTAAACAACAACCTCTGATTCTGCACCAAAAGCAGTGTTATATTTCCATTTCCATATCATATACACATCTATCTAGACCTAATGATGTAAGATACTACTTTATGCAGTAGCTATTCTTTACAACTTTTCAATAAAAAATAAATGGATAGGGACTGCAGAGACAGTACAGCAGGTAGGGCACGTGCCTTGCATGCAGCTGACCCAATTCCTATCCCAGCATATGGTCCCCAGAGCCCTGCCAGGAGTGATACCTGTGTGCAGAGCCAGCATAACCCCTGAGCACTGCTGGGTGTGGCCAAACAAAGGGTATACAACAACACTGTTTCAAATCTATATGCAATGAAAATATGATAATTCTGTAGGTACAATTGCTGGTCTAAGTCTAAAACAAAAACGAACAGAACAAAATGCTGACCCTTTGTACAGAAAAAAAGTATATACAAGATCTGACCCTAAAGAGGCATGGATATATGAGAAGTCACATATATCAACAATGCAAAGTTAAACTGCACAATCAACTTTGGAAATGACCGAGGGTGTGCAAGTACAATTATAAGATTAGAGGGGATTATATGAATGGGTCCCTAACAGATGCCATCCATGGAACAGATTAAAGATGAGTGCTGGGCAGCCATTTTACCCCCGTGTGCTAAGGTTCTTTGTATTCTGGTCTTGGTTTCTTCTGAGGTGCGGAAGCTATGTGATTCGCTGCCGTCCCATGTAGGTATCTTTCCTCCACTGGCTGGCAGTCATTAGAGAATCATCGTGATGCCTCTAGACCAGTGTCATGAAGGGTTCTGCCTGTTTTCCTCATATGACCTATGGATTCACGTCTAATAGCAAGACCTTTGATCCACTTTGAATTGACTTTTGTGCATAAAGAGATCATCTAAGGTGATTTTTTTCACGTGACTGGTGATTTTTCTCACATTTGTTTGAGAAGCTTCCATGTTCCACTTCATTCCATTTTGTCAAAGATTAGCTGAACCCATAGTTGGAAGCCTGCCTCACTGGGGGGGTGGGGAGGGCGGGGAAGGCAGCTGGAATAGAAAAAGGATCACTAAGAAAATGATAGTTGGAGGGATCAGTCGGGATGGGAGATGCATGCTGAAAGTAGACAAAGGAGCAAGCATGATGACCTCTCAGTACCTGCACTACAAATCATAATGCCCCAAAGTAGAGAGAGATTATGGGGAATATTGTCGGCCATGCAGGCAGGGGGAGGGTGGGAAAGGGGAGGGTATACTGGGGATATTGGTGGCAGGGAATGTGCACTGGTGGAGGACTGGGTGTTTGATCATTTATGATTGTAACTCAAACATGAAGGCTTGTAACTGTATCTCACAGTGATTCAATAAAAAAAAATTTTTTTAATGAATTTAAAAAATCGAAAAAAAAGGAAAAAGATTAGCTGCACATGTACCTGAGGCTGTCTCTGGGCACTCAATTCTCTGTCACTGACCCTTTGTACAGAAAAAAAAGTATATACAAGATCTGACCCTCAAGAGGCATGTATGACAATGAGAATAGTCTGATAGTCTGTTTCTATTCCAGTACCACATTGTTTTGACAACATCAGCTTCCTAGTTCAGTTTTAAGGTGGCAAAAGAGAAGCTTTTCCAACTTCTTTTTTCCCAGATTTGCTTTGGCTCTTTGGGTGTTTTATTACTTTAAAAATTTCAACACCAATTGCTCTATATCCCTAAAAAGAAGTTGTATTTTTATAGGAACTGAATTGAATCTATTACTTTGGGAAAGACTCAGTTTAACAATGCTGCCTTCTGATCCGCAAATAGGGGATGTATTTTCATTTCCTATGTCTTATTTCTTTTAGTACGAACTTGCATTTTTCTTTGTATAAGTCTTTCACCTCTTTTGTTAAGCTGATTTCTAGGTAATTGGTCTTTTGAGGCATAACTGTGAATGGAATTTTTAAAAATTTCTCTCTTCTACGTCACTGTTTGCATATAGAAATGCTATGGATTTCTGTGTGATGATTCTGTAGTGTGAAACTTTACTGTATGAGTTTACTGTCAATAGTTTTTTTAAAACAACAAAATACAAAGTCCATAAAAAAAAAACAGGGAAAAGAGATGAACAGAAACTCCCTTAGAGAAGATATAGAGATGATTAACAGGTATATGGAAAAAAAAATGTTGTTCATCACTTGTCACCAGAGAAAAGCAACTCAATAAAATAATACATAATCTCACATCCATGAAAGTGGTATATGTCTAAAGGGGTAAATAAACCAACCAAAGATGGCTTTGCTGTGGGGAAAAAGGAAGCACCAATCACCGGCAATTTAAGTGTTGGTGGGTTCAGCCTCTTTGGAAATCAATATTGAACACTCGTTAAACAACTAAGAATTAAACTAAGAGTATGACCCAAGGTGGTATGGTGCTACCAGCAGGTCAACCCATACCTGCGGGGTTAGTGCATCAGCAGCCTTCAGATTTTCAGATACCCCAAAATTGCCTCTGTGCCTTTGGCTGGACCCCAACAACTTGGAGACAAGTTTACCAAGAAATTAAATGGCCAAAAGTTAGGTATATGGTAGCCACATCCACAAACCACCTCCAGCTCAGCTATAAAAGCTCATTGATTGGCCTTATTTCAAAAAACCATAAATCTAAAGAGATCTAAAGCTCCAGTTAAGGCCAGCACACCCTGCAGGGCATATGCCAATGTTTCTTTCCTTGGAAAAGATGGAAACAAGGGCCATGATCCAGAGACACACAAAAGAATCTCTGAACCGAGCTGCTCGCTGCAGAGATGCCTCTGGACTTTAAGCCAGGCCAACCTCACCGGGGTACCTCAGACAGGGGCTGGCATCAACCCTCCACCTGCCCCCTAAAAATCCCCAGTGGTTGCCAACTTCCAGAACCTAATGAGAAGTGCAGGTACGTGGGGATTCAATGATGACAAACTCCAGGTCTCAAGGGATAGGGGATGGGCCGGTCCTTCTCATCCCCTCATGGAACTCTGGAGGTCATACCCATAAATTGCCCCCAGCTGCTAGTAAAGCTCCTTAATGGCCATGATCCAGAGACACACAAAAGAATCTCCAAACCGAGAAACTTGCTGCAGAGATTTCTCCAGACCCTAATTACCTAAAATTTTAAATTCCAGGAGTGACTTCTTATGCTATTCATAACAATCCAATACAAAAGAGAGTATGGGGCAGATAGTCTGCCACAGAGAGAGGGGAAAGGGCGGGATGGGAGGGGGGATACTTGGTGGTGGAAGATGTGTACTAGTGGAGGGTTGGATGATCATTGTATGGCTGAAACTCAAACAGGAAAGCTTTGTAACTGTACATTACAGTGATTAAAAATAATAGCAATAAAATAATAGTAAAATAACAACATTCTGAATAAAAAAAAGTAATGTGGAGTTTATGCCCAATTCAATCAGCTTAACCAATGGCTGAATAAATAGCAGTACTCCTATATTAAAAAAAAAAAAATATATATATATATATATGATTCAGCAACTTCACATCTCAGTATCTATCCCAAAGGTTCAAAAACACTCATTTGAAAAGACATTTATTTATGCTCATATGTGTAACCGCATCTCTATGCACGAGAGCCAAGATCTGAAAATCACCCAAGTGTCCCAACACAAATGACTGGATAAAGAAACTGCGGCACATATCCAGTGCTCAGCTACAAAAGAAAATAAAATTTGCCACGATGGGTCGAATAGGAGCACTGTGCTGAGTAAAGTCAGTCAAAAGGAGAGGGAAGACACAAAATAATCTCTCACACGCAGATTACATAGAAATGTAGAAAAACTATAAAGAAATATAAGACGGAGGCCGGCGCCGTTAGTGCAATGGGTAGGGCACCTGCCTTGTACACAGCCAACCAGGTTTGATCCCAAGCACCCCATACGGTCCCCCAAGCACCAACAGGAGCTCAGAGCCAGGAGGAAGCCCTGAGCACTGGCCTGTGTGGCACAAAAATCAAAATACAAACACTTCTAAAAATTAAAAAGTTATGATTCAATAGAAAGAAAAATAAAAGAGTACAATTAGTGTCGGTGGTCATGTGGAGGAAGAGAACCCTACCCACTGCTGGAGGGAACAACATCATGTTCGCCTCCCTGGGAGAAAGTCTGGAGACTTCTAGAACAATTAAGAACTGAGCTTTCCCACTTTCTCCAGCAATTCCACTTCCTGGTACCTACCCCCAATACTGCAAAACTGAAAAAAGAGATGAGATGATTTACAAAAGAGTCACTGGAACAGTCAAATCTAAAGAAAAATAGAAAGAGTGAGCAGCAAATGTGTTCCACATGTACAGACACAGATGGGAATGGAGCAGAAGCCAGACGATGAAGAATCTGAAGAGCTTCAATCCAATACAACAAAGTTATTCTATACAACCAGATTATTACAGCAGTAATGTCCTACAGAGAGATGAGCAACAGTGACAGGGCTAGAACACTGATAACACCTGATGGCTTATACTAGAACCAGTCAAAACGAACAGAAATTAAGAGAGATGGGTAGAAGAGACCCCGGGGTAAGGACGATGGCACTGTAGCACTAGCAAAGCTACAGGACACCTGTGCACTTTCCTGTGGAACAGCCTGTTCTTAATCACTGCCAATCTCACCCCTAACTACTCATCCCTTCCTCATAATTCTTCTCTTGCAAAAGTTTGTTTCTGAATATCTATTCTACGTCAATACCAGGGGGAATATGGCAAAATCCTAAAAGAAGTCTCTGGAATTCTTTGGGCATTGTTGTTATTCGTTTGGGAGCCACACCGGCAGGGGCTCAGCTATCACGCCTGGCTCTGCGCTCAGGGATTACTCCCAGTGGGCTCGGGGACCATATGTAGTGGCGGGGATCGAATCTGGATAGGCCCTGTGGAAGGCAAGTGCCCTGCCCACTGCAGTATGGCTCTGGCCCTGGATTCTAATGGTATGCACTCTGGCAATGTTCAGAAGCGCTTCCACACCTTCCCCTCTGGGGGGAATGGATGATCCAGTTTTGTTTCATAAGTGTTTAAAAATCAAAATAACTTGACCTAAAGTGATCCCGAATATCCCCCACCAAAACAAAACAAAACAAAAGAATGTAAAATTCCAAGTCTTCGTTCACTACAAAACTAAACAGTCAACTTACTGTGTAGAACCCTAAGTTCCTTAGGAGAGTCTTCATCAGGATCTCAGCTAGATGGGTGTCGGGGTGGCCGCCCTGAGTGCCATAGGGTGGGTCCGAGAGGCTGCTGTAGCTGGGGCACGTGGAGGTCAGGTCGGCAGCATCGGACGGGGCACTGTAGCCCAGCAGCGACGCCACATGGGTGTGGTCCTGGAGGCTGGTCAGGATGATGTCCAGCTGCATTCTCTGAGAAAAAGTCCCTCATGAAACAACTCAGAAACATGCTTAAACAAATGACAGAAGAAGATAAAGGCTCCCAGCAGACTCAAAAATACCACAGTGAGGAAAAACAAACTAATCCACTTAATACTGTGTAAACAATGAACTTTATAAAGTATATAATCAAAGGAAGAGCTAACCTATTATTAATTGTGAAAAGGCAACTTAACAGTATTTTATTCCATCTTTTACCACAAGGCATAAAATGCTAGGCTAAAATGGCATTTTCTGCCTAACGATTTTAGTACTTTAAGTAAAGTAGGAGGAAACGCCAACAGATAGATTACACTGTACATTCTTCTATAAAATTACCAACAATAGCTAGTTATTCTAATGTTTACATCACTTGATATCTAAACTAATGCTAAATACTCACTGGAAGGCAATCTAGATACAGTTTTTTGCCCGTAAGTATACTGCCAGCAAGTAACATTTTTTTCCCCTTTAGTCATAACTCTACAATTCATTTTCCTACTTGAGAAATGAATTCATCTAAATGTACGTGAGATTAAATCTAAAGACAGGTATTAAAGATGGAACAAGGCACATCCATAACACCAGATACTTTTTATAGTCATTTTTGAAGTATATAGTTTAGGTAACAAAAGTATTAATATTCATGACAATTTACAAAGTCACTGCACCCCACTACCAGAGTGGACAAGTGCCTCCACCTGTCCCCACATGCCCTCTACTCTGCCTCTTCCTTCCTCTTCCTCTCTCCACTATAACCAACAATCATTTTCTTTGGCTTTCAAGTAAGCAACTGCTAACACACAAATGAAAAAAATGTCCCGGGCATGGAATTAACAGATGTGCATGACCTCTATTTTAACTCAGTACACTACAAATAAACCAAAAGGTCTCTCTTTTGACAGCGTTGCGTCTGCTAAAGCTAAAACTAGTAATAATTTTAATCATTTAATAAATTACCATTGTTGTTTTACCTTCATTAGAAACCTGGGAACTCCCCAGCAGATTACATTAGGCACCAAGATTGACCAGATATACCACCTGAGTATATCACTGTGTAAACCAGATATACCAACTGAGTAAACCTGTGACAACTCGTCAGCTTCAGCTCCTCCTGTGTGGCTTCTGCATGTGTCTGAGGAGAGTGACAGCTGGCTGAACCGTGCAGACACTCACCTGTCCTTTAGACAAGCTTTCCCACCGGTCTGGCCCCTGGGGCAGGAGAGAATGCAGCAATTCCATACGCTCTCGTAGCGGGGGCAGGAGCATGGTTGCGCCCACAGAGAGAGTCTCGATCACCACCTGACACCAGAACACACAACAGAAGAGTCACTGGTTGGCCTGGCTGTTATCTTTCCAGTGGAAACACATGAAAAATCCCTTCATTTACAGGGCCAAGGAAGTCGCAGAAGGCAGTGAAGAACAAAGACTGCAAATTCACTATCAGCTAGCCTTTATTTATTTATTTATTTATTTTTTAATATACGCGTTCAAATTTTTTAATTTATTTTATTTATTGAATCACAGATTTTTTGTGATTCAATAAATAAATAAAATAAAATGAATAAAATTTTAAAAATCTGCGTATGCAGGGACTTAATGCAGAACCCAGCAGTTTGGAGCAGGAAAGTGAACGGACTATGCATTAATCCACGCCATCATGTCTGCCCAGAGGGGAAAGAGTGTTGCTCCCTTCTGCCCTCTCCTCTCGGAAAGAAAGATGGCGGCCGCATGGGAGCCTTGTGGACAGCAGGTATGAGCCGGGGGTGAGGGGGCGACTAAAACCTCATGGGAAGGGGGGCATTTCGGCCCATCCTTCACACCCTACCGAGGTCACCAGTTGCCCCCCACGAGTGGCTCTCTGGCACGGCCATGACTCCAGAGTACAGAAACCAATCTCTTAATTATCTGACTCTCAGTAGAAATACTTCCAGGGTTAATAAGTAAAATAGCAGAAATTCAAACCCGTGCGGCCACTATTGCGGCCGCGCGACATCATTTAATTCTTGAACCCAGCTGTAGAAAGCAAATCATTTCACAATGCTTTTGCAGCATGTCTGATTTGGGGGGGGGGGGTGTAAACTCTAAATAATAATGGTGCAACTTTTATCGAAACAATGGGGCTAGTCAAACTAGATAGAGTATTAACTAGAATTCATCTGCCTCACAGGCATTGGGGGCGGTGGGGGGTGGGGGTTTATTGGGGTTCTTCATGGTGAAAAATAAGTATTGGTAAAGGGAAATGTGATTGATATTTGCATGACCAAGACCTAAACCTGAAAGCTTTGTAACTTTTCCCACAGCGATTCAATAAATAAATAAATTATTTAAAAAAATCTGTGTATGTCTTAATTGATGCATTTATACTGACAGACTCTAACTCAAAGCTAAGAGAGGATAGCAACATACAAAAAAAGAACAAAATGGATATCTATCTAATGTCATTTATAAAAATCAATTGGAAATTAGTTTAGGACTTGAATGTAAGACTTGGACTCATAAACTTCTTAGAAGAAAACATAGGAATTGATATCCCTGCCAGTAGTCATATAAGTAATATTTATTTGGGCCAGAAGCAAAGGCAGCAAAAGCAAAGCCAAAATGATGAATATACATCAAAACAAAAATGTTTTCAGAAAAAATAAAGTATCAACAAAAATGAAATCAAAGACAGTCTCTGGAATGGGAGAAAATATTTACAAATTGTATATCCAACAGTGAATAATCTCCAAAATGTACAAGACAATCCTATTACTTAATATCAAAACCATAATAAAACAACACACATGCACTTATACAGTTTTAAAATAGGTCAAGGACAATAATAAACATTCTAGAGAGGATACATAATAGTAGATAGGTACATGAAAGGTGTACAAAATCACTAAGCATCAGGAAAACGCAAATCAGAACCATAATGAAAGATTACTGTGCGCCTCCTAGGTTGCCTATTTTTAAAAGAAAAATGATAACAATTGCTGGAGAAGTAGAGGAAAAATGAACAGTATGCTGCTGTTGAGAATGTTAATTCCAGCATCAATCTTGGCAACAAGTATGGAAGTTCTGTACTAAGCTAAGACTACAAAGAAACAGGTGTTTGATCAACGGGCCCCAGTGCATACCTTGCATGTGTAAAGTTGAAGTTCCATCCCCAACACTGAATTCCTCTCCTTGCACCACTTGGGGCAAACTGGTGGTTTCCAAACACAGCTGAGGAGGCCTCCCCCAAATACAATTAGATATAGCAGTCATATAATTGAAGTTGCATTTATAGTATGATTCAAAGGGAATGAAATAGCTACATCAAAGATACCTATATCCTCATCTTCATAACAAATTATTATTCATAAAAGCCAAAGTATGGAAGAAACCTAAGGGTTTGTCAATGGATAAACTAATAACTGTGATGCACATATATATACATACACAAATGCAAAGGAATCAGTCTTTTAAAAATGTAGAAAATAGTATAATTTGCAAAAATATAGAAGAGCATAGGGGCATTATGTTTAGGGAATTGAGCACAAAAAAAAAGAAATACAAATACTTCATGATCTCAGTTTAAATAGATAAGATATTAAAAAGTCAAGAAGAGCTTGTAACTAAAAAAAGAGGTTTCCTTTGGGTGAGGGAATTGAAAAGAGAGGAAAGAAGAATGAAGTATACTTCCTTTTGGTTATAAAATCAATTATGACCTGAAAATCTAGTATATAGTAGTTACTGTATATGCAGCAGTAGGGCATTTGCCTTGCGCGCACTGGCCCGGCCGAGCCAGATTCAATTCCTCCGCCCCTCCCCCCCCCAGTAAGCTACCAAGAGTATCTCACCCCCACGGCACAGCCTGGCAAGCTACCCATGACATATTCGAGATGCCAAACACAGTAACAACAAGTCTCAAAATGAAGACATTACCGGGCCCGCTCGAGCAAATCGATGAACAATGGGAGGACAGTGCTACAGTGCTATATTGAATCACTGTGAGGACAGTTACAAAACTTTCATGTTTAAGTCTCGGTCAAACGATGATCAAACACCCATCCCTTCACCAGTGCACACTGTCCACCACCAAGAATCCCAGTATATCCCCCATCTCACCCCTCCCCCTGACTGTCTGGCAGATGATTTCCACTTTACTCTCTCTCTCTACTTTGATTACATTCAATATTTCGACAAAAGACCCACCATTATTATTTGAAATTTTCCCCCAACAATCAGACCTGCCGAAAAGGCTTCATTAGATAATTTGTTTTCTATTTCTAATTATGAAGAGCATTTGGATTTCTGGTATTTTACTAATTAAATCTGGAGGGATTTTTGCCAGAAGCTGCTGGGTTCCGAGATTGGTTTGTGTGCCTCTGGAATCATGGCCATTCAGGAGCCAGAGGAGCCATTCGTGGGCGGCAACTTGGGATCTCATTGGGGGGTGGGGGGTGGAGGGAAGGATCAGTTCCACCCCCTATCCCATGAGGCCTCACGTGTCTCGTCACTGCAAGCTCGTACCTGGCTGTCCAACAGGCTCTGAAAGATGGTGGCCACCTTGCTGCTGGGGGGAAAAGGCAGGAGGGACAATGCCATTTCCCACCCGGGGTGGCACAGTGCCTTAGCTTAATGCACAGTCCAGACTCATTTCTGCCAAGAGCCGCTGGATTCCGAGATTGGTTTGTGTGCCTCTGGGATCATGGGCGTTCAGGACCAAAGGAGCCATTTGTGGGCAGCAACTAGGGATCCTGTCAGGGCCTCGACTAGCCTTTAGGAGATATAATTTAGATCTGCCACTGGGCAGCTAATCACCACCTGATCAATTTTTAGCAATGACCCTACCATATTGGGCCGGTAAGATGATAAAGTACTACAGATGCAGAAGAGAACATAACGGGTGGAAGCACTGCACTCACGAGTTCAGCCTACTGGGAAAGGCAGGCCTGGCCTTAAGAAGTGAATGTCAGGGTCACAGGGGAAGAAAGACTCTGGCCCCCGTGCCATGGGCATTCCAGCACTGCCCGTGTGACCTGGAGCAACCTGACACCACACAGGCTGCAGCACTGCATCCTTGGGCCCCTGCACTGCACTGAGTACTCCCTATGCTCCTGAGCACTGAACAAAGGGTTTACATCAGGAAAATAAAAGGAAATGAAAACCTGAGTGAGTTCAGACACAGCAATGAAAACCAAGGAGGCAGGGCAGTAACTCAGAGGCGTGAAAGTATGCCCTGCGAGTGGGACACCCCAGGCTGATGATCCCTGACAGTGTGAGCTGGAAACGGGCCTGGCGGTCACTGAACCCAAGCGGCACCACAGCAGCACCGCTGGGAAAGGCCCTCATTGATAAATATCAGAGAGATGGATGGGTGGGGTGGCATGACAGAACAGCAGCACTCCGTCCATCATCCCAGGTTCTCGGGGCCTCAGAAGTGACATGAGACAGCTGAACTAGATAAGCTTCCCAGTCTTTTCCAGTTCTAACACTTAACATTTCTAATTTTTTTAATTACTATAATTTAAAATGTCAAATTCTTTTTATTAGTGAGGGTCAAAGTAAGAATCAGGGGTTAAGGTGCCTATCTTGGAAGTGGCTGACCTGGTTCAATTCCAAGCACTGCACGTGGTCCCTGAGCGCTGCCAGGAGTGAGCCCAGAGCACAGAGCCCTGAGCATGGCAGGGTACGGCCCACTCCACCTTTCCCCAAAGACTAATGACTATTTCTTTGGAAAGGGCTGTCTCTTAAACCGAAAGTTTAAGAAAAGCCAAAAGGAAAAAAAAAAAGACACTGGATTTTCTAAGACTCCAGAACATCTGTCCAGATGGACAAAGAGAAGTTGAAATAGAAAGATTGGTTACAAACTGGTCACAGTGACAAGCACAAACTACACACGAGGACTTCAGGAGGAAGGTCTGCTATGAATGCTGAGCCTCGGTTTCTCTTCTCACCAGGCTTCCCCGGAGGGAGGCAGGAAGCCTCCGTGGGTAGAGTGCAGCCAGGCTGTGAAAGGCGCCAGGCTACCACACTTGTACAGAGCATCACCCCACAGTGGAGCTGGGGACCCCAGTCACAGGCACAAATGCTCAGTCCCACTTTCTATGTCACATATTAAATGAGCAAGACGTAGCACTCAGGACTCCTTAAAACTCTGAGTAGAATGGTGTAAGACGGAGACTAAAACTAAGATAACTTATCTGCAATTACATAGGATAAAATGAAACTTAAGAACAAAATGAAACGTCTCCAAAAAGATAGAATAAGAAATCGGAACAAGATGACCTCAGATTGAAAACTGTTCTAAACATATTACAGGGTCCAGGCAGCACCTGGGCTGAGGGTCTCGAGGCAGGAGTGAACCTCTCGTGGAGGGAAGAGGAGAATAAGGAGGAGAGATGTGACAACGGACAAGGTGGCTCAGGGGAACAAGCACCCCACTGACTAGAACTTGGGGAGGCGGCAGAAAGTGATGAAGAAGAAATCAACAATAAACCTCAAGATACTGTCTTAAAAATAAAGCAAATGAGTTTCTAAAACAAATTTCTTCACCCAAATTTCCACCATGTGGATAAAAATCAGACCCAAATCAGTTTTCATCATTTTGAAATTTGAGAACAAGGACAAGAACTTGCTATAGGGGCTTGAGCAATAGAACAGCAGGGAGGGCACTGTTTGCCTTGCACACGGCCAACCCAGGTTCAATTCACAGCACTCCATATGGTCCCCTGAGCACTGCCATGAGTAATTCCTGAGCAGAGAGAGCCAGGAGTAACCCCTGTGCATTGCCGGGTGTGACCCAAAAAGCAAAAAAAAAAAAAAAAAAACTTGCTAAGAAGCTGGAAAGACACAGTCCTATACAAAGATCAAACCTTGAGGGCATTCTGAGTAAAAACACTGAGAATTACGGAACAATGACTTAGCAATTTTCTGGGAAGATAGAAATTCTATAAGAATATTCAATTCACAAAGTGCAAATACATTCTCAGAGAATACATTGTCTCTCAAACCTTTTCTCAGAAGCTACCGATGGACACAGAGACACGGCAGAGACCATCATAACTGTTCACAGTCAAGATCCTGAGCACTAAGCACATCTGTACCATGAGCTGATGGTATATCACTGTGTGTCTGTGGTATTCCTACCCAAAATGGATGATGTCAATTTACTCTAGAGAAACAGCAAAGTCTGCAAAGCAGCTGACAGGACTGTTGAAATGCCTAGGTCATGTAATGTAAGGAAAAGGATGACAGGGACATGGAATGCAAGAAACTAAAGAAATTAAAGAAACCTGGTTGGTTAAGTGTGATGTGAGCCCTGAACAGAAGCTGCAGAAGAACATGGAATCGGTGCAAAATTGACAAAGAACATAGTAAAATGTTTTAATTAACAGTATCTAATACTAGTTTCTTACTTTGGATAACTGCACTTGCAGCCATGTAAGGTTTAAGCATTAATAGAAGCTGGGAGAAAGATACATGAAAAAACTATTAATGCAACTTTCCACAAGTCTACATTTAGTTCAGAGTAAGGTACTGAACCTGGGATGTTTCACTGGCTGGAGTCACAAATTGCATGCAGGAGGCTCAGTATGATCCCTGGCACTACATCGGTCCCCAGAGGTGGCCCCCAAACAAACCAAAAAAGAAGCAAAAAAGAACAAAAGTCATTGAAAGGCCAAGGAAAACAGAGGGCAAGCAAAAAAAAAAAAGTCACCTACAAAACTAACTGCTGCACATAAATTATTAGAAGTTTTGGGGATTAAAGAAAAATAAAAATGAGAGGAACAGGGCAGGAGTGATAGTATAGAGAGGAAGAGGGTACTTGCCTGGCATGCAGCTGGTCTGGGTCTGATTCCCAGTACCCCATATGTTCCCTGTGCCCACCAGCTGGGATCCCTGAGCACAGAGCCAGGAGTGGCCCTGAGCAAACACATGTGGCCCCCCAAACAAGAAGGAAAAGAGGAACAGAAGAGCCCTAACCAGAAACAGCCCCATCTCTGCCCTGTGGGAGAACCCATCCCTTGGAGCTGCTGAGATGCCAAGGCTATGACGTGACTCCAGGGATAAACAGGGGATGCTAAAGATGAGGTTTTCCAATAGTTCTCATCTTGACTTTCCAACCTGTCCAGTAGGCCAGGCCCAGTCATCCCTGAGCCTTGACAACTTCCCATCTTTCCCTGGAAAATCAGCAACTCGGAGCTAGCAGACAATGGGGTCAGCCACCAGGCCACTCAATGTCAAGGGCCAGGGGAAGCTGGGCCAGCTACCTGGCCACTCTGTGTGCAAGGCCAGGGGACAACTGGGCCATGTGAAGCTGGCAGACAGGCAGCTGGCAGACAGGCAGGCTTCCAGCAAAGCTGGGATATAGCTCCATGACTAAGACCCACCCCATCCATCTGAGTCCACGGCTGTCCTGAGGGGAACGGCCTCCAGAAGCTGGCCAGGCAAATGGTGGCCACTGTCTCTGTGGTTCAGCTGCCCTCATCTCCATACTCTGAATGTCCAGCGTCCATCCCCATGTAACAGTGACTATGGCCCAAGGCCAGGCTGACCTTTCCCTAGAGAAGGTTCTGAGGTAGGACAGGGGAGGTGCCGGGTCTGCCTGCTCTTGCCCCCTCCCCTGGTCCCTTTGTTCCATGTAGAAAGTTGGTTGTGGTGCTGGAGTGAGAATGTGGCAGACACTGGGTCCCTGCCTGCCTCACCCCAAGGAGGGGCTCTGCCCACTGTGTGTCGCCATCACCAACACCAGCATTCAGGCCCTGCTTCCCCAGCAACAGAAATGGAACATATACATATGTACATATATTTATATGAACTCTATCATTTTTTAAAATATTAAGTCCTCCAAGTCTCTTTTCTGGCCAGCTAATGTTCATTCTAGTTTTCTCCCAGGGATTATGTTCTTCCCATTGAAACACATCACATAATTTTTGCTCTTTAGAAGAACTGCATATAGTTCACAGAAGTCACCATCTGAAAGCATCAGGATCTAACACACTCACAGTTGTGCAAACATCACCACTATCTGCTTTTAGGACATTTTCGTCACCTCAAAAAGGAACTGGATTCATCCAGAGTCACTCCCATTTCTCTCCCAGACAACAAGGGAGTGCACTTTCTAGGGCTTGGCCAGCCCCTCGCATCTCACATCTATGACACCATGTGACGTGGTCTCTGAGCCTCTCTCACTTGCAGGCTAACAAGCCCAGCCACACTGCAGCCTTCCTCGGCACTCTGCCCCTTTGATGACTCAGTTACATTCCCGTATGAGGACGGCACTTGTTCTGTTCCTCAGGTCAGGGACCATTTCTCTCCACTTAGCCATCCAGAACAACGCTGCTAGCAGCTCTCTGTTCGGCACCGTGTGGCCGTGCTCTACAGACCAGGCTGTGGGGCCAGCTCTGTGTAACGGTCACTCTTCTGTTTAGCCGTTCCTGTAAGCAGGTGTGAGGCTCCAGTTTCTGTCTCCCACCCACATTTATACTGCCGCTCTGAACAGAGCTGTCCAGCGAGTGGAGAGCAGTGTCACAGCGGGATCTGGACTGACACCCCCCATGGCCACCAGGGCTGCCAGCACTGTTCCTATGAAGCAGACCCTACGCACATTACCTCTGCAGACCTCCGTGCAGATTCCTGGGTCACTGTCAGTTTTGGGGGGCGGCTTCCAAGTATGCTCAGGGTGACAGGGTCAGGGGTACCAGCAGTACTGAAGGGTTGGATCATTTTTTAAATTTGGTTACTTATCTCTTTTTTTTTTTTTTTTTTGCTTTTTGGGTCACACCTAGTGATGCACAGGGGTTACTCCTGGCTCTGCACTCAGGAATTACTCCTGGCGGTGCTCAAGGGACCATATGGGATGCTGGGAATTGAACCCAGGTCGGCCGCGTGCAAGGCAAATGCCCTACCTGCTGTGCTATTGCTTCAGCCCAGTTACTTGTCTCTTTAATTGTTGAGTTATGGGATTCTTGATCTATTCTTTATGTAGTCTAAATCTAGACTCTTATCAGAAGTATTATTTCTAAGTATTTTCCCGATCAGTGACACATGATCTCATTTTCTTAATAAAGTTCTCTGAAGCACAAATGCTTTTAATTTTGGAAAAGCCCAATATTTCTCTTTGTGTCTACTTCTGGTGTCATATCTAAGAAGTGATTGTCTAATCCGGCTCCGGAAGACTGAAGACAAGTGGCTGCACATGATATGATGTGTGGGTATATGTGAAACATTATCTGACCTATTCTGACATATTCTAGAGTATTGATGAATCTCACAAACATCATGTTAATGCAATCAGCCAGTCATGAAAAGGAAAGCAGTGCACAACTGCCCTTAAATGCCACCTACAATGCCAGAGGGGGCAGAATGGTGACAGCACATGATGACCCTCCTGAGTTCACCTCCAATGCCCCAGAGGGCAGGTGGCAGGCCCTGGAGACTGCAGAAAGGAGTGGGCGGCCATGCAATTTATCCTAAACGCAATGTACTTAAAGCAGCACAGACTTAAAAATGGTTAAGATGATAAATTTTGCTATATATCTTTTCCCACAACAAAAAAACTTAAAATGAAACTGGGTGGGTCCTTACACTCAAGAATTCAGCTCGTGGAAGAGAGAGACACATTTATGAACAGACCAGTGGGTACAGATGCAAGAAGAAACTCCACCTGGCTTCCAGAAGGCCCGGAAATGGAAGATTCCACAGGCATTCGCAACATCACCTCTGTCCTAAAGGACGTTTCATTTATTTCCATCAGAAAAGAGGAAAATACTCCACTGAAGCTTTCTGTGTATAATTAAATTGATGAGCCACCACCACAGGGGAGGAAATGGCCTGAAAGACAGGGCACTGCATGCTGCGTCTCACCTCCTGGATCTCATCCGGGACAGTCGAGTCCATCAGTCTGAACAGCAGATTCCGCAGTGGCCCGGCCTGTCTCCCAAGGATGCTGGTGGCAACACCTCCGGCCAGTGCCAGTGCCAGATGATTTGACAGCAGCTTCAGACACAGCTTGAGGAAATTGTGGTGCTCCCTGAAACCCAAAAGAGCCATCGGTGATGGAGTATAGAAACTGTGGTGCTCCCAAAACACAATGGAGGCCTCTATATTGGGGGAACATAGAAGCATGTGCTATCCAGTTAGAGAAACATTTTCTTTTGATAAAAATTCTGAACAACACTAATTTTTAAATGTGATTTATGAAATTTTGGAAAACTTTTCTAAAGCTTATTATCAATAAATACCCAAGTTTAATTTATTTTTAGATTATAAATATATACATATATAAATGCACACACACACATATATAACATTTTTTCTTTTTGAGTCACACCTGGTAATGCTCAGAGGTCACTACTGGCTCAGCACTCGGGAATTACTCCTGGCAGGGCTTGAAGGACTATATGGGATGCCAGAGATTGAAGACAAGCACCCTACCTGCTGGATTGTTGCTCTGGGCCCTTTTATAGATTAAAGAAATTTTCTATAACTGGGAGGTGATAGAGGGAAAGAGAACTAAAAATAGTGAATCAAAGTCAAAGCACTCAGCAGACACAGAGACGGAACCTACCTTGAGGACGGGAAAGGGAGTGGGGGCACGTCGCTGTTGATCCTGTCGCAGTACCTCTCGAGGAAAGAGCGGAGGTGGGAGAAGGTGCTCTCCTCAAGGTCCACGCAGTAAGGGCGGTGCCACGCGACCACTTGTCTGGGAGAACACACCCGAGAGTCAGGAAATCTCTACCCATAATCAAACACAGAAGCTTAAAAATCACTTCCACAAGACACACAGAAGACTCTTGACTCCAGCAATTCCAGAAAAACAAACATCAGCCCCCTAGGAGCTCTCCGAGAAGAAAGCATCCCAGAAGCTGCAGAGAGCAACAGCGCAGAGCTACTCAGGGGCAACTCCTGGTGGCCAATGCCATTACAGCAGAAGTGAAAACATTAACAACTCCGAAAATGTCCAGAAGGGCACTCTGTGAACCAAGTACAGGAATGTTTGTTTCTATGGCTGCTCTGCTGTCACTAGCGATGGCAGAGAGGGGGCACACCTGGCTGTGCTCAGGGACCACGCTTTGAGCCATTTCCTGGCCTCAAACCTAAGAATTTTGTTTGTTTTTGTTTGGGGCCACAACTTGTGGTGATAAGGGAGGGGTCACTTCGAGAGAAGCCATCAGGGGACTGTATGGCGCTGAGTTCAAACCCGGCCTCCCCTATGCAGAGCACAGAGGTGACCCTGCGTGGCGCATCCCTAAGCCTCAGCCTTCTCACCTGTCCCGAGGAAGAGCTGTCCACGCCAGGCTGTGGGAGGTGCCCGCCGAGATCTGCTGAATAGCTATGCCATCCAAACCGCTGACCTTTTTGGGCTTCGTAATGGGACCTGTGGAATTTCCTTGGCCACACTGCCCCATGGAGTTATTGCCCCATGCATATACTTCGTTATCTAAAATCAAAACATCAAAAGCAAAAGGCTAATTACAATGCTGCCCCATAGTGATTTTGTTATAACTGTAATTACCACATTGTAATATTTCTGGAATGTAACAATGCCATTTCAAAAACCAGTGGCCTTACCGTGCGACAGAGCCAAACAGTGACTGTCTCCAATGGAGATGTCCACGACCCTGGTGGCGGCTAGCTCCTCCACGAGCTTGGGCCGCAAGGCGGTCGCTTCAGAGGAACCACAGCCGAGACACGCTCCGCAGCCCCAGGCATAGACCTGAAACCAAACACACGCACTTAACGTCGGTGCCCACGAGGACCAGTGTCCACTGCACACAGGTGACCTGTACCACAGGGATGAGTGTCCATTGCGCGAGGGTGACGTGCATCTCGGGGATGAGTGTCCACGGCGTGAGGGTGGCCTGTACCACGGGGATGAATGTCCAGTGCGCGAGGGTGACCTGATATCAAATGACTTCTTCATTGTTGAAAACCTTACTTTTTTTCATCATTTAAGATTTTGCTTTTTCCACTGAAGAAGCCTGTGTTCTCTCTTACATGTATCTCTCTATCCTCATGAGTTCCTACATTTCTTTCAATAAAAGTTAACTGCCTTCACTCAAAAATGTTTAAAAAGTGAAATATTTTCATACAGACTAATCATGCTATTTATTTAATTTGGGATTTTTCTGTGTGTGTGTGTGTGTGTGTGTGTGTGTGTGTGTGTGTGTTTTGGGGAGGGGGGAACATCAGCATTACTCAGGGTTTACTCCTGGTTCTGTGCCTGGGAGGGTCTGATATTTTGTTGGGGATCAAACCATGGCTGGTCACTGGCAAGGCAAACACCTTATGCCGGTACTCAAATCTTAGGACTCTGAAAACACTGATACTATCCTGAAACTTCACCTTCACTTGCTTCTGCTGTGAAGGTCTCAACAAATATTTCTTGGCTTAATAAACCAAGCTGTTAATCATACAAAATGAGTTAAGTAAATCATACAAATACTCATAATTTAGGGCTGGAGCGATAGCACAGCGGTAGGGCGTTTGCCTTGCACGCAGCCAACATGGCCGACCCGAGTTCGATTCCTCCGCCCCTCTCGGAGAGCCCGGCAAGCTACCGAGAGTATTCGATATGCCAGACACAGTAACAACAAAGTCTCCAATGGAGACGGTACTGGGCCCGCTCGAGCAAATCGATGATCAACGGGAGGGCCTTTACTTTACTTACTTACTCATAATTTATTAAAAACTGCTGTTTTGCTGTTTCAATCACTTTAATTATTACTTACAAAGAATGTGAGGAAGTAGTCAAGATAGTTCTGTGGGGCCAGAGATGTGGACCAGTGCCTTGTATACATGAGCGCCACACTCTGTGGTGTTGCAAAGAATAAAACGTTCTCTCCAAATATCTTTTGTTGACTAACAGTCAAAACCCAGTGTGAGTTAAGGTCCTTGAGGGAACAGGGAGTGAAGAGAAGAAGCTAATATTGCAAATATGGCATCCCAAATGACAGCAAACTGGCTAACAAATCTCTTTCTCTTTCATTGCGTTTTCATAATACCATATAGACTCTCATCCTTATGCTAGCCTGGATTATTTCAGTAAAGACTACCAATAAGTAATCCTTCAAAAAAACTAATTAACTGGCATCAGTTACTGGAGAATTTAAGTAAAAAATGCAACAAATTCCAGAGGCTCATTTTGGGGGGACTAGAAGTAAAAGACAAAAAGGGGAAAAATTACATAGTCAAAGTTATCCCTGAAAATCTCCTAAATAATTCATCAAAAAAAAAAGTACAAATATTACTTATCATTTGAGAGCAGGAATTTGCTCCTGTGGTCTGCTTCTGCAGACCAAAAAACATGTGACTCATACTGAGGTGCCATTTTGTATATAAAAATATTAAAATGTATTTTCCAGCTCACACTTGTTACGAGAAGTTAAAACAGAAACAGACAGTGAAAAGACAGTGAAAGGAGACTTTCATTCACTCTCAGCATAATGGGGAGTAGAACCACCCAAAACCTTGAAAAGTATTTCTCTAAATGTTTTCGGAGAACTTTTATTTGATATCTCATTATTTTGTGAATTCGTAAGACAATGATTCTACATAACAAATACCACTTCCTTTGGAATTCCGTGCAATGAGCTTAGTAGACAATGACTAAGCTTAGACTAAGACAATGAAAAGTCAATTTGGCCATTCACAGACACTTCCCTCCCCCCACTGAACCTGTGATTTACATTACTGCTACAGTAAACAGGTGGCATGTTCTGACTTTAACGCAAAGGCTCTTACCAAAAGATCCGTAGTAAGAAAAATGTAAAAGAGAATTTTTAAAAAATATTTTTTAGCTCCATTTGGGGGCCAAACCCAACAGTGCTCAGAGTTCACTCCTGGGAGTGCTCAGAGAGTCAGCCATGCCAGGGTGGGGCCCAGAGCTGTCCCCTACATGCATACATTTTGGCCCTTACCAGAAACAATTTTACAAGAAAGCCTGGCACATAATGCAAGGGAATGAGTGCTCGCTCACTTCTTCACTGTCATCACTAACAGAAACAAGAGGGAAAGGATTCTGTCAGCATCAGGACTCTCTGGGTCATCAACAACCAAACAGCAGGAAATAAAATATGCATGTCACAAGCTCCAAGGGTCCAAGTGTCCTAAGCTCAATTAAACCTTCTTTGCCCCATAATGCAGCCCTCTCAGATTTCTGACACGAAACGCTTTGCTCTCAATCATCTGCTTGCCTTTTTCACTCATATAAATGGCTCCAACAAGTCTTGCTTTCCCTCTCACCAGCCATGGTTTTAGGAGTAAAAGTTTCATGAAATCATCTTAACACAGAGAAACGGGGATGAGAAAGCGTGATCATGGGTCACACAGAACAAATCAGAAAACCTTATTCCTTCTCAGGTACTCCCCGAGGGAACACTTCATTTCAGGAAGTCGTCTTTAAAACTGATTTACAGGGCCTGGGGGATGGCTCCCATCTGCCTGTGTGAGGCCTCAAGTCTAGTTCCCAATCCCACGCCCACAGGCAGGCACAGTCCCAGGAATCCTGCTGTCTGTGACCAGGAGCCTGACCCGTGGCCTTACTCAGCCCTGCGACGCAGTGACGGCCAGGGAACACAAGCAGGTGCTCGGGGCCAGGCAGCACCAGGGACCCAACTCAGAATCTTGGCAACGCCAGTGCACACCCAACCCCCCGCGGTGGCTGTGACATCACCGAGTCCCCTGCAGGGCTCCCGTGTCCCTGCCCGGCCTGGTCCTACCTGACCCGTGGACGTCAAAGCGAGGGACGACTGGCTGCCGGCGCAGACCTTGCGGACGAACATGCCCTGCAGGGCCTCGACGACCTTTGGCTTGTACACTCTGTTGGTGTCCCCGTGGCCAAGCTTGCCTGAAATACAGCAATGACATCAAATAAACACGCATTCCAAAGGCTCTCTCTGCTTTCTAATTAAAAAAATCAAAGGCCAAAGCCCCCGATGACCTTGCCGTACCATTGTCGCCCCCTCCGAAAGACCACACAGTCCGCCCATCCTTCGACAGAGCGATCGTGTGTGAGCTGCCGCAGGACACCTCCCCGACGTTGCTGATGTCCTTCACCAACGTGGGGATGTTCCGGCTGTTGCTGTCACCGTGACCTAGAGCCAAAATATCACAACAAAGCATGTCAGCCTTTCGTAGGCCATTGCTTCACGGAGGGACAAACACCGAAAGTCGATGTTAAAATCAAGACGTTTAGTAAGTGCCGTAAATTGGAAAACAATAATGTCTAATATTATCTCCAGTCTTCTAGGCTATTCCCAAACGAGGTGGCCAGTCCCTTCCACAAACCATTTGCTCATTCTGGTGTGCCCCCACGGTGTTCACACTGGCTCATTCTGGTGTGCCCCCACAGTGCTCACATTGGCTCATTCTGATGTACCACTCTCACAGTGCTCACACTGACTCATTCTGGTCTATCCTCCTCACAGTGCTCACATAATGCCAACTTGTTTCCAAACGCACTAGCTTACGTACTTCAGGATCAAGGCCATTGTCCTTCCCTGAAATCATGCTCTGCCTGCTAGAGAAGGGCGCTCAGTATATGCCGGCTAGATTCAATTACAATTTAAGAGAAACACCAGAATCTAGATCATCTCTCCATACAATGATCTTCCTCTGAGCTTAAACTGAACAACATTAATGCTTGACCTGTTATAGTCCCAGTGCTTCTCAGTTAAGCACTGCCACTTCTATTTTTCTGTAAGAGTAATTTCGATCTCTAAGCAGGCTTACCCAGTCTTCCGAAGTCTCCTTCGCCCCAGGTGTACAATTCCCCATCCTCCGTGACGGCCGCGCTGTGTCTGTATCCAGCTGACACACAGACAACTACCTACATTGCACAAAAAGGGAGCTTGTTGCACACAGACTGGAACACAAAGAGTCTCGCACCATACAGACCCGCAGACACTCAATATTTAGGGTCCACTTAGGAACTGCCCAGCAGAGTTGGTGAGTTTATGCCCAGGATAAGAGGACCTGGCCAGGGGCTGGAGCGATAGCACAGCGGGTAGGGTGTTTGCCTTGCACGCAGCCAACATGGTCGACCCAGATTCGATTCCCAGCATCCCATATGGTCCCCCGAGCACTGCCAGGAGTGATTCCTGAGTGCATGACCCAGGAGTGACCCCTGAGCATCGCAGGGTGTGACCCAAAAAAAAGCAAAAAAAAAAAAAAAAAAAGAGGACCTGGCCAGAGAGTTCAGTAAGTGTGAGACAGGGCCTCTGCTAGGCAAGACACAGGGGAAAGAAGAACTTTAATTCACACAGTTTTAAGTTTACAGGCATCCTTTCCATTTACAGCAGGCATTCTGAACACTGTCAAGAATACTAAACAAGTCTTTATTCAGAGAAGAAGATGGATAAACATTCAGGGAACAAGTGATTTTTAAATATATTAATATAAATAAATCCTCTATAAGCTTTCAAGAAAAACGTTACATAATTGGGGTAAGTCTCAAAAAGATACCAAAACAAAATTTTTAAAAAAGATATTAATACAAAATAGATAAGCAGTAAAAGTAACCTCCTAGTATTAGACTCCTAATAGTATCCTTTACTTGCAAATAACTACAATGTCTAGACTCAGAGGAACAGGGATATATTGCAACATAGTTTGAAGACCACTCATACCGGATCAAAATAAATGATGACTGAAAAAAATACACACAGAAAAAAGAAAGCTATCAATAACTCCATGTCTTTTTAATATGAAAAAAATAAAGCTCACTTTGAAAAATCAAAATTTAGACTTAAACAAAAATATTGAGGGGCCAGAGTGATAGCACAGTGGGTAGGGCGTTGCACGCAGCTGACCTAGGTTCAATTTCCAGCACCCTATATGGTCCCCCAAGCACCGCCAGGAGTAATTACTGAGTGCAGAGCCAGGAATAACCACTGAGAAACGCTGGGTGTGACCCAAGAAGAAAAAAATAATAATAATAAAATAAATAAAAACATTGAGCATCAGGCAGTCATTAACACAAATTGCCCCTGGTGCAATGTGGCTCATTCACCAACCATGGTCCAAAGAGTCATAAATAAATCTCGAAAGCAACAAGTTGCAGAGAATCTTCTGGAACCTGCATAAGGCTGAGTCATCTGGAGCACCCTGAAGGGGGCAGGTGAGCCCAGCGCCTGCCCAAACAGAGCCCCAGCAGCTGAAACTCTCCAGACTCCATAACTGCCACCATGTAAGGTCCTTCTTGGCAGGACTCTGCTGCTTGGAACGAGCCTCATCTAGAAATTAATCTACTGAAAAACTCAGGTATGTGGGTCTGGTGACTGAAATCTCCAGGCTTTCACGGAGTCGGGGATGGGCTATGTCCCCCCCAACTCCCTGTACTTCCAGAAGTCATGCACACACCCCAAATCCACCACCCAGATGAAAATTTAACTCGATCTGAATCACCCCATTAAAAATGTTAGACTTCCTAGAGCCCATGGCCGCACTTGTAGAAGGGCAACACTTCAAACTCTACAACACTGATAAACCAGGGGTAGCATACCAAATTGAAAGGGATATAATGTAGAAAACATCCCATCTAGATTAACAAAATATCAACACAGAAGGCTTAACCTGTAACATCTTTGTAACAGCTGAATAGCTCCAATGGCCATATACAACAATCTTCACTAACTTTCTTCTGAGGAAACTGTTTTTGAGCATTGGTTTAGCAAATTATAGCAAGCAATGTAAAAGAAATTACTGAGGGCCTGCTATGGGGGCTGGCTTAAGGGGTGGCTGGGAAAACTAGAGATAATGGTGGTGGGAAGGTGCATGGTGATGGGATTGGTGTTGGGATACTGAGTATCTGTAACAAATCATGAACAACTTTGTAAACCACTGAATTCATATACAGTATAAGAGGGAAATAAAATTTTAGAAATAAATAACCCCACTTCCCCCAAAAATAAACAAAATAGTGAGCATCAGAGCTGTTCTCCAAGCCTGCATTCTCCCCTGAACACACACCATACTTGCTAATCTCTATATCTGTTTGTCTGTTTCCACTGTGGAGAAGCCCATATGTTCTCTCTTGAATACACACTTCTCGCTTTCCCTCCCCTCACATCTTTCTAAATGAGTTTCAATTGAAACTATCTAGCTTCCCAAAACAAACAAACCAAAAATGAGCACCAGGTCAGGGAGATATTTCAGGGGTTCCAGCACTTGGCTTGCATGTGGCCAACACTGGTTTGATCCCTAAAACCACAGAGGTTTCCCTAAACAGAGAACCAGGAATATGCCCTGAGCACTTCCAGGTATGGCCCCAAAATCAAAAGCAAAAACCAAAGCAAAAAAACCTTCAGCATCTAACATACCCTATATACACCCTAATAATCTGAATAACCTAATACACCTAAAAAATCTGAAAGCTGTATCTGTTAATTATTTTTAATTGGCAACATCTCCATTTTAAATAAAACATGAAAAGAACAGAAATAAAGGAAAGTTCAAATTGGAATTAAGAAAGAAAAAAGGTGACAAGAAGTCTAGGAAAACACAATTTTAAACAATTATCTAGAGCCCATCTTCAATATTTTATGAAGTATCTCTTGAGATTATAAAAATTCAATGTTTCAAAGCTCTCCTGCTTCGGGACTGATGACTGTTAAGTTAGTAAAGTTGTAATAAAGTCTAATTCATCTGATGGCCAGCCCTGCTGGATAACCTGCAATGAAGGAAAAGCGTTCCACTTGCAATTCTTACATAAAAATCAAGATGTACTTAATTTAATTAAAATTAAAATATTTGTATACAAAAAAATTCATTAAAAGAATGAATGCTTCAATTAAAAAACTCATGTGATGACTTATAATTTCTAAGTTTAGAACTTTCTTACACTTAAAAAAAAAACAGCAGAAATAAAAAGGCCCTGGGTCTGGTTCTCGTGGTGCTGATTATCTGTGTGGGACATGGGCAAGGCAGGGTGCGAGAGCCTCTAAAGTTGGCATTCAGACTGCTGTTAGGATGCCAGCTCCTCTGAGAGACCTCTGACCTCAATATCCCATATCATACTCCAACCAAGTTAGCTTCCATTATATTACTCAGTTTCTTGCTATACTTTAAATCATTCCATGTGTTTGTCTATTCTCTCTACCTTCACATGCAAGGGTGCTGTCTACTTTGTTCTCAGCTGTTTAAGGTTAAAAGCCTGCCTAACACTTTGAAAGCTGCTAATACTTGCCGAAGGATGAAAATCAGTTTCATTATCTGTGAAAATAGGATAACTACTTTAACAAGGTTGCTATAAGAATCAAAATTAAATAATGTACGTAAGATTGTTTTGGAAATTATGAATTTTAAAAACAGATGAACACATGTTAACTCAAAGGGTTAGGGAAGAAATCAAAAACTAAAAGATATCCATTATAGAACCAGTGCATGTAATTCTTTTTAAGTCCCCAAAGCGAACACACACCTTTCCCTGCAGAGGGCCCTGGATAAGCTTGGGGTACTTCTGTGTGGAACTATTGCCATGTCCCAGCTTCCCGTAGTCGCCGTCCCCCCAGCTGAAGACTTCTCCTTCCGTCGTAAAAGCTAGAGTGTGGCCATCAGATCCTTTAGAAGATGACACCTTCTTAATGGACCTATGAGGCTCAAATGTTAATTTTTTTAAAGTCGACTGATTGTTAGAATCTCCAAGGCCCAGTCTGCCGTAGCTGCCTTTACCACACGCTCTCACAGAGCCATCCGTAGAGATGACAAAAGTGCAGTATTGTCCAGCTTCAATCTGTAAGCAAAATAACAGAGTCAAAATATGAAATGCACCCATGAGAATCAAAGTATAATAATTAGTGCTGGTTTTATCAGAGAACCAACGGAAGTCTTTTAAAGCAAAACACAGGATGAATCTTCTATAAATTCCTCTGTATACATTATAGTAAGAAGCATATAAAATACCAGTTAAGCTTGTTTGAAAAAATCGTTGCAATAAAATGCAAAGTTGAGCTTGGCTATTAGGTGACTACACAAGTAAGAAAGTCACCATGAAACAAAATGATAAGCCAATAAAAGGAAAATTTCAGATTTTCTTCAGTTTGTGTTTAACATAATTGTAAGTCTGTGACCATAAATATGAATTCTTTTCTTTTCTTGAATTTGGAGCCATACCCAGCAGTGCTCAAGGCTTACTCCTGGCTTTGTGCTCAGGGATCAGTCCTGGTGGGTTCAGGGGACCATATGAGGAGCCAGAGATCAAACAAGGGTCATTATGTGAAGGCAAGTGCCTGACGCACAGTGCGATAGCTCCAGTTCCATAATTGATTCTTTAAAAATCCAGGTGCCAATGTAATTTTTTTTGAAACTTGAAAACACTGTTGGAAATAGGGTATTAAAAATACTTTTCTATTATATTCAGTATTAACAACACAATAGTACAAAGACAATTACTGATAAGAAGCATTCAAGTAAGAATCTCCACTCTCTTTTTAAAAATCCTTTCCACAGCAATAACAAAAACCTGAAAGCCTTTCCTCTAAGATCAGGCATAAGACATGGGTCCCCAAACCTACCATGATTATTCAAACACATATTAGAAGCTCTTATTACAATAATTAGGCAAGAAAGAGATACAAATTGGAAAAGAAGTCAAACTATATCAATATTCAGTGTAAATTAAAAAAAAAAAACAACTAAAAACTCCAGCAAAAACTCAGAGAAACAATAAATCTTTAAGTGGCTACAAGACAAATACACAGAAATCTGTTGCATTTCTATATGCAACCAACAGAAACAGAAGAGGAAAAACCATTCCACTCACACTGCCTGCCCCGAATCAAATACTTATACTGTCACTGTCACTGTCCTCCCGTTGTTCATCCATTTGCTCGAGCGGGCCCAGTAACATCTCCATTGTGATAATTGTTACTGTGTTTGGCATATTGAATACGTCATAAGTAGCTTGCCAGGCTCTGCCATGCGGGCGAGATACTCTCGGTAGCTTGCCGGGCGCCTGAGAGGGGTGGAGGAATCGAACTTGGGTCGGCCATGTTGGCCTCTTTCAAGGCAAACGCCCAACCTGCTGTGCTATCATCCAGCCCAATACTTAAACAAAGGAAGCTATAAATGACTGTTAGAAGAAATTGAAGACCAGAAGCCAGAGACAATAAATTAAAAAATAAATAAAAATAATAAATAAAAAAATTTAAAAGGCAGGGTGCTTGCCTTGCATGCAGCTGACCCAGGGTCAATCCCCGGCAGCCCTTATGGTCTTCTGAGCCTGCCAGGAGTGATTCCTGAGCACAGAGCCATAGAGTGAGCCATGAGCACTGCAGGGTGTGGGAAAGGAGAGAGGAGGAGAGGGGAGGGGGAAGAGAGGGTCGGAAAAGGAAGGAGAGGAGAGAGGAAGGGAGGGAAGAGAAGGGGAACATTCCTTGTTCATGGATTGGAAGAATTAACATCATTAAAATGACCATCCTAACCAAAAACTATACAACAGATTCAATGCTGTTCCCATCAAAATTCCCATAACATTCTTTTGTTTGCCCATTTACTTATTTGTTGCTTGGGGGCCACACCTGGTAGAGCTCAGGGCTTACACCTGGCTCTGGGTTTTGGCATCACAGAGAACCAATATGGTGTCAGGGATTGAACAGGAGTCGTTTGCATGCAAGGCAAGCACCTTAACCTATCTCACTGGCCCTCACATGATAGTCTTTAGGGACATGGAGCAAATGGCACTAAAATGTACATGGAGTAATAAAAGTTCCCAAATAGTCAAAGAAATCCTGGGGAAGAAAAGGTGGGAGACATCTCTATAGGAGTCAGAACTGTGGGGAGCTGGAGCAAGGCAGACTCCGACCACCAGAACAGAACTGGACCATGAGCTTAATGCTGAGATATATATACAGTTAGTACTAGAAGGAATGAACCTCCAACAAATGGTACTGGAAAACTGATTAATCATGTGCAAAAAAGTTAACTGAACCCCTATCTTACATTCTATACCGGTTAATTCAAAGTGGATTATGGACGTGGAGATCGAGGGCTGCAGAAAAAGTACAGGAATGAGGTGCTTAGCCTGCATGTGGCAACCCCGCCCAAGCCTGGCCCCTGAGGTCCTCTAAGCAACGCCAACAGCGACCAGAGCACAGAGCCGGAACATCTCCTGGAGTACCACCCAGTGCAGCCCCCCCACCCCCATTCCCCCCCCAAAAAAAGACATGAAGATTAGACCAGAATCCATACAGAATCCATGAAATACATCCAGGGAAATACAGACCCAACACTGACTTCCTGACCCTGATGCCACAGGCACAGCCGATGATCGGTACCACCATCTAAACGAGACAAACAGGACGACACCGGACTAAAAGATCCAGCACTGTTCAGGAAACAATGGCCAAAATAAAAGTCACTAATCAAGTGGGGAAACAGCAACCACACATGACTGACAAAGCAGTACAGCCAAAGTTTATAAAGCACTCCCTAAAAGAACCACCACCAAAGACAACAGCCCCATCAGAACTGAGGGGAGGCACTGAGCAGAAACTTCCTCAAAAAAGACACCAATGTCAGCAGGCATGTAAAAATGTAGTCCTTTGATACTTCAGGAATGACTGTCACCACACCCCAGTGACACCAGTGAGACAGGAAGCATCAGAGCAGCAGAAGTGAGCAGTGCTGCTGGGTCATGGTGAAAGGAACCCTTGCCCACTGACGGGAACAGGGTAGAGAGGGCTGTGAAGGAAGGACCAAGCTGCCAGGAGTCAGGAGTCCCACTTCTCATCGACCCTCAGGAGCATGGAAACTCTAACTGCAACACATATGTGAGGCCGAGAGAGAGCACAACAGGCGAGACGCTGGCCCCACATGCGGCCATTCCAGGCTGGATCCTGGCACTGCACAGAGGCCTCAAAGCACTGCCAGGAGTGATCCCTGAGCACAAAGCAGGCCTGAGCACTACAGGACTGAACACCCCCCCCCCCCCAATCAGCCACGATCTGGGGGCAACCCAGGAGCCTAAGGACAGACGAGAGGACAGAAATGCCGTGTGTGCCTGTGCAGGACGGAGCATCACTCAGTTCAAAGACGGAACCCTGATGTCCACCGCAATTAGCATGGAGGGGTCACGCCAAAAGCAAAGTGAGGTGAAGATAAAGGGAAAAGGGAACGATCTCCTGCACATGTGGATACAAGGAAACACATACGGGAATAAGCAGTGATCAGCTATACTGGATAGATGCTGAGTCTCCTAAAGTAACTGGCTCTGCTACAGGGCAGGTAAGGGGCAGGCCGGCGGGGTGATGGGTGCTGCTAGGGGAGGGGAGGGGAGTGCTGGGGGGGGGAGGGGTCCGGCACTCTGACACTGTATTTCTAAAGCATTAATAGTACCATTACAGCGAATCACAGGGCCTAAATTTTTTTGAAGGTTTTTTTTTTTGACAGAGTATCACATAAAACCTTCCACAAGCCAATCCATAAGGAATGCAGGAACTCACCGTCTGCGCGTCGGAGAAGCTGGGCGCCAGCTTGGGCTGCAGAATCTTCTCCTGCGTGCCCTCCACCAACTGGTGGCTGCTGTTGCTGCCCCAGACGTAGACCTCGCACGTCTCGGAGACCAGGGGCGCGTCGCCGGTCTGGATGCTCTCGGGGCTAGCGCAGGTTCTGGAGTAGTCAGAAGCCATTCTGCAGACCTGCCGGCAGCAAACACAGACCCTGTCACTGACATGCTTGGTCTAGATATCCTGGTATGGATTACCGGAATCTGCTACTTTACACTTCTGCAGAATAAACCCCTAAAAGATACAAATAAAAGTGGCAAATTCGGGGAGAGGGAAAACACCCAATCAAGCTTTTCTTAATTTCATTACAGCATACTACAGAATTAATCACTGATAACCCCACCTCCTAAATATGAATATTATCTCTTTATATATGTCCTGAAATTTTTCATTTATGTGGTCTTTAACAGTCATCACAGAGGATACATAAAATAACATAAAAGGGGCTGGAGCCATAGCACAGCGGCCGACCCAGGTTCGATTCCCAGCATCCCATATGGTCCACCGAGCACCACCAGGAGTAATTTCTGAGTCAGGAGTGACCCCTGTGCAATGCCGGGTGTGACCCAAAAAGGCAAAATAAATAAATAAAATAACATAAAAATGCTATGAAAAGTTTCCTACATGTCTACTTACTCTTCATCTTTGAACAGAGAACTTTCCATCTACTGTAAAAACCAAGTGGACTTTAAGAGGACACTCAGATTCTTTCCCAGACCCCACTATATGCTAGGTGGGGGCACGCCTGGCAGTGCCCAAGGGCGGCACCTAGCTGGAACTCAGAGGCTGCTCGGAACCACAGTGCCAGCACTGGGGCCATCGCCCTACCGCACCAGGAGCCACTTTCACCAATCTCAGCCTACCACACCCTACTTCTTTAGTGGACAACCTCAAAGATGGACAAAGAATGTTCCCCAAAATAGCAAGGACACTGCCTGCTCTAAGAAGCAGTGCTACAACATTACTTTATACCAGCAATGCACAAAAGCCTGTCCTCCATCACCAGAAAGAAGCCCAGAGCAACGCCACACTCACACATCCACACACACACAATGAAACCACGTCTGACCTGTGGTTATTGTAACACACAAGAGAAGTATGTCACCTGTTGCACTGACTGAAGAGCGAACAGCCAGCAGGGCTGGGGCACAGCAGGAGACGTTGGGCATGGACCAGGGCCACACACGTGTCAGATATGCCCTTTACCACTCTGCACAACTGCTCCAGCACCAAATACTAGTTGTCCTCACAGCCAGAAATACATCTGCCTTTCTATTGTTCAGTTTGAAGATTCTAACTAGGCATGATCTTCTTTCCCTCATGTAACCGCTCTTAACCTTAAGTATTCACTTTGGAAGATTCCCTCCCACCCCCTCCCCCCAGTCACAGGACCCCAAGAAGCATCATTCCTGAACCAAGGCACCACTCTGGCCAGAAGTCCCTCTCAGGCCAGTAACACTCATTCGCTTCCAATTGGTTGACACGCTAAGTGAAAAGATAGTATTTTAATTTTACATATCACATATCCTATGAGCAGAACTTTCCACCTATTTCTAAAATATCTTTTGCCTATTTATTCACTAGGGCTTAAGGGGGCCTTGAAGGAACTCACAGAAACTCCATACTATAAAGATGAGCTCTAGCTGTGGCTGCTGCCACCTTGTCTACCTGATATTTGCTAAGTCAATCAAAAGCAACAGAAGAATCTCCCAAAGCAAACCGTCTGGGTAAGAGCCATTACATGGGGAAAGACAATCCCCGCCAGTCAGAATCTTTAAACAAAACAATAGAAGGGCAGGCATGTTCCTGGCCCCTGAGGATAGCTCTGGCATCTTAGGAAATATTCAGAAGTAAAGGCTGCCAGTCCCTGTTGAAAGATCTGAAACTGTGCTGTTACAAGCAGGTGGTGACAGAGGGTGACAATCATTTAAATATTTATGAAAAGGGCTGGTACAGTGCGGCAGCGGGGAGAAAGTCTGCCTTGCATATATGCAGCTGATCTGGGTTCAATTGCTGGCACCCCAGATGATCCCCCAGACACCCCCCCATCCCCCCGTGAGTGATCTCTGAGTGCAGAGCCAGGAGTAAGTCCTGAGCACTGCCAGGTATGGCCCAGAAACAAAGTGTGTGTGTGGGGAGGGGGGTGCGGGGTTGGGGGTAGGATCTGCTGCCTGAACAGGACTCGGGGCTGGGACAGTGGCGCAGCAAGCTCTGCTCAGGGCCCATGCAGTGTCAGGGCGAAGCCCTGAGCTCCTGGACGCAAAGCAAGTACCTGCGTCCCTTAAGACATCCCCAGCCCCTATCATGAGGCCTGCAAAAACCACAGACAGCCTTCACTCCGGCGCACCTGCATGACAGAGAGAGAGGCAGGGAACCATCTACTCCCAGAGCTGGGAAGTGTCTTTACAAACAGCGAGGCTGGGAGGATCCTGAGGGGATGAAAACAGCAGGGGCACCAAGAATCCCCACACAGCCCCAGAGAACAGGTCACCAAACCACACGAAGGATTCACAGCAAAACCGGGGCACTGTGGGAATGTGACCTACTTCTGCCTTCATGGTGAGCAGTAAAACACAGTTCTCAAAAAATGTAAACAGAACTACTCTATGACCCAGCAACTCCACCTGTAAGTATCTCTCCAAATAATGCAGAAACACTGATTCTGAAAGATGCCGCACTTCTGTGGTCACTGCAGCACACTCACCACAGCGAAGAGCTGGAACAACCCAATGTCCAACTGATGGACGAATGAATGTGTACGGGACTGAAGAGCAATTGCTGAATGAGTCAGGAAGACAGGTATCAGATGGTCCCACTCGTAGGTGGCAATAAAGAAACAATGCAAGGAAGCAGAGAATTCCAGTGAAGACAGAGACTGGCAACCAAACAGAAGCTACCCTCTACCCTGGGGCAGAGTGGAAGGGCAGGGTCTACACTCTGGGGATGGGTGTGACGAGGTAACACTGTATCCCTAAAACATGTAAACATTTACACAGTGTAAACTTACTTTAGCTCATAAATAATTTAGTAACTTTCAAAATAAAAGTCCCAATGACATGGGGTAGGCCTATTAGCTCCAAAACAGAAACAGTTCCGGGGTGAAGACACAGTACAGCAGGCTGAGCGCCTCCCATGCAGCCGACCCAGGTTTGACTTTCAGCACCCTGTATGGTGCTCAAAAAATGCTTACGGCAGACCTGAGCACCAGCAGGTATGGCCCCCAAAATAAATGAATGAATAAAAATAGAAACACTTCATGCAAATCACAACCCTATGCAAAAACTACATGGTAAAGACTCTTATGCAACTGGAAGCAATTGAGACACAGCTCAGTTTAGGAAAAACTCAAAACAACCAATCATGGGGCCAGAGTCATAACACAGCAGGGAGGTCCTTTGCAGATGACTTGGGTTAGATCTCCAACACCCCATCTGAGAGCACTGCCAAATGTGACCCCTCAAAATTTTTTTAATTAAAAAAGAAAATCACAATTAGGCACTCCCTATTGTTTCCAGTGGCCAGAGATGGGTCCTCGTGGGATTCTCTACACCTGGCACTCATGGAATCCAAGATTCCTCTTGGGGGGAACGAGTGCCCCACAGCACCATGAGGTCTATGGGAACGCCCACCTCTGTCTCTGTGGACACAGCAGTCAACAGAGCCCCAGGCCACCCACCCTCCTGCATACCTCAGCACTGAGCCTGAACTCAACGGAGGGCTTCGGAAAGATTTATGCCACGAAACAAAAGAAATGGGTGAATATTTGGACTTGTATACCTTGCAGGGTTGAACCAAGAAAACACAGAACAATCACCTGAACAGAACAATTACTATCCAGGAAATCAAAATGGCGATCAAATGCCTCCTTAAAAACAAACGCCCAGGCCAGATAGGTTCACTGGTAAATTCTTCCCCAAAAAAATTTTTTAAATTTGTTATTAGTGGAGCACCATGAGGTAGTTACAGACTTACAAACTTTTGTGCTTACATTTCATTCATACAATGGTCGAGTACCCATCCCTCCACCAGTGCCCATTCTCCACCACCAATGGTCCCAGCATCCCTCCCACCACCCCCACCCTGTCCCCTCCACCCTGCCCTGCCTCTGTGGCAGGGAATTCCCTTTTGCTCTCTCTCTCTCTCTCTCCTTTAGGGTGTTGTGGTTTGCAGTAGAGGTATTTAAGTGGCCATCATGTTCGGTCTATAGTCTACTTTCAGTCTGCATCTCCCATCCTGAGTGGGCGCTCCTAGCACCCTTTACTTGGTGGTCCCTTTTCTATCTGAGCTGCCTTTTCCCCCAGCATGCGAGGCCAGCTTCTAAGCTGTGGAGTAATCCTCCTGGTACTTATCTCTACTGGTCTTGGGTGTTAGTCTCCCATTCTGTTACTTTATATTCCACAAATGAATGAAATCTTCCTACTTCTGTCCCTCTCTTTCTGACTCACTTCACTTAGCATGATACTTTCCATGTAGTACCACTTGTATGTAAATTTCATGACTTCATCTTTTCTAACAGCTGCATAGTATTCCATTGTGTAGATGTACCAAAGTTTCTTTAACCAGTCATCTATTCTCAGGCACTCAGGTTGTTTCCAAATTCTGGCTATTATAAACAGTGCTGCAATGAACATATAAGTGCAAATGTCATTTCTACTATACTTTTTTGCATCTCTGGGATATATTCACAGAAGTGTTATTGCTGGGTCAAATGGGAGCTCAATTTCTAATTTTTTGAGAAGTGTCCATACTGTTTTCCAAAAGGGCTGAACCAGTCGGCATTCCCACCAGCAGTGAAGGAGAGTCCCTTTCTCCCCACATCCGCACCAACACCAGTTGTTTTTGTTCTTTTGGATGTAGGCCAGTCTCTGTGGTGTGAGATGGTATCTCATTGTTGTTTTGATCTGCATCTTCCTGATGCTTAGTGATGAGGAGCATTTTTTCATTTGTCATTTTCTCCCAAACTTTTAAAGACCTACTGCCAAACCTTCTCAGACTCTTCCAGGAAATTGAAGAAACAGAAACACTCCAGTTTCTATGAGGCAAACATTCTGATACAAAAAACAGACAAATACAACACAAAAAAAGAAAACTATATAGACATATCCCTGATAAACATTGGAGCAACAATCCTCAACAAATTGCTAGAAAACTGAATCCAACAACTTATCAGAATGATCACACACCATGACGGAGTGGGACTCATCCCAGGGGGGCGAAGAAGGTTTAACATAAGCAACTCTGAAGCCAACAGGTCAACCTGTACCTGCGGGGTGAGTGCACCTGCAGCCTGATGGTGCTTTCAGGCTTCCTGATACCCCCAAATTGCTGTTGTGCCTTTGGTCAGACCCCAACAACTTGGAACCAAGCTTACCAAGAAATTAAACAGCCAAAAGTTAGGTATGTGGGGGCCATGCCCACAAACCACCTCCAGCTGAACTATACAAGCTAATTTATCGGCCTTGCTCCAGATTCCCATAAATAAATCTCGAAAGAGATCAAAAGCAGCAGTTAAATCTTGGATCCATGCAATGCTGAACAGACCAGGGTAAATTGAATGGGAGGCAGGTCAAACTTGTGCCCACCCAAGCAGAGCCCCCAGCAGCTGCTTGCTCCCACAGTCCAAAATTGCCGCCATACCCTCAGCCTGATTCCACCATCTCAGGACAGACCACACCAAGACATATTCTGCTGAAAATTCTGATACGCAAGTTTTGTGACTAAAATCTCCAGGCTTTCTCAGGGTTGGGATGGGCTACCTCCCCTCCATCCCGGTATTTCTGGAAGCGTCAGCAGTCACATCCACACCCCAAAGCTGCCACCCAATTAAAAGGCCACTCAGTCTTACCCATCCCGATAAAAATACCGAGTGCCCTGAACGAACATTTTGCCATATTAAATGGAAAAAACTGAAAGCCTTCCCTCTAAGATCAGGTGCAAGACAAGGTTCCCCACTCTCCCCATTTCTACCCAAAATAGTCCCGAAAGCATTTGCTATACAATTAGGCAAGAAAGATGCATATGGAAAGGAAAAGAAGTGGATGCTCACTATCTACAGATGAGATGATACTATACTTTAAGAGCCCTAAAGATTCAAAAGAGGGGCTGGAGTGGTAGCACAGCAGGTAGGGCATTTGCTAGCACAGCAGGTAGGGCATTTGCTTTGCACGCGACTGACCCGGGTTCAATCCCCAACATCCCATATGGTCCCCAGAGCACCGCCAGGAGTAATTACTGAGTGCAGAGCCAGGAGTAACCCTGTGCCTCACTGGGTGTGACCCAAAAAGAAAAAGATTAAAAAAAAAGACTTATAAGAAAGTTCCTAGAAACAATAAGCATGTATCTTAAATTAGCAGTCTATAAAATCAACATGCAAAAATCCATGGCTTTTCTATATGCAAATATTAAAATAGAAAAGAATTTATAAAAGCCATCCCATTCACACTTGTGCTTCAGAAAATCAAGTACTTATGAATCAGATTAACAAAATAGGTGAAAGACTTATACAAAGCGATCTATAAAATACTGCTAAAAGAAATAAAAGAGGACACAAAGAAATGGAAACATACCCTTGCTCAAGAATTGGGAGGATTAACGTCATCAAAATGGCTATTACTCCCAGAGCATCATACAGATGCATGGCAGTCCTTATAAGGATACCCATTTTTCAAAGAAATAGATCAAACACTTGTGAAATTCACAAGGAACAAGAAACCCTGGAACACCCTTCCCACCTCCTAGCCCCTGACCTTGAATTCCAGAGCAATCCTTGAGGAAAGGAAAATGGGAGGCACCATTTTCAAACACTACTACAAAGCTGTAATAATTAAACAGTATAGTACTGGAATAAAGACAGACCCCTTGAATTAATAGAATGTAGCTGAAAATCCAGAGTCAGATCTTCAGGTATATGGACAGTAAATCTTATTTAAAGGAGAAAAATGTATGAAGTGGAGCAAAAAACCCCTCTCCGACAAGTGGTCTTGGAAAAAGTGGTCAGCCACACACACACACACAAAAAAAAGAACTCAGACCTTTGTCTAATGTCATACACAAAACTCAAATCAAAATAGATTAAAGGCCCTAAATAATATCAGACCTGAATAACATATGTTACACTGAGAAATATAAAAGCCTGTTACACCTGAATGACATATGTTACACTGGGAAAAACTTTCTATGACAGTGCAACTAGAGGTGTCTTGAAGAATTCAATACCATTGGATAAGCAGGTAGAACCAAGGAGAGATGAAGTCATGAAATTTGCTTATAAATGGATGGACATGGAAAGCATCATGCTAAGTGAAATGAGTCAGAAAGAGAGGGACAGACATAGAAAGACTGCACTCACTTGTGGAGTATAAAACAATATAAGAGGAGGCTGACACCTAAGGATAGTAGATACACGGGACAGGAAGTTTGCCCTATAGCTGGAAGCCTGCCTCACGAGCAAAGGGGAGAAGGCAGTTGGAATAGAGAAGGGATGACTAAGAAAATGATGGCTTGAGGAACTGGTTGGGATGGGAGATGTGTGCTGAAAGTAGATAAAGGACCAAACATGATACCCTCTCAGTGTCTGTATTGCAAACCATAATGCCCAAAAGTAGAGAGAGAGTATGGGGAATTTGTCTGCAATGGAGGTAGGTAGGTTGAGGGTGGGAAAGGGGGGTTATACAGGGATATTGGTGGTGGGGAGTGTGCACTGGTGGAGGGGTGGGTGTTTGATCATTGTGTGATTGTAACCCAAACACGAAAGCCTGTAACTATCTCACACTGGTTCAATAAAATTTTTTAAAAAAGATAAACAAATGGGACTTCATTAAATCAGAACCTCAGGCACCTCAAAGGAAATGATGAGCAGAATAGAATGATATGCCACAAACTGGGAGATAGCATGTGCCTATAATTCATCTGATTAATATCCAAAATACATAAAACACTGGGTGAGTTTTACAAGAAAAAAAAATCCAATTCCATAACATAACATAACATAACATAACATAAGGGGAGAACATATGAACAGGAACTTCCTCAAAGGAAATACAAATGGCCAGCGACATGGGAAAGTGCTCTGCATCACTGATCATCAGATAAATGAAAATCAAAACTATGAGCTACACCTCATGCCAGAGAGACTAGCACTCATCAAAAAGAACAACCAATACCAGTGTTGGCCTGGATAAGCTACAGGTCATGAAATTTAAAAAAAAAAAAATTACAGGTCATGAGATTTAAAAAAAAATTTCTTTTTTTAATGAGCAGGACTGAACTTTAGTGGGTAGAGACACATATTCGGTGGCCAAGGATAAAGCTGTGCAAGGGAGTGACTGGCTCCTCTAGACAGGAAGGAGCACAGCCAGGCGGTAAAAGGACTCATGTGGCCGGGAAAGCGTCAATTCCCTACCTGGGTACAGACAGGACACTTACCTTATAATAATCCACAGGACATATGCTTATGTTTTAACCTGTTTAATAAAAACTGATTTTAATTCAGCACTAGCACATGACAAAGTTCAAACTGAGTTAAAAAATAATGTCTCCTTCCTAATCTTGAACCCAGACACCTCAGCAGCTTTCCAGCGGCAACTACTGAATCACTTTCTATTTGCATTCTTTCCGGAAACTGAACTTTAAAGGATGGCTTGAATGGACCAACACATGTCATAATCTTTTATGCAAAAGGCATACCTCTTCAAAGAGACACAGAGCTGCCTCATAGAGCGAGCACAGGCCGTCCGACGTCCTCGTGGGTTCCCGCCACTGACTCCGGTCAGCCGACGAGCCCTAGAATGAAAGCATTGCAGAAACATTTGGCAAAGAGCGACATGGGTTACCATCACTTAAACTGTCTACAAAAATACTTAAGGAACTGTCTATATTACTCTGTGCATTAAAATTAAATACCAGTATTAGGTTATGAAGCCAACTTTTATGAAATTGATTTGTAAAAGACTTGTGTGTAAAATAAAACAGTAAATTAAGGATTCTGACTGCTTTACTAGTGACTGCTGAAAGGATCACAGGGCCCCAGACACAGATCAGGACACAGAACCCTGTCAACTGCACACTCTTGGGGTGGACAGTCCTCACTGACTGAATTCCAGGAAGCAGTCGACCTGCATAGAGGTGCCCTGCCCACGGCTCCATGAACACAGGCAGCACAGTTCCGTGCAGGGCAGCAGACAGTTCCTCACTGCTGAGCACCCACAGTTAGATGGGGGGCACCCTGACCAGCCAGCACCCAGGCACCTTCCCAGCCCAACAGACTAAGTCCCAGCCACTCCTCAGGGACTAAGCTTGTGTGGGGCCAGAAAACTAGATCTCAGACCTAAAGAACAATCAATAACAACAAGAGCTTGATCTCAGCGCTCTCTCAAATTTCTGGGTTTCTGTGGGTCTCTTTTTGTGGGGGGGAGGGAGGAGGGGGGGGAGGGCCTCACCCAGCTGTACTCAGGGCTGACTCCTGGCTCTACACCCAGGGATCAGTCCTGGCAGTGCTTGGGGAACCGTATATGGTGCCGGGGATTGAACAGTCAGACACATGCTAGACAAGCAGTTTTACTCTTTCTCCGGCCCAAATTTCCATGCTCTTAAGCCAGTGCAATTACCAATTATAAATCCAATAAATCATGAATTTTCAAACGGGGCTTTATTTAAAGGTTTATAGCCTTTAGAATACTTTGTAAATGATCATAAAAGACAGATGTGCCAATAACAGTATATCCTGTATGCTGGGCACAGAACAGCACAGACTCTGCAGTGGGCACAGAACAGCACAGACTACAAGCGGCACAGAACAACACAGACTCTACAGCAGCCACAGAACAGCACAGACTACAGCCGGCACGGAACAGCACATACTCTACAGCGGGCACAGAACAGCGCAGACTACAGCGGCACAGAACAGCACAGACTACAGCGGGCACAGAACAGCACAGACTACAACAGGCACAGAACAGCACATACTCTACAGCAAGCACAGAACAGCACAGACTACCATGGGCACAGAACAGCAAAGACTATAGCAGGCATAGAACAGCACGTCCTTTACAGTGGTGGAGTGACTGACCGAGTCACCCTTTCTAATCCCATTCAATTCTCAGATCATAATTTTTAACACAAATCATATTCTAACATCATTTCACTCAACTGTTATTCATTATAACTGTTGATAAGAAAAATCAATCCCCCGCTGGGCCCAAGTCTGCAGAGCCGGCCCTTCTGTCCATGGACATGGGTTTTCTCTGGGCACTGCAGCTTCCTGAGCTGTGCACGTCCCTGAGCTGTGCTGTCAGTGAGCCAGCAGGCATGGGCTGGCCAGTCAGGGTCTGACCATTCCCTCTGCCAGAGTGACCTGTACAGGTGGGACCGCCCTCCGCCCTGAGCTGCCCAAGACATACCAGGCACTCTAAACTGGAATGAGTGTGAAAAATAAATGAATACAAATGTTTTAGCAAATCTTATGAGTCTGGAGTTTTTATTTAGAAATTTAGTGATATCTTTATGACCAGAAATACGCCACAGGATCTTAATTCCTGCTTATTTCAATTAGCACATGGTAAAACTGGATTCATTGTACACTAATTGCTTAAAGTTGAAGTTTCCAGGAGTACCAATGACATTGACTATTTAATTACTGAAGCACCAGGTGCTAATCTGCTGCTTTTTCTTCTTAAATTCTAAGGTGGACACATCTGAAATTCTTCTTACATACAGACTCTGACTCAGGAATAAGTGAGAGAGGCCTGAGATTCTGCATTCGAACAGCCTCTAAGAGCCACCAACATGGCTGTCCGGGGTTCTGACATCGAGCAGCAAGGCTTGCATGGTAACTTGTAGGTCTAGAATCACACTAGAAGTTGCACATTCAAAATTAACCAACTCGCTCCAGACACAGAAGGTGCTGCTCTGCCAACAAATAACTGGACTCCACTTCTCCAGATTCCATCGTAGGCTGTGACATGCCCAGGTGAAAATGTAGTTGCAATCTATGGTTCTGTAACTTATGTTTTTGTCTGTTTTGTCTGGGGGGCTACCTGTGGCAGTGCCTAGGGCGTACACCTTGTGGCTGGGCTCAGGGACTGAGGTGGGCCACGTGCAAGGCAAGTGCTCTACCCACTGTACTCTCCCCCTGACCACAGAACAGCATAGACTCTACCGCGGGCACTGGACAGCATTTAAAGGCCACAGCTAGTGATCACCAAAGCCAAAAGGAACAGGGAAAAGTCTGTGGCACCTTCACGGCAGCCTCTTTTTATGCTTCTTTCTATAGGTTAAAGGGAGATTTTGAAAACAGCACAAAAAATCCAGTGGAAGACAGAACTGGGTTAAATCCACACTGCACCATTTACTGGCGGTGAGTAAGGATAGTTTCCTTAGTCTAGGCAGGAAAAAACCCATTTTATTCAGAGCTGTTGGGAAGATTGTCTGAAATCATGTGCAAAATATGCTTAGCACAGGGGCTGGAGCAATAGCACAGCAGGTAGGGCGTTTGCCTTGCACGTAGCCAACCTAGGTTCGATTCCCAGCATCCCATATGGTCCCCAAGCACCACCAGGAGTAATTCCTGAGTGCATGAACCAGGAGTAACTCCTGTGCATCACTGGGTGTGACCCAAAAAGCATATATATATATATATATATATATATATGTATATATATATACACAAATATATATATATACACATATATATGCTTAGCACAATTGCTCATGCATAGTAAGAACTCAAAACTAGTAGCAGTGATTATTACTGCTTGGCATCATGTACACTGAGAAAGAAAACTACTGGGAGGTTTTAGTGAATTGTTGCTTAATTTTAGAGTACTAAACCAATAGAGTGTCCTGCAAACAGCCTACAGCTTCCATCTCTGATTTCTGTTCTTCCCAAAAAGTCAGTTAGGATTAAAGATACTGCATGTTCTGTATAGAATTGTTAATGTATTTTTTTTCTTTTTGGGTCACACCCGGCAATGCACAGGGGTCACTCCTAGTTCTGCGCTCAGGAATTACCCCTGGCGGTGCTCAGGGGACCATATGGGATGCTGGGACTCGAACCCGGGTCGGCTGCGTGCAAGGCAAACGCCCTACCCGCTGTGCTATTGCTCCAGCCCCATAGAATTGTTAATGTATTTTATACATATTTTATTTGGGGAAATAAGAAAAGCCAAAAAGAGCTATACCCGGGACACGTTTAGGAAAACTTTCACAAAATAGCACATTCAGCTTTATAGATGGTTAACACAGCATACAAGGTTCCAAAGATATGGTCCAAAAGTAATGGAGAAGTTAAAATAACATATTTATCTTTTCATGGGGCTTCATTTACCTTCCTCTATCTACCACTCAAAATAATGCAAAAACTTTTTCTTCATGTCTGTCCTTTTCAGCTCTTCAGGCAAGGCCATAAGACTAGAAAGTCATTTTCTTCTATTTTCTTGTTACCCTTCCTAGCACTGCGTTCATGAGGTCGGAGAGAGCCCAGCTGCCGCAGTGCGGAAGGAGGCCCACGTGCACCCCAGCAGCCAAGAAACAACAAAAACTACTTGGATGCAAGGTCCGGCCTGAAAGCTCTCCGCAGGGCAGCCACAGAATCTGTGCTATCTCTCCAGCCCTCTAAACATCTTTCTTTTTATCATCATCATCTCATTAGCCTGTAGTGGTTCTAGGTGTTTTTCTGTTTGGGCTTGGTTTGATTTTGGTTGCACTATGCTTTGAGGTGTTGACTGAGCAGTGTATTCCAGGTAACTGTTAGCCACTAGATTGAAAAGATGAATAAGCTTTGTAGTGGCCTCGTCCTCAGGACAGACTTCAATTTAGTGATCAGGTCTGCTCTGGAAGACGTGATAAGGACTCTAGGAGAGGGTGGACGGGAAGGGGAAGGCACCTGGAGGAAGGATCCCTGAGCTGCCTTGAGAAGCAGGCCGGGTTGGCTTGCAGACCCTGGGGTGAAGGGGGTGTGGTGGAAAAGCCTTTCGCCGAAGGGACCAGAACACATAGGTGTTGCAGTATGGGAAAGTGAGCCCGGGCGTGGAGTGAGGTGAGGCCGCCAAGCCAAGCAGCCCCTGCTCAGGGCTTTTGGGCCAGATTCTGTGGGCTGCTCTGCGGAGAGCAAGGTAATGCCAGGTATGGCCTAAAAACTGTAAGGGGGAAGAATCACACTAGAAGGGTTGAGAAAGAAGGCTCAGAGTGTGAGGCTTCCCTGTGCCAGGCCCTGAGGGAACCCTGGTACTGTATCTACCAGCACCGAGCACCTGGACACCACCAGGTGTGGAGCACCCAAAAGCAAAAATGAATCACACAAAAGATACAACTAAGAGACCAAACTGATTTTTGTTGGGCCTTCTGTCAAGTACTCAGGTGAGTACTGGTCCCTCTGACTGCTACTTGGGGCCAAGTTTCCTCCCAACTGCTCAGGGGCAGAGAGAGAGCAGGACGGTCCATGCCAGGCTAGAGGGGGTGCCCTGACTCTGAGGCCTCAGACTGCATTACAACCTGTGAGGAACAGGAGTTCTAGAGACCAGACACTCTCACTCGCAAGGTAAAAAGAAATCACAGGCATCAAATGGGAGTGAGCAATCATTTATTTTCCCTAAAGCTAATCTGAGATCCTCTTGAATTCAATCTGTCGGGTCTATGACTTCTGGAGCAGCATACACAACAAGTGCACACATGCGAGCACATGTACATGCACACACATGCGCACACAGGCATGTACGCATGTATGCATGCACACAGATGCGCACATTTCCACCCCAGAACGGATTGGGAGGGCCGGGGAAAGCAACGGCTCTTGCCCGATGTGCCTCACCTCAAAGGGAGACCCCTGCCACGCAGTCAGTCCCTTCCAATCGGGCATGTGCAACGCTGCCCACCAATTAAGGAGGCTCAGCAGAGGGACAAGAGGAAACTCAGCAACGAAGTGACTCCCCCTATTTCACATCTCCTTTGAGACGGCCTGAGAGTGCTTACGGGAGGCCCAGGCTCACTCGCAGGCACTGCAGCACCCCTAAGCACAGAGGTGGGAGCAGTTCTGAGCACCAACACCCGAAAAACTAAAGAAACACAGACCTTAGAGGGAAAATTCTAATTTAACACAACAGGGTAAAAACAGCAATAACAAAACACGCTTTGCAGACAGACAGAGGGTTATGAGCATCAGCAGATCGAGTGCTTGAGGAAAATGAGACACAGACACGGACAAGCAAGCACGTTCGTCTCTGCTGTAACTACTGTGTGCATACCTCCTGGCAGAGCTTCCTCGGAGAGGCTCTCCAGCCCCGAGCTCCCTCCACCACCCCCAGCAAGCAACCTAGTTCCCTCCTCAGTAAGGAGCAATATTTGGGGGGGGGCGGGTGGAGCCTCTGAGTTAGGGTACTTCGCGTTATGTTTACAACAGTATCAAGGGTGGGGATATAGCTCAGCATAAAAGCACTTGCCATGCACGTGTGGAGCCCTGGGTGCATTCGCCAGCACTGCAAGGGAAAAAGGAAAATAAGCCACGGGCAAGTGCATGTCCACATAACTACATCGTGCGATTAATCTTTTCAGTGCAGAACAGACTCTAACACGAAGAATTAAATAACTCCTGTGACCATGACTGGATCATTTTAGGTCATTCAACAGCATTGCACATCTGGTAGCAGTGTATATTTAGAAAATGTTACCCCAGAGCATTGGGAATGAGAAACTGAAATTAGAAAAACATACGTAAAAGCAAGTGGGCTCAAACATTAAGTGAGGAAGCCCAGAGGGCTCAGCACCTCCCACGCTGCCCCCGCGAGCCGGTCCCACACAGACCACCCTTCCTCCCACACAGACCACCCTTCCTCTCCGGAACCCCTGCGCCCACTGTGGCCAGGGTTCCGAAGTACACAGGCACCTCTACAGAACTGCATGCCTGCCCAGATTCGTTTGATTCAATTCAAAATTTCACACCCCTTTATGATATCAAATCTCCAAGTACTAATATATCATAAAATTAGTTGCAAAAAGCTGAATCAGCATATACCATTAGTCCACAAAACAAAAAACATAACCCAGGAGAAATTTTAATTGCACTAGTTTGAAAATAAATCCATGTAACCGTTATTTTAAATAGAATGTTCATCTCTACCTCTTGGTGTTCTTCTTACTCTTCCTTGGAAGGAAAAAAGACATACCACAAAATTTATGAATGGCATTTCTAGTTATCTTAACTAAACAGATTAACAGATATTTGATAAAGTATATAAAAATGAAACCTAAGTAAAATTAAATCAGTGTTCAACATTTCACATATATACATGTGTGTATCTGTATATGTGTGTGTGTGCACGCATGCGTGTGCACGTGCACGCCCTATTTACTCCACATTTCTATTCTTTCTCCACCCTTCGCCCAGGATCCAGACTGTGGGCTGTCAGGGCCAGCGAGGTGAGGGCACTTACATGGGGACACGGCTCATAGCCTAAAACAAGCCATGGAGCTTTCTCTGGTGGTGGGGAGGGGAACCAGGGGCAGGGTCAGTGTCCCTGGCACCATCCATGCTCAGGGACTCTTCCTGGCTCTGTGCTCAAGGAACCTCACGCAGTACCGTGGGCAGGAGGCGAGGCAAGCACCTTAGCCCTGTGAGATGTTCCAGTCCCCAGGGAGCTTCTTGAGGCGCTGAGTAAACCGGGCCTTTGCTCTGCAGGGATCTCAAGACCAGAGCATCCGGCTGGCCTGAGCAAGTCTGGAAGCACCGAGGTTTGCAGACAGGGCTTCACTCGAGCAGACAAGTGCTCTAAGCCTCTGCCCTAAATTAGTATTCTTTCTTTAATTTTGTGGCAGTGCTCGGGGTACCATGTGATGCTGGGACTGGACCTGGGCCTCTTCATGCAAAGTATGTGCTTTTTTGAGCCATCCTCCCAGTCTCAACTTCCTTGAAATTTTTGTTCTCGGTTTTCACAAAGGCTTTTTGTTTGGTTTGGTTTCGAGCTTCCCCTGGTTGTGCTTGGGGTTTACTCCTGGCTCTGTGCTCAGAGATTACTCCTGGCAATGCTCAGGAGATTATATGCAGTGTTGGGGATAGAACCAGAGTTGGTCACATGCAAGGCAAGGACCTTCCTCTATACAATCTCTCTGGCCCCAAGAATTACTCAAAATTGGTCACACTGCACTATCTTTTATCACTCATCCTTTATTATGTTACAGTTATGATCATTACACGACTTCCCTCAATAACAAGAAACCCTTTCCACAACCATCCAGCCAGTGCAGGACCCTTCACTCACACCTACTTCTGGGTCACTGATCAGAGACTTGTTCCAGCCACAGGAACTGAATAACTCAACCTTCCCCTTCTGAACCTCCACCCTCACATTTTGTTCTCTCTTCCTTCCCTATTTAAATTCTTAAAATTCTCTCTACCTGAATTCAAATATTGATTATCTGACCCCAGACCAGGCTGCTTGTTTCACGGGGGGAAAAATGTATTCTTTGCTATGGTCCTAGCACCTAGAAAAATACTTAGGATTTGTTAACGCTTGATAAAAACTGAGTGTCTATTTTAGAAGAGATTGTTTTCAAAAGACTTGCACATTCCCTAGCCAAGACCCCTCAATTATATGTAAGCTCATGAAAAATGCAGAAAAGTTAGGGGAATTTCCCAAGCTTGCCTAAGAAGACACGGTATGGGGCTGGAGCGATAGCACAACAGGCAGGGCATTTGCCTTGCACACAGCCGAGCCGGGTTCGATTCCCAGCATCCCATATGGTCCCCTGACAAAGCCAGGGGTAATTCCTGAGTGCATGAGCCAGGAGAAACCCCTGTGCATCACCGGGTGTGACCCAAAAAGAAAAAGAAAAAAAAAAGCCATAGTACTAAAACTATAACCTGACTCCTGATTCGGTGATATTAAAACTATACCAATCAGCCCGTCCTTAAACTACTTGTTCTTATCTACATGTACGACTCTCTTGTATATTCAAAGCATAGAAAACATCCGTACGCTCTGCCACGGCCACAGCCCCCGAGAGCTGGCACCGTCCCCAGAGCCAACAGGAACCTGCAGGCCGCGTACCAGAGAGCGGCGCATCTGCATGAGCACGGCCATGAAGCAGTCGAAGCTGACCATCCCCTCCTGGCCCGACAGCAGCTTGCTCCTCTCCATGGAGCTCACGACCGCGGACGCCCCCAGTGCCATTTCTATCCACTCGAGGAGGTACCGCAGCGAGCCCCGCTGCGCCGCCAGCCCCAGCAGCAGCTCGGACGCCAGCCTGCGGCCCAAGGTGTCGGCCCCGGAGTTGGGAATCGTCACGCCCTTGAGAAACGTGGTCACTTGCGACAAGCAGTCCAGGCCCATGGGGGGGATCTTGCTCTCGTTGGCGAGGGAGAGCGGCGGCAGGGAGCTCACCACCTCGATGGCGGTGTGAATGACGTCGTTGCAGAGGCTGAGGCCGGGCCCCGACGCGGGCACCATCCAGCTCTGCCTGAGGAGCGCGAACAGGAGGCTCAGGCCCGTGCGGACCCCCATCTCGATGAGCGCATCTGTGCTGGAGCGCGGCCGCTCGCTCACGGAGTGGACGTCGGCCGCGCCGCAGCTGCTCTCCGGGGAGTGCTGCTGCTGCTTCACCTTGCCCTTGTCATGGTACTTATTGGACAGTGCGTAGAAGACGCGCTGCAGGACCAGCAGCCTCTTGCGCAGCGCCCCGGCGAACGGGGAGTCGGAGCAGACCATCTTGGCCAGCGCCAGCTGGCTGCTGAGCAGGGCTTCCAGGTAGTGGTCCTGCTCATCGCTGGACAGTGACTCGCGCTCAAAGTCTGGCAGCTGGGGTCCTTTGAGGCACAGAACTTGTTGGGGCAGGGGCACGACTTCCTTGTTGCTGACTAACTTGGAGTACAGCACCGAGACCCCCTCCCTGGTGGCAATGGACTCGCTGTCCTCCGTGATCCAGGAGCTGTTCAGGTGTTCAAGCCATTTCAGCTTCACGGGTGGAATCATAGTTGCCATGGTGACTCACTCATCGGCCATTAGTTCTACACGGAGAGAAAAAGAGGTCAGTGTTATGCATATGGGTCACAAATGCTTCTAAACGCCACACAAAAGATCCTTCCCCCTTACATTTTCAATAGTGATTCCAAACCAAAGACTAGATTTTAATCAACATTAACATGCCAGCGCCACTAGTTTAGCTTTGATAAAGAGACCATGGTTAGATGAAGTGTGTGAAGGGCATATGAAAATCCTCTGCACATTCTTCGCAAGATTCTTAAAAATCTAAAATTATACTAAGGGCCGGAGCGATAGTACAGCGGGTAGGGCGTCTGCCTTGCACGCAGCCAACCTGGGTTCGATCCCCGGCATCCCATATGGTCCCCCAAGCACCGCCAGGAGTAATTCCTGAGTGCAGGGCCAGGAATAACCCCTGAGCATCACTTGGTGTGACGCAAAAAGCAAATAATATTAATAATAAAAATTATACCAAAAGTTTAAAATTTGCTTTTTTGAAATAGAGATTTGAATATTTCTTCCTTTTCAGATTCTGGTCCTCTAATGGTCTAATTTTGGGGTCTGCATTCTGATTTCTACCTCCAACCCACACTACCTCCCCGCACTCCAAAGTAACACAATCACCCCAACCACCCCAACTAGATAACAGACACCTTAAACAAAACACTCAAAACTAAATTTCTGACCTACCAATACCCAAACTTGTTACTCCAGTAGGCTTTTTCAGTAAATGGCAATTCTCATTCCTTTGACAAAAAAGATTTTGATTTTTCCCCAAATGATTCGTCCCTCTTAAATGTCCCCAATTCAATCAAATGCATTCAGAATCCAACCAGTTGTCACCCACTCCATTGCTAAAACCTAGGTCTAAGACATTACCTATGAATCATTAAAGGGTGTCTTTTTGGGGTTTTTTTGGGGGGACACCCCTAGTAATTATTGGGTGATCCTTCTGTGCCAGGGGTCATCCAGACCCTATTGCCCCAAGCAAAGTCTGCACCCCAACTCTCTAGGCTCACCAGGTATATTGAAAAGCCCAAAGTGAACGGATGTTTTGTATGCCTTGTTTACTGCTATATTCTAGCACATAAAGTAAATACTATATGTGCTTTTAATTGTAGCACTGCAGCACTGTCCTCCCATTGTTCAATGATTTGCTCAAGCGGGCCCAGTAACGTCTCCATTGTGAAACATGTTGTTGCTGTGCTTGGCATATCCAATACATCATGGGTAGCTTGCCAGGCTTTGCCTTACGGGCAAAATACTCTCAGTAGCTTGCCGGGCTCTCTGAGAGGGGCAGAAGAATCAAACCTGGCTTGACCGGGCCGGCGGTTTGCAAGGCAAATGCCCTATCGCTGTGCTATCGCTCCACCCCTTTTAATTATTTTATGGTCCTTAAAGGACAGCAAGTACCACGCTTAGCCTTGTACACAGCCAACCCTGGTACCCCATACCACACACATATGGTCTCTTAAACCCCTCCAGAAGTGATCCCTGAATTCTGAGCCAAGGGTTAAGCCCTGGTACCATGGGTTTGACCCCAGAATCAAATAAGGAAAAAAAAATAAGATAAAAAGGAAAGAAAAAAAGGTAAAAAGAAGAGAAAGACAAATAAAAAGAAATAAAAGAAACATGAGAGACAGCATAAGGGTCAGGGGCACGTGCCTCTCAGGGACCCAGTTTCCATCCCAGCACCCCCAGGCGGCGTGCAAGTACCAGCAGGAAGTGCCCCCTGCCCTATTTGGGAGACCCCAACTTAAAACTTCAGTACTCTGGGAGAAAGTATTCACCAACTATATATCTTGCAAAGGACATGTATCCAAGATGCATAAAGAACTCCTATAACTCAATAATAAATGGTAATTCTTTAAATGAGAAAAGAACAAAACTTCATATAAGATATATAAGCAGCCAAAAAGCATAGGAAAAGCACTCAATGTCAATATTCATCAGAAAAAAATTAAAAATACAAAGATAAATTACATGCCACAGGATGACTGACATCACTAAAAATGTCATTGAATGCAAAGCACATAGAGCAGAACTACCATTTAAGATGTGTGGCAGTTTACTCATTTGTGGAATCTAAAGTAACAGAATGGGAGACTAATACCCAAGGATAGTAGGGATAAGGGCCAGGACAATTCCTCCACGGCTTGGAAGCCGGCCTCATATGCTGGGGGGAAAGGCAGATGAGATAGAGAAAAGACCACCAAGCAAAGGATGCTTGAAGGGCCCACTCAGGATGGGAGATACGTGCTGAAAGTAGACTATAGACCGAACAGGATGGCCACTTACTACCTGTATTGCAAACCACAACACCCAAAAGGAGAGAGAGAAAGAGAAAGAGGAAATGTGCCTGCCACAGAGGCAGGGGTGGGGGTGAGGGGGGTGGTTGAAGGATGGGGTGGGGGTGGTGGGAGGGATACTGGGAACACTGGTGGTAGAGAATGGGCACTGGTGGAGGGATGGGTGCTCGACCACTATATGACTGAAACATAATCACAAAAGTGTGTAAGTCTGTAATTATATTTCATGGTGCTTCATTAAAATATTTAAAATAAATAAATTAGAAAAAATTTTTTTTTGCTTTTTGGATCACACCCGAAAATGCAAAAAGGTCACTCCTGGCCCTGCACTCAGGAACCACTCCTGGCTGTGCTCAGTGGACCACATGGGATGCTGGGAATCAAACCCAGTGGACCACATGGGATGCTGGGAATCGAACCCGGGTCTACCACCTGTAAGGCAAATGCCCTAGCCACTGTGCTGTTGCTCCAGTCCCCATAAAAAATAAAAAATTTTAATAAAAGATGTGTGGCAGTTTCTTACAAAATCAAACAGCTTCTCAATGCTCCAACAATTCTCCCCCTGGGGATTTAGCAAATAAAAACACATGGTTGTGAGGCCAGAGAAATAATACAGTGGGTAGGACACTTGTCTTGCACATGGCTGACCTCAGTTCAATCCCTGGCATCCCATAAGGTCCCCCCAAGCCCTGCCAGCAGTGATCCCTGAGTGCAGAGCAAGGAGTAAGCCTGACTACCACCAGGTGTGGCCCCAAAACAAAACAAAACAAAAAAATACATGGCTGTATAAAGACTTAAATAGTGGTTTTCCGTAGAGAGTGAAGGAGGGACAAGGGAGGCACCTGGGGTAAGAATAATGGAAGACTACACAGATATTTGCTAAAATAAAATTGTTAATGTTAAAAACAATACAGCAAGCAACAATCTACATTATGTTTGTGAGACTAGATATGTGATAAAAATTGATGGCAGAACTTCAGTGGTGAATGTATGTTCCTTCTGAAATCGATTTACAGAAATTTGTTTTGGTTCTGGCTTGGGGCTACATCCAAAGGTGCTCAGGCTTGCTCCTGGCCCTGCAAACAAGGGTCACTCCTAGCAGTGTGTGGGAGACCATATGGGGTGCCGGGGATGAAACCCGGGTCAGCCATATGCAAGACAAGTGAGAGCCCCACCTGCTGTATGCTCCAGCCCTCAAGTTCAAATTTTGATGTTTTGTTTTGTTTGGGGGCCACACCCAGTGATGCTCAGGGTTACTCCTGGCTATGTGCCCAGGAATCATTTCTGTCGGTGCTCAGGGGACCATATGGGATGCTGGGAATCAAACTTGGCTGGCCATGTGCAAGGCAAACACCCTACCATCTGTGCTATCTCTCAGGCCCCTCAATTTGAAATTTTCATCATAAAATACTGTAGGACTCACAGGCGGGAGCCCTGAGTTCGACGCCTGTCACCGCACTCCCCACTTCCAAGCACAGTCCAGCGGTCCCAGCACTGATGGCTAACCCCTATACATTTTACTTGTTTTCTGAGTCCCGTCCAGCTGAGCTTGGGGCTTACACCTCGCTCTGCAGGCAGGATCTCTGGTGGGCTCGCAGGACAGGGCACTGGGGATTGAACCTGGGTCAACCACATGGAAGGCACATGCCTTACCCACTGTACTAACACTCCAGCCCCTATGAAAATGTTTTTAGTAATATAAAATACGGCTGGAAAGGTAGAACTAAGAGCTACTCCTCAGACTACTGAACACTACTAAGAACTACTCCTCCCTAGAACAGCCATCATGAAAGCAGAGAAAAAATCTACCTACCTAATAGTAGAGAAAGATCCTCAAAAGCTGAGAGGAATGCTATATTTCTGATATAGCTAGATCTCTTTTAAAAAAAAAAAGTTCTAGTGATATTTCACTGTATAATCACCAGATTCTTTTTTTGTTCCATAGCAATAAAAGTAAAAAGTAAAGTAAAGGACCTCCCATTGTTCGTCGATTTGCTCGAGCGGGCCCAGTAACGTCTCCATTGGAGATTTTTTTGTTACTGTGTTTGGCATATCGAATACATCATGGGTGGCTTGCCAGGCTCTGCCGTGTGGGCGAGATACTCTCAGTAGCTTGCCAGGCTCTCCGAGAGGGGCGGAGGAATCGAACTCGGGTTGGCCATCCATAGCAATAGCTGGGAATAATCAAGCTGGACAAGATCTGAGGGTTAAAAGTAGATAAGGGATATCCTAGATAAACTTTCATTATCAATATTGCAAACCACAATGCCCAAAAGCAGAAAGAGAGAGAGAGAGAGAGAGAGAGAGAGAGAGAGAAAAGCAGAGAAAGAGAGAGAAAGAGAAACAGAAAGAGAGAGAGAGCAGAAAAGTGCCTGTCATAGAGGCAGCCAAGGGGTGGGGGTTTGGGGGGAATGGGAGAGAACCTGAGGATACCGGTGCTGGGAAATCTACACTGGTGGAGGGATTGATGTTGGAATACTGTATGACAGAGATCCAATCATGAATGGCTTTGTAAAGGTAAAGGTAAAGGCCCTCCCGTTGATCGTCGATTTGCTCGAGCGGGCCCAGTAACGTCTCCATTGGAGACTTTGTTGTTACTGTGTTTGGCATATCGAATACTCTCGGTAGCTTGCCGGGCTCTCCGAGAGGGGCGGAGGAATCGAACTCGGGTCGGCCATGTTGGCCACGTGTAAGGCGAACGCCCTA